GGGGGGGGTATAACCCCCCCCCCCCAATAATTGAAAATTTTCAATTTTTCTCAGCGACAGGAGCATATTTTTTGCAAGTTTTGAGCTTTTTTTGCGAACTTTGTTGCAAACACCCCCTTACACCCTCCCAATATTAGGTCCTTCCCGCGGGCTCTGTCTCCAGCTGTTCTCGTATTAATTGTGGGGTTTCTTTTTTTTCTCCTTCGTAACAAATATCACAATACACTACAGTTATAAATATTTTGTCCTCTAATAAAAATTCATTTATTTATATAGAATTTCAACTTTTATTTATTATTATTATCATCATCATTGGTCGCACAATGGCAACAGTACAAACACTCAATTATATCTCACAACAATTAAATACATATTGGAGTTTATTCATGTTATTCTTTGGTATCATAGGTTGCCTATGGAATATTTTAATATGTCGCCATCATTCTTTTCGTTATAGTTCATATTGTACTTATGTGTTTATTGGGTCGGTTACGAGTTTAATTCATAGCTATTGTCTGGTGCAAAATTCGACATTATATTGCACCGTACATATAACGTTATCTTGTCTTGTTGCATCTGCAATCGATCGATTTTCTTCGACATGTCGTCAGATAAAATGGCCTAGTTTAAGTTCAATTGATACTGCAAGACAAATATGAATATATTTTATTATATTCTGGATGTTAATAACTATTCCAAATCTTATCTATGTAAAACCAGTTGGATTCACATCAAATAAACGTTTATGTCAAACTGCATCATTAATTTGGTCACAATTAATAAATTATTTTTTTCGTTTATGTTGTTATTAGGAGTGTTACTTTATCTTTATTGATCTTTATATTAAAAAATAAAGATAAATATAATCTTCATTTGTAAAAATAAAGTTAAAAGAAAGAAAAAAGAAAAATTTACTGCAGTCACTGGTAAATAGATAAATAATTTGTATAAGAACAGAAAACATTGATTGTAGTTCTTGCTTATCATCATTGACATTGCAGTATGAAATAATACTAGCAAATGAGGGTGAGGCATAAATCATTTATGGAAAAAAATTTAGTGTTCAAAATTTTTTAGCCTTGAACTTCTTAATTTTCTTCGAGCTATCGGGAGAAGACCAAATTTTGGTTTTTTAGGGAAAAATATTTTTCTTTATTCTTTATTTTATAAAGATAAAGATTATCGTTATCTTTACTTTATAAATATAAATATTTTATTTATCTTTATTTTTTAAATATAATGGTTTTATTTATCTTTAAAAAGTAAAGTAACTATAAAGTAACATCCCTACCAGTTGTTATGGCATACTTCGATGATTTTTGATGAGTTAATTCGGCTGTTTAACATTCAGAAAGATGCATCAAATACTTAATCGTCGTATTGGTATAGTGCCGTCTATTGTACTATCATGAATGGCACACATTGATGATCAATTACCATCGATGCTATTTTTACAAATCATTGTTTGAATTCTATCATCAATTCCTTTTAGTACCCAGCTTGTCTATGATAATCTAACAAAAAGAACTATTAAAAATGACTATCGTCAAGCACAAGAATATCTTTTTTCTTCAAGTATCTCGTTTAGTTTTTCATTTCACTTATATATCATCAGGAATATTTCGACAATTATCAATACGAGTTTTAATTAATCTATTTAAAAAACAAGACGATATATCAAGAAATATAACCGCCATTAATCATCAAGAAAATAATATTCAATTAGCGAAGAGAAATTTAAAATCCTATACTACGAAAGCAATTGTGGCAACTTCTCGTTTTTAAGGAAACTTGTATGTACGTTCTTGTTTTTCTCCATAGAATAAATACAAAAACACTCGATTTAAGATAAGATAAGGAGATTTTATTTTCATACGAGATACAGGTTGAGAAAATCTCAGGAGCGAATAATTTTCTCAGAAAGATAAAACTCATTCACCTGAATTTATTTCAAAATTAAAGTAACTAAATTAAGATAGTGTGTGTTCAAGAAAAGAAAAACGGCAGCTCCCAACTACTTGTGAAGAATGGCGTGTTAAAGATTTCATATTTAATTGAAGCCATGCAGGCTTTTAATATACAAAGAATCTACACGATTAATAATTAATTGTCAATTTTGTCAATCAAAAATAAATAGCCGTTTTAGTCTATGAGAAAAAAATATCAATCATTCATTTTGTAATTTATGATGACGAAATATAACTAGAATAAATTAAAATAATGGTAGATAAATATATAAAAATATTGTTAAAGTAATAGTTTTTTGTCGTGAAAGTTTCGATTAGAGTTGAAAATTAGAAAAGAAAGCTTCAGTTTCTGATTAAAGATTCTATGTTGCAATAGGGTAAGTTTATAAGTAGCACTACATGTAATATCATATTTAAGAGCAAAATGTTATATAAAACTTTGCCTAGTAATTAACGCTACAGCCTGATTGCGAACATTTTTTCCTCGAAATCAAGAAAAACGTCCGCAAAGCAGAATCGGGGGAGGAGAGCAAAACGTTGCCCACATTGTGGCATCAAGACAAGATTTATTAGGTGAAACAAAATACAGAAAAATCATTTCTGAAGAATAGTTGAACAATCAAGATCATCCTTATCAGTTGTATCGATAAGAACTATACCATCTTGATTATATTGTGTGGAAATTGGAGAAAAGCTATCATTTGTCACGGTGGACATTTTTATTCGATTGGTCTTGGTTTAACTTTGTCACTTTAAATGTTTCTCTTTCACAATATATTGCCCGGATGACATGCGACGAAGCACACTAGACTAGTTTGAAACAGTTGATATTATTCAATACAGCCAGTTGTATGAATCATCTTAAAATATCAATTTTCGTTTGTTTCCACAATGCGAACATTTTTTGCTCTTTTCTCCCTGTTTCTACTTTGCGGACATTTTTTTTTCTACAATTAAGAAAAAAAGCCCGCAATGAAGAAGACGCGGTAATTACAATAGACGTATACTATGTATCTAACCGGCTTTTGACCTTGAAATCTTACTATAGGCCACCAGTTATTCACAGATTAACGATCGTTTTACTTACAAAGTCGTTCTGTAGGAACACAGTTGAAGGTTAAGAAATGAATAAGTCAATCGCTTATTGTTTCATGCCTATTTTTAACTTGTCACAACTGTTTGTAATGAACAGCTAGGCACAATAATGTCGATATTCATTTATAGTTTAATATGTAAATTACATGAAAGAGGCCAACATGATTTCTTTCCCATTTACTCGCATACAAATTGATTTATAAAAAAATCCAAAAGAAGAATAAAGCCATGCACATCAAAGAAAAATTTGTTACTAAACATTCTTTGTAGTATAATTCACTTGCATAAATAGTAATGATGATCATGTAAATAGTTTTAGTTGAGTTTCGACAAATAAAAAGTAATACGTAAGTATGATAATTGAAAAGTTGTGTGGGTGGGGGTGTGACTGTATTCTTAACTCAACCACACCCACACCCTCGTGTTTGAAGGAATATTTACGTCTAAAATGGTTAAGAAGAACTAGAAAAAATATCTCATATTTTTCTCACTACACTAACTATATACCAATGTGAAATTTAGACGACAAGAACAGAACTAGGAGGTGATATAATCTTGAATTTTCTTTGGCATAAAAGAAAAAGAACATCTATAATTGTTCACGTAAAGAGTTAGCATCACCGTAATGGAAATGGCGTATGCTACACTTTGCGAAGGGAAATTTGAAGTGTATTAGTAACATATTTTCTTTTTTGATTACTAGCCCGTTTTCTTGAGCTATCATAGTACTCGACGAACGTTTAAAATTACCATTGTTATTAGTTGACCGAAAGAATTTATAGAAAATAAATCAACAGCATTGAATTCTTCGGAAGTTTTATGCTTACGAAAAAAATTGGACATTATTAAATGGTTAAATTTTTACTATATGACTTCTTTCAATGCATGCTAAACTAAAAATATGTCACATATGTCGCAATCTTAGATCAATTTTAAGTACTGCACAATGTGCTCGTTGTAGCATATTCTTGGCAGCTGCTATGAAATACATTTTTGTAAAACATACCAGACGAAGTCTACAAACAATAGTTTCAATCTAGGCTTAAACGTATTTATCATTTTCTTCTTTGTAGAAAAGAATAGTATGAGTCCGTGAAAAATATCTATGAAAATTTATCAGTCCATCATATTTCATTGCTTTCAATTTACATGATTGTATCCGTAAAACAAACAGCCTGCAGATAGGCAAAGAATCATTCAAACATACGACATTTCCTCGCTAAAATCTGAAACACTATAAATAGCGATATATACATACGACTTAGTCTATCGTAACAACACTGCGCTTGTCTCATTAGAAAATTCTAGTACGTTTTATTCTCCGGATAAATTTGTTGTATAGAGTATTTTATGTTATCTTGCATTAATGCAGATTGATAAGATTTTAAAAATCCAAAAATATTTCACAATATTCTTCTCATTGTATTAGGAAAATGCGTATCTATATGATTGCATATTTTATTGGTTTCAATTATTTTTACAGATCAATGATTTTCAAAAAACGAACTCGGTGGCTATTATTTCTCTTGTTAGTACTCAGTATTACTATTCTTACATTGCATTACTTTAATAACTGTCCTTGTTTCGAAAAACTTTTTTCGACGATGATCTCTTCGACAATAAATAGAACATTAACTACTAATAATGCTCGCATTTTTAATATATCGCCATCTAGCCATGCCATTTATTATCTTGATATGCAATGTACATCGAACATGAATGATTCTTCGACATTAAATCGCGTTCAAGAATTTAATGCTATATTCAAAAACAGAATATGGAATCAAAATGAAAAGGAGAGTCGATCAGGACCAGGCTCTTCACTGGAAGGTGCTTTTGATTGGATAAGACATTTACGATCATTATTACAACATACTCATATTCGATCTATAGCTGATATACCTTGTGGTGATACTTATTGGCAATTTAGTATTCGAGAAATCAATACCATTGAACAACTCTATTTTGGTGGTGATATATCAACGCATGTTATCGAACAAAATAAAAAACTATACGGATCTCCACATCAAAATAAGTTATTTCACTATTGGGATCTTGTAAATTGTCCAATACCAACATTTTCATATAGAAATTCAACGCATCAAATTCCAAGTAATTATTTTATTATTCAAAATTTGATTATCTATCTTAAATCGAATCTCTATTTTAATAGATCACAGATTTGATTTAATTATTGTTCGTGATGCTCTTCAACATATGCATATACGAAATGCTTTGAAAGCTGTAAGAAATATTATTCAATCTGGTGCAAAATATTTTGCATTGAGTACTTATCCACCAAATGACAAATCTTCAGCGGAGAATAAAAGATCAATAGATAAAAACGAGTCACTACCAAGGCAACCATTAGGTTGTGAAACTAAAAATTATTGTCAATTAGGTGCTATCAAAGAAGGTGATGTATACAGAAATAACATTAATTGTTATCCATTTAATTTTCCATTGGATAAAGCCATTCTCGTTCAACCATCACATGAAAAGTTTCAAATGGAACCTGATGAAATACATATATATATAATTGATGATGAATTAAAGCAAATTGTTGAACAGTATGATAAAGCATGTATTATATAGATAAATAAAAATACATTCATATACACCCAGGCGAATGTATCCGATAGCGAATCCGATCGAATCCGGTTGGATCCAGCTATTGGATTATTTGTCCTCGGCATGAGCTGATCGATGTTGTACGATGAATGACAAAAACTATTGAATGGAAACAAACTTTTTCGGGACAATTTTGTACAATTGTGCTGGTGCCAACGATGTTTTATTGACATCATAGATCGAAAGCGAATCTATAAAATTCGCATCAATTTTTTCTATGACAAAAAATATACAGATGACTACATTGAATATGAATATTTTTTTAATATCTACTTCATGATATTAGTAATATAATTGTTAGAAGCAAAAATTTCCTTTTGACACTATTGTAAATAGAATGAATGAGTGCAATGCTTTAATTTAGCATGTTGATAATTTATGAGAGATACACAATCAAACGTTTTAAGATACGTTAATTGAAAAAAACAACCTTTTAGTCTTCTCTGAAAGATACAAATACTAATCATAACTTTACAGTATAGATACGTGAGAAAAATAAACTATTGATATTTTTCTCCATTCGCCTATTTGCTATAGTGATATAGATTTATTCGTGATCCATTCAAATAAATGTCGTCCTTTATTTGCTCTATTTATATTTTTTTGATTTAATCAATACATATGTTTAGCCATGATTTCCGCTTATCTAGTAATATTATTAAAATATTGAATAAAACAAATAGCTCGTGACAAGTTTATTGTAGCGTCCCATTAATTAATTTTTATTTCATTTCATATCGCCAACACTTTTTGACTTAGTTTTCTTCCCCCATTTGTTCATAATTAGATTGGCCACTGTTTCTACATTGAATTCATCTCTACTATTATCGAATACTTTCATGTATTCAACGAAGTTTTTATTTTCTCTTCTAGAAAACAAAAAATTACAAACTACAAATTTGTTTTTCTATTTTCTTTATAAATATTTATATTTTATGAATCATTTTACTTATCAAATGCAACGAGAATACAGGCTTCTTTAGCAACTCCATTATACCCGTAGGACGAATATTTATCCATAAGTATACCATATGCTTTAGCAGCATCTTTATTGAAATCTGATGCCATTTCAAATTTAATATTTTTCTCATTTTTATATGCATCTAATGTCCAATGAGTATCTGTGCTGATCCCAATAATTCGAACATTTAAATCTTTAAATAATTTAATATATTTATCGTTGATACCATTTAAAACCTAAGAATATTAGCCAAATTGTTTTTCTTTTTCGATTTCATTTAGTGTTTAAAATACGGAGAAAAAAAACAGACAATATTCTCATGCAAAACAAATCAGATGAATGTAACTGATAGTAAAAAAATATACTTTTGTCAATCATATTTATTGCTATTCTCTTACTTTGTTGTCATGCTTTGTAAATGCACATGGAAAAAAAGCAAGTAATACAGGTGACTGCTCTGTTGCAGTGAATAATGAAAATTTCGTACTTGCAGTTGTCCATAAATGAATATTTTTAGCTTTATCTCCTGCTTGTACTAGTTTGGACATCGAACTAACGATAAATAAATACTCGCATACAAACAAATAATATTGAAATAAACTCGCGCTATGATCTACTTTTGTGTGTATTTTATAAATTAAACAAATATGTCATTTATGATTTCGTTTGAAACTTGACCGACGCAGTTATTTATTGATACAGAAATTTTATCTTTTATAAATTAGAAAAATGTAGTTCTGGTGTATTGAATTGATTAGCTGTGTTGAAAATGCATACTGCTGTTTTCGTTGAATCAAAAAAAGACAAGGCTACGAGTGCTATTTGATACATCTCTCAAACAGATTAGCATATGAGGAATCTTATAACCAATTGACTTTAATATTAACTCATTCAATTTTTATATCGTATTTCTAAAATAATATTTTCCCATGATGTGTCTGTAGACTTTTAGACAATACAAGCTGTATTTTAAAAATATTTACAAGTCTGATGCATCATTATACATATTTTTCTCTTGGTAATGTTTTGATTTTACAAAACAAGGGAAAGAAAATGAAAATGAAAATCCGATCGCTTTATAAAAATGTTATAACTCCAGGCCGAAATACAAATGTAAAAAGAGAAAAGAACATATCTAAAATCACAATAATTTGTTCACCATGAAAATTTTAAATCAAAAACAAAGACTCATGACCTGACCATTTATATATTTATTAGACAAACAAAACAAAAGCATCTGTTTTATATATACATATATACAATTGATCAATTAAACTGTCGTTAATCGAAATTTTAACAATAACTTAATGTTTGTTTGAAGCAAATAGAGTTGTTTTTTGCTATTTTATTTTGTAGGAATTGACGATCTTATATAATTATATCAATATAGAACGAAACTATATAATATTAAACAATTATTTAACATCATATCAAGACTTTTTTTTATTCAAACAAAAATCAATACAGTTGCAGTAAAAATACAATGTTTTCCTGATAATAACTTTGTTGTTGTTGTTGCTTGCTATTGAAAAATTTGACAAAATACAACAATAGATTTATCTGTGAAGAGTTTGCTTCTTCTCTATCTATTGTCATCAACCAGTCAAGAGTTCCCTCTATCGTTGAGAAGGAAGAAAGATATGATAAAGAAAAGCGAGACCTCAGATAGAGTACCATGGTATCATTGATGACGCATCTTTTGTGTTTATATATTATGAATATTCTATTCGTCATTTTGATTGTATAGCCACAGCTGGAAGACAATGAGAATAAGCAAATAAAAATCAACGCTTGCACTTTGTTCTTCTAATTATTGCGATTATTATTGGCATTGTGGCTTTGATTATTTATTATTGTCATCATTATCAAATATTTTATTAATATCAATGATCAGTTTGGGCAGTAGTGGTAATAATAGTGACGCGTTGCATGTCACTATACTCACATGTTGTTACCTACTTATTGGCGGTTGGGCGCTCCTAGCTACATTCCATATACTTGGTATTGCTTATGGGTAAGAGTATATTCAACAGTAGCATATTTATTTTGAACCTAATGCCCTCGTATGCATGGATTTATTCGTACATCAATGTCACATCAATCAATATGAATATATTGACAGAATAAAAAGACAGCCATTTGACATTCTTGTCCGAGAGTTTATTCAAGCATAACATACGTTTGAATCATGATTACGAAAGACAAGAAGTAAAAGTATGAATATATTGATGAAATACAGAACAAGAAAAGAAATCTTTTTTTCCCGAATAGATATACATACTTACAGATGCATTACATTTAAATGTACATAATGCAGTTATGAGCATGACCTAGATATTAATCTCACTTGAGACGCTAACGTTTACAGTATCACTTGAGCTAGTTTATAAAGGAACCTTTCAAGTTCAAGTGTCACTGCTACACATAATTTTTACATATTAGACATTGTCTTTTGTCGATTGACGATTACACACAAATAAGAATGAATCATCAAAACAGAACACATAAGTGTCGCAGTTTATAGAAGCTAACTAACATAATCATTTTTTTAATGAATTAATGATATCGACTGAAGGACAGAACAATTATTTAATTGCTTAAGTTTATTATCTTCAAAATAGATTCAGTAATAATGACAAGAAAGCAAAAATGTCCTCAAGAAAGAAAGATGAAGCGAAGTCGGTCTGTTGTGTACTTCGCAATGAACTTATAAGACATGGAAGGAAAAAATGCCATCCATGTCTTGGACTTAATATAATCAAGAGGAAAAAAACATGTTAGCTATAATTGACTATGTTGACCGCAAAATAGAAAGCTCTAGAGATTTTAATGATAAGAACTTTCTAGGGAAATTTAATTTTATGATTAGCATACATACTTCATTCTAAAATGATAATATTTCTGATGCATATATTCATGAAGAAATATTTCGTTATTATTAAATTTCTATCACTAGAGAATTCTTAAAAAGAAAAATCTCATTCTTCTTCTAGATTTCAAAGAAGAATACCAACCTATTTCATTAGATGAATTCGAGAAGTAGACATATTTTTGAACATACTTTTATCAGAATATTGAGAATATTTCTTCTAAGTTGCTCGTGTACGATTCGTAGTTACTGTTTTCTTATGTTGATCGGTAACAACAATATTGAAGAAGTAAACTGTTTTGAATTTTAATTAGAACTGCAATAGACACATAGAACGAAAGACTGTCGTCATGGCTAATTTGTTCACTTCCTCTCTCGTTTTCCTATCAAGCAATGCTATTGAAGCGAAGGTGCTGTTATACTACCTCATTTTCCTTCTTTTCTTTTCCTCTATTTTTCTTGTTTCTTTCTGTTGATTATTAAGAAATCGTCTCTCTTTCACTCTCTCTCCTCCTTCCTAGGCTTTTACTCCGTTCTTTTTTGCTCTGTCTCTTCGTCTCCGTCTTCATCATGATTGCAGCATTTCATTCATTCGTTCGTCCGTTCGTGTGTATCATCATTTTCTCTCTCTCTTTGTCTCTTGTTCTTTCTTGCACGCCTCCTTACTCATAAAACAGGAGCAAACAAACCTATGTAAAATGTAAGGTGCCGATGATAAACTATAATCGAGTATCATCTGTTAAAAATACTGTTGGTCATGTTCTTCCTTCATATTGTGTACACTATTGCTCTTGCTATCAGTCTTGTTTTGGCTATATTAATCATAATTCTTGTATGGTTGTTTCATATTAGTGGCATGGGCTACGGGTAAGCATTCGCCTCCTCTTTTTTTTTTGAATGTTTTTCATCAATGCGAATCGATTAAAATATGTTTTTTTTCTCTTCTTTTTGTTATAATTATGTTAAATATGTATGATTAACACAAATGAAAAACAGCTATTTCTTCCGATTTTAGATTGTCTATACTAGATAGTAATTTTGATGATAGAATCATTAAGAGGATTTTCCCTGTGTTTAGATCGAATTGATAGGTAAAAAATCGAGAAATTGGTGCAACTTTGTTTCTTTTTTGTCGGTCACAACTTGTTGACCGATCATTTCCGCTTATCGTTAAGCGAATGTTTCTTTTTCTTTCGTACTATAATCGATGTATACACATCGTTGTATCCACATGAATGGACCGATGAGCTTTCAGGGGTATAAAACGATGAAAAATATTCATGTAGTCGATGATAATCAACTTGACCTCATCCAAATATATACATTTTTCTTCTTCTTTCCAGGGGCACCTCTAACTATCATTGTAATAAGTCGAGAAAATCAACAAACATAGAAAAAGAAAACAATGACAAATTGATTAGATCATACAAAATAAAGATGTATGTTATTGACGTATGCGTATTTTAATGCTGCATCAGATCCTGGTGTTTGCGTTGTGTGTTAAAGAATAATAAAGAGACTTACTATGAAAGAAAAAACAGAGTAATTGGTATTTTTTAATCCTTTTTTTATGGGAAAACATTACTTAACATAGACGTTGTAACAAAAAACTACGAAAACCAACAATATAGACTATTGTACGACGTGTATGATAAAGTCTTCAGAAGCCTTTCTATATAAGAGGCACATCTACTGTTGTGACATAGACTTCAGTTAATTCTGATTGATAGTAAAACAAAATCTGCAAGATAAGATAAATAAGAACATATTTTTATTAGAATGAGAAAAAATAATTCTTTTTTTTCTTTTTTCTTATATCATAATCATCTTTATTTAACTATAAAATTGTTTTTGTCTTTGTTTAGCCTATACAAATTCCATCGAAAGCCATCACATAGTAATCTCAAAGAAATGCCAGGCGTTTCCATAATAAAGCCATTGACAGGAATCGATGCAAATCTATATGAAAATTTAAAAACATTTTTTAATCTGCAATATCCTCGTGTATGTTTATTCAATTGAATGGATTTGTTTTCATTGTTGCTGTTTTTTCTTCTCATACAGTATGAAATTCTTTTTTGTGTACAAGAACACGACAATGAACTGATTGATATAATCGAAAGACTTCGTGAACAATATCCACGTGTCGACTCACAATTATTTGTTGGTAAGTGCATCGAGAAAAAAAAATGTAACTCCTAAATCATTCTTCATGAAAAGCAAATATTTACAAACTAAACTTAATAACAGGAACTCAATCGACTGCTGTAAAACAGGAGCGCGAAGTTGACGAAGAGCAGGAATATTATGATATGCCATTGGTAGCAAATCCTAGAGATGAAAAATTACGAAGAAAACAATTCTCTCTATGGAAGCGAATATTTTGTTGTGGTATATAATTTTTCACTCTAACCTTACTCGGTTCATGCTAATCGACATGAAGCTCACAGATAAATTATCTAATCGTTAACGATTTTAACAAAGAACTATCCGCTATTAATCTAAGTGCTAATTAATATTTGTCTAGTTATTTATTTTGATATTTTTTGGACAATCGTTTGTTTTTCTTTTTTCAAATAGGTTCACAAAAGTTTTTATCCGGTGATAAATTATCCAAAAATGGAACGATGGATATTAAAAATCCGAAAATCTACAATATGCTACCTGCATATGAAAAAGCTCAATATCCATTTATATTAATATCGGATAGTGGTTTAATGATGCATGAAAATACATTATATGACATGGTTGCGTGTATGACAGATAACGTTGGTCTTGTTCATCAAATGCCATTCACATGTGATAGAAAAGGCTTTGCGGGATCTGTTGAAAAGGTGTGTATAGAAGATGAAGAAATGAAAAAGGAAATTAAATTTCACCACTATTTATTCGAGAATAACAAAATCACAATAGAATCTTTGTCTAGGAGCATTTGATGTCAAATACTCATTAAAAAAAGAAAAGAAAAAGACATTTGTTTTAAATTCAAAGAAAAGCCAAATATGTACTCTTATAAAAAAATAGAAAATTAATTTAAAAAATTAAATATTTTTGTATTCGTTTTTCTTTGCATAAAGTGTGTATGCTAATCGATTTTCTAATTTTTCAAGGTTTATTTCGGTACTCAACATGCACGTATGTATATGACTATCAATTTAATTGGCATAAATTGTGTTACTGGAATGTCATGTTTAATACGTAAAGAATGCATTGATCGCGTTGGTGGCCTACGAGCTTTTGGTCATTATATCGCCGAAGATTATTATATTGCTGACGAAGTAGCTAAACAAGGTTGGAAATTACGTGTTGCATCAACACCGGCACAACAAAATTCAGGCGAATATTCCGTATCAACATGGATTGATCGAATGATTCGATGGTGCAAGTTGAGAATGCGTTTAAGTCCATTAGCTTATTTAGAGCCACTACAAGAGTGTTTCTCATCAGCTATACTAGCGGGTATTGTTACAAACTATTTATTTGAATGGAATGCTCTTGTTGTTGCTGCATGCCATATTTTAATATGGTTTATTCTTGATTATCTTATGCTTCGAATCACACAAGTATGTTGTATAAGATGATCTTTTCTTTTTGTTATTAATGCTTTATGTTTGATTTTTGTTCTTTTTGAAATCTAGGGTGGTCCACTTCCTTTTTCAAAATTTGAATTTGCTATAGCTTGGCTTGTTCGCGAATTCTCATCATTCTACATCTATTTTAAAGCATTCACGGGTTCATCGACGGTTAAATGGCGCGGCAAAGAATATCGTCTTGGTTCTGGTACACGAGCTGAAGATCTATCTCCATTGCCTCTACCACCACCGGCACCTTCTCTTCTTGTTGAATCGCCATCATCCTCATCTTCGTCCTCGTCATCATTATCCTCGTCATCGTTATCTAATTCAACATTGCCAGTGACTGGATCACATCTATCGTCATCGTCATCTACAAAGCAATCATCTCAGCTTGTATGAAATCGTTTTCTTTATGTGTTTTTCTTTGATCTCGTTTGTTGTTCATTTGTACTCAAATACGTGCCGGCCACGTTAGAATCATATCGTTAAAACTTATGATGAAGATAGTATGACACTTATTCTTTGGCGCTGACTTAATCCGAGTTTTCAACCATCAGCTTAGCATTTATTATTCATCTAACAGTGTTCTGTTTGTTCTGTTCTACTCTTTTATATCTATTTCTTTTTTTCTGTCTTGATCTTAAGAATGATTCTTGTCTGCTCGTTTGTCTCCTTGTCTTAGTCTTCTTTTTTTCTTCTTCTTTTTCTATTAGTCCCGTACACATCTTTTTTTCGTCTTTTGTTTGTTTGGTGATTACTGTCATATGCAGAAAAAAAGGAAAAAGAAGAATGGTGTACACAAGACAAATAATCTTTGGTAATCAAAACAACTGATTTAAATGAAATAAAAAATAAATAGAAGAAAATCAGCGATCTATGTCCTTATTAATCGTGTATGCTTATTACTGGTTAAGAAAAATATACGAGAAAAGCATATCATTTTTTTCTATTTCTGACGAAAATTATTCTTTGGGGACGTATAAGAATAACAGTAGATCTACCATTAAAAAAAACATATATATTATAGTCATGTACTGCATGAAAAAATACAACTATCTCGTAAACATTAACTAATTCTTTAAGATAAATCGATAAACGAAATGATAATTATAAGAACAATGATAATAATTTTCGATAAATATCCGAAGTAGAAAGATACGAAAAGTATTCTGACAAGATCAAAATCTTCTATCTATAGTTTATCCATCGTTACAAACGAGTACTTATTATTCAATTCAACAGAAGTATTTATTTTATCCTGAACCTTGATGAATAAACTCTCACATTTATTTATCTATCTATTGCACTGACAAGGTCTTGAATATATTTTATCTGTTCAATCACCGCACACATACATATGCATAGGATGTTTGATTCGTTACACGTACAAATACATTCCGAGAACTATAATATATTTCTTTTAATACCACACTGGATTAAGTTGTTTGACGATAAAAAGAAAATACAAATCAGTAGTTAAACAAACGATGAAATAAGAAATTCTTCTTTACGTGATACAAATAAAAAATTTCGAAAGTATCACGTATGTATGCAATATGATGAGGTGTTCTTTTTTTTTAATAGACACCTTCATCTTTAAACCAATAAAAATGTACTACGAAATTCAATGCTACAAATTCAGATTACATGAAAATCCTTTAGATAAATTACTATTTCAAATTATGTTTTAAAAATAGCCATGAAGTATCCAAATATTGACAGAATATTAAGTAATGTACAGAAATCCTTTAGACGAGTGAAAAAAATCTTATTTATCGATGAATATCTCACAATTAGTAATCGAATATATCTATCTTTAATTGAAACAAATAGTTATTGATGTTAGATTGTACTGTGTACTTTGTTCTAGCTCATATTTCAATTTTCAAACTATTCTTTTAATTTTTATCGCCATCTTTCAGTAAATCGAAGTATCAAGGATACTGAAAAACAAAATAATTATTTGTTTTTTCTAAACTATTTCTAATTGTCTAATTACAGCAAAATTATATTTCCAGTAATGACATATGCCAATCGAGAAATGTGTATTCTAATGTTGCAATATATTCTTTTTTTCTGCTTCAAACTAGATTATGATGTATCTACCAGAGATTCGTAGACGTGTTTCATATGTTATGCTATGCCTACATGACATGGTCGTCGATAGTCAGACTGAGTATGTACCATGTCATTCGATTGTTTGCGAAGTCCCAGAAGATATACTGAAGAAGTAGAAGAAAAAAAAACCAACGCTTGTCAAACATGTTCACAGAGCAGAAAGAAACAGAGTCTCGGTTGTGTGATACGCGTAAGTTTGAGTAATAGTGCGAAGCAGAATCCACGAACTTCTCATATCAACATCAATGACAATAATGATGAATTAGATAAGAATTAAGAAGAATTTTATGTATATTTTGAGATCGGTTAATGATCGCTTAGTGTAAATAATTATAGTTTAGTTGAAACAGAATAAGTAGTCGACATGCATATGTCTCAAATTATAACAAATCTTTTAGTTTAAATAAATCGTACTCTTTTATTATAGATATATGAAACAGAATTTTATAACCATGCAATAACGATTTTTTATTATTAAAACTTTAACACTTATATATTTTGTTAATTAACTATCTAGAAAATATTCAATCGTATGAATTGAATATTGATATAAATAATGAATGATACTAAGAATGTTCTATTACAATATAACATCAAAACAAAAATGGAATAAAAAGAACTAGAGATGGGCAAGAAAAGAAAACATTTATCTTGATTATTGACAAATGAATTTAAGCATAACAATCTATATACGTTGTTGATTCGTCGACATCGTTCTAGAAACAAAATAACTATTTAGATTGATTCTTCTCCTAAAACGTGTTTACTCACAATTAACTGGTTATTTATTATTCGACAGATTGTTGTTGTTGTTCTTCATTGTAAACTTGATTAATAATACCTGCACAAGCTACTGACGTATTAGCTGAAGATTCGACAGTAGTTGTTAAATTATTTTCTCGATCATCTTGTTCATTAGAAGTTGCTTTATTTTCAACTTGACTATCCATCGATATGACGCTAATAAGAATGCTAGCATTTGGAAGTTCTTGTTCATCGGACAGTGGAACTTCTGTTTGATAACTTGTATTTACTTGAGTTATATTCGTATCCAATGAAACTGTATTGCTTACTGTAGATATCTGATCGCCGACTAGTTGTTCATTGAATGTTGATGATGGAAGTATTAAATTTTCTGTATTCGTACCCTTATCTAACGTGTCAGTAGAGGATTTTTTCTTTGATTTTGGCTCTTTCTTCTTTTTATTCTTCTTTTCCGATTGTTTGTCATTTTCAATTGTTGCTGTTGTTGTCAGATCAAGTTGATTATCCATATTTTCACCTGTTGTTGTTAGTTCTTCTTTAGTTTTGCCTAAGATAGGTACACTTTTGTTTTTGGTTAGTTTAGCACCCATGACGTGTATTGAATACAATATATAAAAAGTGAGCACGATCGATGTGAAAGTTTGCAAGAAGCAGACAATATGAAATGTATGCACGAACAGTGTGAATCGAGTATGTCTGAGAACAGAGAGCTGCAAGCAAGTTCTAATACGAAAAAAAAGAAGATAGAGAAGGCAAAGATAACAATGGAATGTATGATCGCGATGTACATGTATACAGCGGCATTATTGTTTTCAAGTATTATAAGATGGATCCATCTCTTGTAATGATCGACATCATTGGCCATCAGCACTGATAAAACTAAAGAAAAAAAAAACAACAGAATAGAAGGACATAATGGGCAAGATCATCATCATCATGTATACATAGCTACTACATTGTTATCTATGGATGAGAACGAAATTAGATAGATTTGAAAGGAAGAAAGAAAAATGAGACATTTTCTGAACTATACGAATAACGTTCTATGACTATGATGGATGAGACAAGTTGTCTCATTAATAAAATATATATGCGAACGAATTTCAATACACTAAAATTTGTACATCTATGCTTATAGTCGTCGCTCAAAAGCAATGTCCTATTATAAGCACTAATTAAATTGTTTAATTATAGTATAAAAGAATAGATAAATGAAGCAGTCAGCTAATTCTCGGACTATCTTAATATCTAGAACTATAATTTTCAAGTTAAATGAAAAATCTTCGAAATAATTTTACTCCAACCGACAGATTTCATTTTCGATTTAGATTGTTCAACAGAACAATTTCGGTCATCGAATTTGGTTTCACTGATACTGTATATTTGATTGTGCTATTTACAACTGATTATGTCGATTGACATTAGAATTTATGCAACACTTTACATATGTTTTGTATGATTATCAAAAGCTTCGTTTTTTTACACAAATATTAACACGCGCAAACTAAATCTGCGTTACACAAGTAACAACAGATGCCATACAAAGACTCTGATTGCATGCCGTGAAGAATACTCATGTGTTCTTTGAAACAAACCACTCGTGTAACATAGACTGTGCAGCATACAATGAGGAAACTAATTTTGGATGAGAAAACTGACATTTGTTTCTGTAAGTTTTCAAATATTTGTCGGAGGAGAACAGAAAGTATAGCAATCAAAATAAATGTTTAACATTGAAAAACAATCTAAACGTTTATTAAACTGTAGTGTATAAGAATGAGACTTCTTTTCTAAATGAAATACCATAGAAGAAAATCAATAACGATCATATGATAAAACTTGATACATTTGTTCTTGATACCATACTTGTCGATATTCATGTAGTTTGATATCACCGAATAGATCTCAAAAGAATGTCGTGTATACGGTTAAATATCAAAATTTTTTCTTTAGAAATTTAATCTATCTGATAATGGTAGAGTATGGTGATAAAAAATGATTAACAATGCAAATGGGAAATATATTGAGCTGTTTTCGAACTCAATGGGGAGTTTGTGAAGCAAAAATTACGAAAAGTTGTCGTGCTGATTTTTAATTGTATTTCTCAAACAATGAAACACTTATCATGAATGGGCTATTTTTGTCATATTGTTCCAGATTGTCTATAAAATTATGTTCTTGAAAAAAATCGCTGCTGCTATTTTAGAAAAAAAAAACCCTTTTTCCGACGTTGTACAATAATCAAACCGGTAGCAAAATTTACAGCTACAAATAAAATTTTTCTACAAGAATATGATTATTTAAATCATATGTATTCAATATGGAAGATGTTCAAATAAATCTTGTCTTCTTTTTAACTCGTTAATTATAAAATTTTGAAATTAGCCTACTGTTTACAGGTCAATCGCTTTGAATTATTGTACCTTTATTTAATATTCATCTATGTCAATCATTTACAAGTATTATATATGTTTTACGGATATCGTACAAAACAACGATAATCATAACTGCGTAACTAAACACAGATATCCGCTTCTTTTTTTTAAATATTAAACTTCAGACACAAACAAAAAGATGAGAAAAAGGTCAATTCAAAAAAGAAATGACCCAAAATTCGATTGTTTCATACATAGAAAAATCTGATTAGCAGAAAACGTTAAACAATGCACAAGTTAGTTAAATGTGAAGAAGGTAAAGGGGCAAAAAGCAGTTGTCCGATTGTCAATAGGTAAATTGCAAAAAACGACATTTATAATCAATCACGACACTCTTCGAATTCTGGCCATCGGCTATTTGTTTGTGTGCCTAGAAGTTAAATGAGAGAGAAAAATAAATAAACTTGCATTTATAGAAGACAAAATCTACTGATATACCATAATTTTCATCCCACCAAGTCAAATCTTGTTCAATATTATGCGTAGATAGACTTGTTTTATAATCTTCAATCATCTTTTTCAAGATTGAACTAAAACATACATAGTTTGTTGCTAAATCTAATATATTCTAGAATAAATTTACTTGTCTTGTGTCATTGTTTCGACTAGCTTATAAAATTCATCAAATGTTTCCTTGAAAAATTCGAGGCGTTTTCGTTCGAATGTTTGTGTTCGATCGAAAACTTCTTTCATAGATGTTTCATAGCGTGGTCTTTGTTCTCGAGCTTCATTTATTGCTTGTTCATATTTTGTTTTAGCAAATCCAACTTCACGTCGAGCTACTTCAGCTTTATCAGCTAGTTTTTTCCTCTGTTCTTCAGATGCTGTTCGTTCAGCTTCATCAGCTAATTTAGTTGTTTTACATGCTGCATAATAAGTTGATTTGTTTTCAGATATTTTCTCTAATAATTTACTCCATGATTTTTGTGCATCAATAAAATCTTTTTCGAATTCTTTAACTATTTTATAATGTATTAAAGATTTTTCATAATTATCTTTACGCCATTGTCGTAGTTTAGGTATTAATGAATCCGATAGTGAACTTGATAAGGTTGAATGAACTTCAGCCACTTGTTCGCCTAATATAATTGTTTTATTCATTTTGAAAACTAAAACAAATGAGAAAATTACCTGTTGCTACTGATTGATCCCAAACTTGTTTATTTGTTCCATATTCATTCGATTTTACTAATTCACCATGCCATTTACGTGACCATGAACGTAATTCATTCGAATAATCTAATTCAAGTTTTGCTCGTTCTTCAAACATAGTCACAAGTTGTTGAGCAAGATCATGACCATTTTCACATCGTTTCAATGCAACTGAATAGGCACCTGGTTCGAAAAAACCTCGACCATATGCTAGATTAGACGCAAATGCTTCAGGACCAGCGACAGCAGTATTTGATATCGATGCTGATGGGCTAACCGGTCGATTGGTTGTAGCACTTTTACGACTGAATAAATTCATCTTAAAGAAAATCAATAAATATTTTATGATGAACACGAAAATAGTTTTTTGTTTATATATATATAATTGTTGTTTTTTTTTGATCGTGAATATGTATATATGAATCATTTGTGTGCTAAGAAAAAACACACATTCAATTCATTCTTCTCCTATTTAACGATTCGTTCGTTTCAGTCGAGTCGTTTGCTTGAATCTTCACTGACGAGACACACACACACACACACAAAGAAAAGCGAGAAAGAAGAAAAAAAATGATGTGAGCAATATAGCTGATTCATCTATGAAGACAAATGTGGAGGCGGCTAGGCTAGATACTAAGGAAGAGTGAATAGACAAACGAACGTCATTAATATGAAACAGATAATTTCTGATTCTCTTTCTCTAGGCAAACATATGTAAACAAATGGAGATTTTTATGGATTAGACAAGAAAACACTACACATATGATTTATCAATTACTATCCAGTTATATATGCATGCAGTGATTGGATTGATAGATTGATAAATGTATATCTTCTATCGTTTCCATTCAATCAGAACTTACCAATGGTTAGACGCTCGGGAAACAAAATTTCCTTGAAGAAGTTTTATAGGCAAGTTAGGTATAAGTTTGATGATAATTATTGTAAAAATCAAGGCAAAATATGTTCTACTATAAATAATACATAGCATTCATCAATGTAACCTTGGCGTGCTGTTTGTTGTAAGATAATCATTCCAGTTGGTTCTTTTTTTTCAGCTCTTTAGTAGCGTGAAATATTCACTGTCTGTCAGATTATTATCAAGTTAATAATCTAATGAATACTATGTTCTTTAGTTCATATTCACGAATATAAAAGCAATTTAATTCCTATAAATAGATTTTCGACATAAAAGGATATTCAATTTCATTCATTCTTTTCGTCATTCTGTTTCAAAGCATCCTTTTAAGAAATGACTGATTCAGAATCTTCTTTTAAATAGGCTGTTAGCCTAGAGCTAACTTATCAATTCAATTGATGAATAAATTTTTATGGATTAATTTACTTTGATTATTTATACTAATCAATCAGTGAATTAATGCTTTTTATCTGTTAATATTTATATCTTTCGTGTTGAATCAAAGCCTAAAGTATTATTATTTTTTATACAAATAATATTTGGAATGTTTGAGAATATTCCGATTATGGTTTGAAGTAGATAAAAATAAAAAGATATTGTTTGGTTTCTTTTTAACTGTGATTTCCTTTTCCTAATATCAATAAAAAAAACACAAACAAACAAAAATCAATTATTAGTTCCCCGTAGCACTAGATGGTAATGTTGTTTGTCTTTTAACTGGTAAATTACAATCTAATTTACCACGAACAACTTTATAATGTACACCGGGTAAATCTTTTGTTCGGCCACCTCGTACTAAAACGCTGTGATGTTCTTGTAAATTATGTCCTTCACCTGGAATATGTGCAATAACTTCAACACCATTAGCTAGACGAACACGACAACATTTACGATTGGCTGAGTTTGGTTTTCTTGGTTTTCGAATTAATGTTTTAAGTACAATACCTATGATAGATTAATAATAATAATAATAATAATAATAATAATAATAGACTAAAATGATTATCATTTTTTACAACTACTAACCACGCATTGTTGGTTGTTCGTCCATTTTACTTTTTGTTTGAGGTCGTACACCTGTTATCCACAATGTATTCATATGCATATGCCAAAGAGTATTAAATGAACGACGAATTAGAAATGATGGTGATGTTAACAAATTTGTATTTGTTAATAATGGTTTAATTAAACTTTCGAACATTTTACTTTTGTTTTTATATTATCTAAAACACACACCATATATGTATATATATATATGTTGAAAAACAAACGCAAAATTAATATGATATAAATAGTATTCTTTTGTCTTTTTATTGAACAATCAAATGTCGAGTTAAATACCAAATAAATAACGGTTGAAGAATAACAATGAGAAGAAGTAAATATATTCGACGTTTACTTCCACCAGAACCATACGATTGAGATCCACCAGTGTCAGGTAGAATTTGTAAACGAAGACATTTAACCTGTATTAATAGAAACATAGAAAAAATGGCTTCATTTCAAAAGGTATACATACAAGAAAATAAGATAATGATAGACTAACATAAAACAAAGCACAACTATAAACGAATAATGAATTTGTAATTAGAAATGATGATAATACAGCAATCATTCCAACATATTTATAACCACAATAAGCGATTAAGTCAAGTGTACGTAATTTCGATTGAACATTAAAAATGTAAAATGTGAAGGATAGAATACAAATTTCAATTATATTCCATACAAGAACAGATGATGCATGCATACCCAATTGTTCAGGTGTAAATCTGAATATCAGAAGAAAAAAATAAAACAATAACTTTTATCTACATCAATCAAATAAAAACAAATTTTACTTATTCTGTGTACCAAGAACAAGACCAGCTACGAGCACGTATGTTATAGCACTCATTACTAGAAAAGAAAAAGAAATAAAAACAATAGGATTGGTGGCATAATATTACATGGGATATAATAATCAGGTGCATTTGTATCAACACGTGGTGGTACGGGCTCATCAGCACTATATGCTAGTGACCAATTCTATTAAAATAAATAAAGTTAGTGTATTTATTTCTTGAAATTTATATTTACTCTTGGTCGAAAAGGAAATAATAGTAAGCAAAGTTTTTTCAAAACATAAGTTTGATCAACAGCAAAATAATATTTTATTGACGATATAGATTTTTTCATCTAAATTTATTTAAATATAATAAAAATATAAAAATATTTTGTTTTTACCTCATTTGGTAACATGTTAACAGTTTTGCCAGTAAAATCTTTCATACCTTGTTCAACAACATTTAAACCAACATTAAAAAGAGGATTATTCGAAAGATATTCCATTCCAGGCATAGCTTGATTACCAGACATTTGTTGAGATGGTGGAGCATAGAAAGCTGTTTGTGGTGAAAAGAAGCCATTATTCGATGGCATAGATTGTGGTTGAGGGACATTGTAATCACCTCCATAGTGTGAAGGCATTGATCCTTGAGGAGTAGGGAAATCGCCACCATAATGTGACGGCATTTGTCCTTGAGGTATTGGAAAATCGCCACCATAATGTGACGGTATTTGTCCTTGAGGTATTGAAAAATCGCCTCCATAATTCATAGGTGCTGGTTGAGCTGTAACAAATTGACGAAAAACAAGGGAATTAATAAGAAATCAATTCAAAATACACACAATTAGGATTTGTAGGTTGATAGAATTGATTAGTTTGTTGCTGTTGTTGCTGTTGTTGCTGTTGTGGTGGTAGTGGTGGCAGTTGTGGTGGCTGTTGCTGTTGCTGCTGCTGTTGTTGAGGATGAGGATAAGCTTTTGAAAGTCTCATAGGGCCACCTATATAAATATGAATGAATAAAATCAGCAACTGAATAAGTAAGTAAAATAACTCACGAGAACTCATATTGATACTGTATTAGCGAAGAAAATAGTTTGACCAAAATTATATTATATTAGTATTTTTAAATTGGCAATGTATGCAGCAACTTTATTGGTCGGTTGTATCGACAAAACATGGCAGTTCTATGTATGAGAGCAATATGCATTCTAGTTGATCAGTGACATCTGTCTAGTGGTAAAGGAAATAACGTCCCAGGTCGAACGACACGGTCCGTTTACTGGAATCAGTTTTACGGCTATATCTCTGTTGTAAAAAAAGCCGTAAGTAGCCGTATTTTCACAATGTACGGTTCGTATTAGGTGTCTTTACTGAACACAGTAATACCAAATCGTTTACGGTGAAAATAAGACTACTTACGGCTATTTTACAATAGAGATACGGTCCGTAAAACTGATTCCAGTAAACGGGCCGTAACGGAGTTCCGTTTTGATCGACCTGGGAAGTTAGGGAGATAGATTAAGACTAAAGAGTTAAGTTAAAGGGATAGAGGTGCTGTGCCGATATTGATGGCACACTTGGATGATTCTCCTTCCTCCTCTTTCTATTCTCTTTCCATTACTATAATATATCTCTCTCCTGTCTCTCTTCTATCTGTCTCCAATATATACGTGTGTTATGTATGAGGTTGTTACACTCTGGATATGTGAAGAAGCGAATAAACATCATTGCCCTGAGTGGCGGTAAGCTACTCCACCTCTATCCAGTTTGTTTTAACGTATCAACCCAAACAGGATCCATTATTTATTGTTACAGGTGCAGAACTACAGAGATACGATTATGGTAATTAGGATACCGATTTAATAGCATTTCATAGATCCTATATGTAGCAAGTGCCGAATAAGAAATTTTCAATGCATTATCATGAATTATAAATAATAATGTATACAATTACATGATAATGCAACCTATTTAATCTATTATAATGCATTATTCTAAAAACAAATGTATTATAATGCATTACATAGGTTGCATTATCATGTAATTGCATGCGTTGCATTTCTATTGTAAAATAATGCATTGCAATGTCCATTATTTCATAAAACCGGCTACATATGTATCAGTATTGCATTTTAGAACATGGTATTTTTCTTAGTATCTACGCATTTAATAATTACATTGAGTCTTTTTATGTTGGGGAAAGATGAACAGGTGTTGACTTACATTACTCATGCATTGAATAAATAGTAGAAGCTCTTCTTGAATTTGTCAAGAGAATATTTATAGGAAACTACACGAAACTCATTGACACGTGGACGACACGTCACCTGAATCGATGACTAACTCAATGACGTTCTCTGTCGCTAGTGTGGCATGCTTATAAGTATCATTGAATCTTAATAAAAAGTCACTACAATTAAAATAACCAAATCTAAACTAGATTGTTTTGAATAGAAGCCTATTTTACTTGCAATTACTGTATAATAACCATGTTCTTGTATCATTCATTATGTTACGAAAGTTGAATCCACTTTCTTGTCAATTTATATGCATGCTATTCATGTATATTGCAAATCGAAAATGTAAAGTTCAGTTATTTTTCTACACCAATTGAAAATAAGAATTTTTTCTGTTAACTCATTTTTTTAATCGTATACTCCTAGTCTTTAACAATATTTTAAATTAGATGCATTCTATGATACAGAGATTAAATGTATTTGTATGCCGGAAAATATATGTGATTATTTTGTTGTGGGAATAAAACGAAACCGTGTTTTATTGTGAAGAGAATTCGACGTTCTCTTGTTTTTGTTAACTTATTTACACATCAAATAAATCTTCACCGTTTTTTCTTCTGTCATTTAATATAGCTGCCAAATAATTCTATTCGTTTCTTTATTTTTTTCAATTTCATCGAATGCAATCGATAGACAAAATTGTTGGTAAAAAATGGCTTCCATCACATCATAAAGTCCACCAGACGTTAAAGCACAGAAGAGCAAAAAAAAGACGTAGAAAAAATAGCAGAAATACAATAAAAAAAAGTCAGACAAGCGAAGAAAGATTCCAACTATGCTTCATGATTGTAGGGAAATATTCTGACTAGTTTTAAATTACAATAATAATAATAGTAATAAATGCTGTATTAAATTTGTAGTTTGAAATAATTCGATACGAAAACAAATTTCGATTTGCATACAAGATTTCACGTGTATATATTGGTATCATCACATCATTTTTCTGATTTTTATGTTGTTTTTTTTTTCTTCAGATTTATATAGGTTACCATGGCCGCTGTTGATAATGAAAAATTAAGTATATTAGAACTTACGGATTGTATTTATTTTCTACGTGGCCATTGTATGTTCAATGGTAAATGTCATTATCGTCACTGTCAAGCAGCTATTCAGCAATTGGAACAATGCTTCAAGTGGCCTGGTTCGTGTCGTGATAAAAATTGCCCCTATCGCCATACGGGCAAGCCATCTAAAATGCTAAAATCTTCAGTACAAGAAAAAGATTTCATTAGTTTCTTTTGGGATATTGAAAATGTTCCCATACCTAAAGGACAAAAACCTTTCGATATTGTTCAACGTATTCGACAAAAACTGGTTGTTGAATCAGGCCTGCAAGAAGCAGATTTTTCTTGCTTTTGTAACATCAATACGATATCACAAGACAATCAACATAATTTACATCATGCCAATGTTCGTATTGTTCATGTACCTGATAGAAAATCAGGTGCCGTTGATCGACAAATAATGCTTGAATTGGACCGTTTCGAGCGTATTCATCGTCCACCGGCTACTGTAGTTCTCATATCGGGTGATATTGATTTCGTTGGAAAACTAAGTGATCTTCGTCATCAAGCCGGATTTCATGTTATAGTCATACATAATAAACCAGCTAAAGACGAATTAAAAGCTACTGTACATACGCACTATCCATGGGAATACTTTACTGAATCAAATGGTCAACATGAAATAATCATGGAAGATAAATCAAAAAGGTCAGGCAGTCAGCGAAGAAATTTAAATTCCAATTTCAATGACCAGACAAACAATAATTCTCACTTCGACCACAAAATACCAGTTCCAAAACCAAGACAGTCACGTTCGAAGACAAGAGTGAATTTGCAGAATGAAACTAATATTGTTCAGAACAATAATGTGCCTCAGAATTTTCCGGTAATGTATCCTCGTGCTACAAGTGCAAATCGAAATTATAAGCGAATGGATTATAGTCCATCACGAAAACCACAAAACTGGAGATATTATAATACAATGGGATATTTTTATTCAGATTCTTATGCTCCTCCACCATCTGTTCCAAACCCAATAGCTACAACACGCGCTCGGAAACGTCAATCAGCCAGTGTTTTTAGTTCAAATCGACAAAATAATCGAATGTTCACTTCATCTGAACAAATATCACCAACTATCAATAATGATTTGGGACAGACAGAACAAAAGTTATTATCATGTGCTCATTGCAACAATCGATATGGTACAATTCAAGCACTTCGCCAACATCAAAAAGATCGAAAACACTTATTCTTTTGTCCAGTATGCTGTTGTAGCTTTACCGAACCGAATAATTTAAAGCAACATCAAACTGCGAAAGGACACGACATTTCCACTAAAATATCACATCAAGATACTACGAACGATACTTCGAATAAAATGTGTCAATTAGCTGATAGTGTTGAACATAAATTAGATGTGTCTAACACTACCAAAATTCTGTCCGAAAATCATCAAACATCTACCGTCAACAATTCAACTATCGACAAAAACACAAATAATGTTGATATTGATGTGAGTTAAGCAAAGCACTTTGATTCTCTTACAGAATAGGTAAAATCTATGCTGTAAAAATATTTCAGTACTTTCAATTTTAACATCAACATTATATGTTTAATCAACTTCGAAATTACTGATTTCTCTCAACGAGTATCATGTTTTACTAGTAGGATATGATAGTAAAATTGATTATTTAAATAATACTTTTATCAGAAAAAAAAGTATTTCATAAATACTTTTTATTTTTCACGGGTTGTACTTTTCATTTTTTTTTATTTCCTTTTATATAAAAGAAAATAGAGAAAACAAAAACAAGTTGGCTCTGTAACAATGAACATCACACATATTGATCAGTATTCCGATATCAGAATGTTCTATGGTTAAATAATACGTCTATCTAAACATCACGAAAACTAGTATTTTGGTTTATATATTATTACGTAATGACAGATAAGAAAACAATGAGGGAGAAAAAAGAGAATACTCAGAACATACACTCGAAATATTATATAAATGTCTTCGCGTTTCTTAATTGACACGTAGATTGCTATTTCGAAAGAAGTGTCTGCTGGAGTAGCAAATATTCACGAAGAAGGGTGGGTGTAATGAAATTATTGACTTATTCGATGTATTTTATGATTTCGTATTGCTAATTTGGCCAAAATTGTCATTGTCATCCTTCTCTAAAAGCGAAAAAATTGACCTGATACTTGCCAGAACATTGACTTCTTGTTTCCACATTCTACTATTTTGCTACAACAACAACAAGCAGCACCACCATCGAAAGATGATATAGTGAGATTCGTTTATAATGTTGAAAATTTTTCCATTCTACAAGGGCAAAAATTAGTTGTTGAATCAGGTTCAGTCGATTGGCAAATCATGTTTAGATTAGATCGGTTTGACTGTAACTATCGTCCATCAGCTACTATGACTCTGATATTAATTATATTGGCAAATTAGTTGAATTTTGCCATCAAACTGAATTTCATCTAATTATTGTAGATGATAAACCAGCTACATAAGAATTAGAATATGCTCTTGCAATGGTTTTTATTCATGAGCATTATCCACAAACAAATTCAAAATCTCGTGAACTCTATTTAAATAACACCCATCAATTGAATCAGCCTTTCTATCCGATTTACTACCAATCAAGTTTTTCTTTATTTGCCATTCTAACGCCATCCGTATTATGCACTTAAACTAATCATGCCCATCTTATATCTGAAAATGTCTATTCTCGTTCAATGCTACCAGCAACTGCCCGTGGAAATTGTAAGGAAATGACACAAAAAAGCATTTGAATGACTGCTCATTATGTGAATCTAAATATGATAAAAGTCATTGTTTTTCAACTGCTCCGGATGTAACCCCGCTGTTTTTTATACAAGCAGCCAAAGCCAACACTAAATAGATAAAATCATGATCTCTATAAAAAAAAAACAAGCCAATCCTTATGCAAATCAATGCGAATAGCGATTCACAAAAGAACAATAAAGCTGGTCTACTATTTTGGAAATGAATGTTAGTAATTAGTGTTTCTGAAACAACGGCTTTCATTGAAGTTATGGTCAAATGGTAGATGATTTTCATCAGTTATTTGTTTGCTGCATTGAAGTTGCAAAACACTTCTTGGCGCCACTTTTACTTTTAGCATGATTATTTTTTACTAAAAAAAATAAGGAGAACACTTCTATTGCCATCTGAAATTGTGTGGAAAATTTTCTTCATAGTTTTTGTTTCTAAAAAAAACAACATGCTGCGTGATTGGGTTTCTCGTAGAGTTAAATTGTAAAATGTCACTTGTTTATTGTGATAAGATAACACTTGGTGAAAAAAATCTAAGTAAATAGTAATAAATGCAAGAGATCTTATCTTTCGAAGCAATATTATTGAGAATTTTAGATCATCTATTTAGCAGAAATTAGTTATCAAGAAATTTGGCGCATTTAATGTAGAGTAGAAAACAGTTAAGTGACGATTCTTTGTTTATAAATTTAAACTCATCCTTATTGTCTAGTTCATACAAAGACATGAACTCTGATAGTTCTAGAAAAAATAGAGTCTGAGTATATTTATTTTAATTGTAGTGCTCGAATAAATTCGTTGTCTGTGGTCAACGATTCATGATTATATCCACACGTGATTCTAATCGAACGTGAATCATCGATAGATCCTTGAGTAAAATATATTTCAGCAGTGCCAAAAACAGCATGAGACGTTAGTAATTACTCATGAATATTTTATGTTACCACTCTTATCAGAAAGCTTCTTTTTTGATAAAATGTTAATATTTCATCTGATATTTCACCGTTCGATTTCTCTATCAATTCTACACAATAGAAAAAAAACACTCGTAACATACCCACAATGTTTTTCTTTTCTTCTCTTTTTTATTCTATCCTTTGACTTCTTATTTTTTTGTTTTTGGTCTATTTATCCACGTTACGGGTATGTTACATACGGTAACAAACCAATCAAACTCACCTGCACGTTGATTCAGCCTCGAGCACTTCACAACGCTTACTGAGTCCTATAAAATAATTTGAATAGGAAAAAGAACAAGCTAAGAAGAATAAATTTAATATATATTCTACGGTCTTCTCTGTAGATTGATACTCGGCATGGCGCAAGCCCTGGACGATAGTTTCGGGTCTGATTTGAAGCATCTGATGGATTGCATGCATTTTATTAGTGGTCGTTGCAATTTAAACAACAACTGTCCTTATCGCCATTATCGTGAAGCGGCTGAACAAACAAAAAGCTGTCCAAAATGGCCTAAAACATGTCGCAATATTGTATGTCCCTATCGGCATTGTATGACGACTGCGCTTCAAGCGACAGTTAAAAAAGAACCAACACACAGAGTAATACTTAAGTTGCCTGGACAACTGCCACTGTCAACAAAATCGTCAATGCCGTCACAAGGTTTTATAAGTTTCTTTTGGGATATTGAAAATGTTCCCATACCTAAAGGACAAAAACCTTTCGATATTGTTCAACGTATTCGACAAAAACTAGTTGTTGAATCAGGCCTGCAAGAAGCAGATTTTTCTTGCTTTTGTAACATCAATACGATATCACAAGACAATCAACAAAATTTACATCATGCCAATGTTCGTATTATTCATGTACCTGATCGAAAGCCCGGCGCAGCTGACCGACAAATCATGCTTGAGTTGGACCGTTTCGAGCGTATTCATCGTCCACCGGCTACTGTAGTTCTCATATCGGGTGATATTGATTTCGTTGGAAAATTAAGTGATCTTCGTCATCAAGCCGGATTTCATGTTATAGTCATACATAATAAACCAGCTAAAGACGAACTAAAAGCTACTGTGCATACGCACTATCCATGGGAATATTTTACTACTCCACAGCAACAACAGCTACAATCACTAATGAGTGCAGATAATAATATAAATTCGATTTTTAATGGAGCCACAAAGTCAACAATACAACCGAACATAATACATGCCTCTAGTAGCGCTAATGTTTTACGTCGAAGAGATCCATCATTAAGTTCGCCACGTGTACGAAAGAACTCATCTTCGATTGTAAGTAATCAAAATATAAAAGTTTATAATTGTCCACAATGTTCAAATGAATTTCAAACTGCTGAAGGCTTAGAACAACATCAGAAAGTTAAAAATCATTTATTCTATTGTCCCGTTTGTAATGAGAGTTTTGTAATGGAGAAAAGTCAAGTTCAACATCAAAAAGACAAAAAACATTATATTCGAGATTATAAATGTGATCAATGCAATCATTATTTCGCTAAAGTGGAAAGTTTGAATCAACATCGAAACGCTACTGGACATACATCATCACCTAAGAAATCTACTGCTAATGGATGCTTTGTTTTGCAGGAAACATCGGCAGTTTTATCGCCATCAAATCGTAATAATAACAACAATGATAATGAAGATCCTATGCTAATTATTCTGCAAGGCATTGAAGCTATTAGACAGCATTATGTAAAGTATGGTTTCATCAGTGATTAAATATTTCGAGCATTTTCTTTTTTTGAATATTAACAAAACTCATTCTTTTACTATTATTCATTCAAAAATCTAGCATTGAATACATGATAATCATTCAATTTCGAGAGAAATTTGAATATTAGATGATTCCGCGATCGATTTGATATAGTTTTGAATGAATACTAATCATCAATATATTTGATATTAGCATGTAGTCAAAGAATGAGAAAAAAATATTTAAAAAATTCTTTGATTTAAAACAATTTTTCAACAAAGTAAACTCTCGCGATACAAATCATGAATATCGAATTATTTTACTTGTTTTTAAAAATTAGTAGTTTACTATTAAAATATTTGTCTATAAAAGAAATCTGTAGATCGCTCACGAAAAGAGAATGATATTTGATTGATCTTAGTTGTTGTTGTTTTTTCATTCTTAACAAAATATATTCATATTTAGTGCATACTAAAAGTAATGACGAAAGTGTTTTAATCTCTAATAAAAAGGTTCAGCAAACTTTTTAATATGAAACATTTCTACATATAGTAGACTATTCAAACCAGCATCGGGACAAAATAAAAAAAAAACATTCGAAAACTGAACGATAAGAGTATTTCAAACATTTAATAAAATAATGATTTGATTAGTATATTTTGATATGTCTTCTTTTCGTTCCACGGACACTGCTTTTTGTAATTCTCTAATATGTAGATAAGGCGCAAACTTAGAAGAAATAATGCATTGAAGACAAAACTCGATAGAATATCACTTTCATACAATATAAAAACAGGACCGATATAATCGAAGTTTTACTATTATGATGGGAGCGCTGAAATATGGTAAAATATCATAGAAATATAAGCACTTGCTATTATTACCACAGTCTCTAGAAGAAAAAGCATTTTTTTTTCTTATAAAGATTTGAAATACCTTTCTAACTACGTATAACATGCCTTAACTAAATACTATGAATATATAAATCCCATAATGCAAGATTCGAATTGTTTTATATATTTGTTTTCAACCTTATACAATCAAATTTATATTAACTAAAATAAATATTTTAATGCATGTAATATGACATCGGGTTTGTTTGAATAAAATGCAAATTTTAGAGCTCAGTTGGATCAATTAGAAAGTTTAACATTTGGAACCAATGGCCAAAATGTTTGTTTCTCGAGGCTGATTGAAACAGGGAATCTTATTTATATATTTATTCTGAATTGTCCATTTTAATCGAATATGGTTATTCAATAGATAATAAAACTGATATCAACCGACGCAATACAGGAATTAATTACTTCAAAACTTGTATTAGCTATGTAATTATCATGGTGTATTAAGAACTATAAAAGCCTAGCCGAACTTATTTAAAAAAATTTGATTCAAGAACCATATTCTATGTTGTACTGATAAATATGGTTTGAACGAAAATTCGATGTAAAGCATTTATGAATGTTATCGTTCCACACTTTATAATCGAATACTTCGTCATGCCTTTTAGTAATACAAAATAGTATCTTCTAAATTCATTAATGCGATGCGAAGCAGAAGCATTTATGTAGTCCGTCGCGAGTCTTTTTAATTTTTTTTAATTTTTTTATTATTTTTTACTCACTTCATGTACGCATCACAAGTCGTCACTTTGTGTCGCGATCATCTCGAGAACCTAAAATCGTAGAAAACTCGTTGAAACGTGTGGTCGAAGTATCAAGACCGAACTAAGAACATCTGTTTTCGAATCTTTAAACTGAAATTCCGTTCACTCAGAAATGGTGTTCCAAAATGGCGAAAATGAAAGAAATTTATCAAGAGATAATTAAAGTGACGTCATGAACATATGTTAGCCATTGTAGCCTATTCATTTACAGCTGATCTAAGATAATGAATCATGGAGATAATCAATCGATCAATCGAAATCGATCCTTAAGAATGTATCACTAAGTAAGAATAGAGTTTTCTGAGTGATGAATTTCATCATGTCGACATAAAAAGTATTCAAGATTTCTCTGAATTGAAGATTTTTCCTGGATCGAGATTCCTGCTTCGCATCGCATTTCGTATTCGAGTGAAACTTGAATACCATCTAGTTCAATAAAGGTTTTAATAAACCACCTAACTTACTAACCTATAAATTCCTTCAATAACAAGAATTATTTTTTTCCATGGACGATTAGTACGTGGTTGACCATGAACAATAGCTTCTCGTAGTTTTTCTTCTAAATTTTTCATATCTATGGCAAAAACAAAAAAGAAAAGCAATAACTAATTTAAATTCTTGCTAATAATTTACCATTATGCGCAAATGTTCGATAGCTAGCACCTGATAAACGGATGCCTAAGATCAATGAAGCATGATTCATTTCATCACTTAAAATTAAATCTCCCTAAAATAATAATTTGGCACATTGAAGAAGAAGAAAAAATCTCGATCGATATTTGTTCATACTTTAGACGCTAAAACTGGTAAATTAAGAGAATTGGTTGCAAAGCCCTATATAAATCAAAAGAAATTAAAAAAATAATTAGTTTCTGAATGATCAAAAGGGTTTTATTTTAATAAGAAAATTACTAACCATGCCAAAAGCAATTGAACTTTCAACATGAAGAAAATCTGCCAGAAGTTGTTCAAGTTCAACATGATATCTTTGTGTACCTTGAAGAAATAAAAGAAACCGAAAGTTGATATTCATTCGGATAAATACGAGAAAATAAAAATCACATAAACTATACTAAATTGCGTTCGTATTGAATAACTGAGTTCTGTTTGTCGCAAAGGTCAATAACATCATAGAATATACATCTAAATGTCTTTACTATCTTTACTTTTTTTTTACATGAAAAAAGGCCAAATTAGATTTTGTTTTAGTAAAAATTGATATCAAAGACGTATTTTTTATTTTTTTTTATTATCATACACTATCTAAATAAATTATAAAGGTTACTAATAAATCGAACTATCATTAATCATAACTAAATCAATGACATCGAAACGGTTTACCTGTATTACTCAACTACTTTACCAGTAATTGTACGAACGAAAATGATTAAGAGTGCACCTTAAATTACATCACCATTCAGAAAGGAAACAAAAATGAAAAGAAAAGCATTAAACTGCCATTAATCGATCTAATTCCTTTTTTTGTAAGGGGACTCAACATTCTCATATATCATATATTACACTACGTACCGATTTCAGTTCTTGTATTGCAATTTGAGATACCAAATTTTTTAATTGAATTGATAGCATCTGTCGCACATGGGCCTGATTTTTCAGCAAAACCCAAGTAATTATATGAGCCTAAATTGATTGCATTTATTGTTTTTCCGGTAAATCTTTTAAATTAAAAATAAAAACCATCTTTTAAAAAATTCTATTTTCAATTAACCTATGTGTCCAATTATAATCATCTGAAACACGTTCAACTACTTCAACTTGTGCACCAGGTACACTTGCAATCGGTCGATTGAAAATGTCACGAACGCGTGTGTACATATTGCGCGTATAAAACGATTCATAACTTTGATATAATGGTACGAAACCCTAATGAAAGCAAAATATAGAATAATTATTGAATTTAAAAGAAAAACTAAGCATACTAATGCAGCATTTGGATCGACAGCGCCGCGTTTTTTTTCAATATTGGATTGCCGAAGAAAATCTCGTAACCAACCAAATAGACAAAGTATAGCGTAGCTGAGATAAGTTAAAATAGCAGCGTATAATGGTGTTTCTTCAAATTCTTCATCTTGTAATCCGCCATCGTCACTATTATGCTCAGTTTCAGTTTTAAAGCGATATTGTTTAAGATTTTCATCAATCTGTATAAATAAAAATCAGCCATCTAATTATCGATAAATATTAATTGATAAGATATTTACCGGTGGTAAAACGGTATCTCCCATTTTTTCGTTTGGATGAAATTCTGATGTTAAATGACGATGCTAGAAGAAGAAAAAGAAAAAATAAGATAAATTATCGAAAAATCGTCTAAAATATATAGACATTGATGATAGATCAATATCATCATCTTTTTATGTATGCGTTTGTAAATTATCAATATTTAGTCGACCGACAAATTTAATAATACAAAGCAATAGAAATAAAGATTGCAAACGAGACTATGGCGGTGAAAACAAAAGTATGTTATTGTGTTAGAAAGAGAAATATGATGCGCAAAGATTGTTAACGCACAAATGATGTCGATGATAATTCTTGATAACTTACAACGTTTGTAACATGGACTGGCTGTGGTGATGAAGCCATCATCGTTCTGAAAAAAAATAATATTGATGATTCATCTACAATGACGATATGCATCGAGAAAAGATCGGACTACATTTATATAGATATATATATATACACAAATATAACATTTGTCACTGCTCCCTGTTTTCTCCATCAACTAAGTTACGCAGTGACGAAAGAAAACAAGTCTTATAGAAAGAAAAAAACTAAAAAAAATGTTGTTCTGTTCTCTTCTACGCGTTTAGAGAGAGTTGTTTCATTTCGCTCTGTTGTACTTGCCTTCAATGAGAAAAACACAAAGAAATGATAATAGTAAAATGAATCACCTAGAAAACAAGAAGGCTAGAGGAAGACACACAGACACTATCTATCTGTTCTTATCAATAGAGGTCGGGCATATGCGCGAACCCCCATATCTTTTTGATTAGTCAACATCTAGGCCCATTGATAGTATAAAAAAATATAGTTGCTTGCTTTTTCTCTTTATGATTTTAATTTATCAGTTAGATTGATAATTTAGCAAACTATCAAAGATGCTTTGGGGTAAATATTTACCTAGAAGAACAAGAAATAAAAATTGTTATTTTTAACTATTATTTGATTAGATTCTAAAATAGTTAAAGAAGAATCATCAATGATGTTTGGTAATATGAATCACGGTGAACAATTTCAATCGGCAACAACAGCAGATAAATTATTTCTCGATAGATATCAAGCTGATTTACAATCCATGGTAGATTCTTACATTACATCTGTTGATAGCCTATCATCCATAAGACCATCATCCATCAAAACACGACGCATTATATCGCCACTAAAATATCAACGTCATGTGAACGCGAATTCATCATCATCATTAGTGACATTTGATCGTGATCCAGCATCAACAATAACAACCGAACATTTAACCGATGAACTTCGTTGGTTATTGATTCAATATGGGCCACATCAACCACGTGATGATGAAGATAAATTTCTAGCAAGTGCAACATCAACAAATAATCGCAGAGGAACAATACGTTTTCGTTCTAAATGGTTCGATGATCCACGCTTTTCAGATTGGCTTGAATATTCATTATCAGCTGGTCGTGCTTATTGTTTTTATTGTCGTTTATTTGCTGAGTCAAATCGAAATCGAGCATTCTCACGTGATGGTATACTTGCTAAAAGGACTTATTTTACTTTATCTACACTATTTATTTCAGGTATAAAAAATTGGCGTAAATGTTTAGGATCTCGTGGTCAAATAAAACGACGTTCAACAGGAGCATCGATGAGACCTGATGAGAATTTAGTCATATCTCAAAGACGTGGCCTATTAGAATCTCATGCTATGTCTGAAGCACATAAACAAGCCTATAACAAATACCTTGCATTTGTTGATCAAATGAATTTTGTTACAGAACCAAGTGAAAGCAAACAATCTGGTAAATATTGATTGACAAAAGAAAAGCGCATTTCTATCTTGTTATTGAATTCTATCAAAAAAAAAACTTAATTAAGTAATTCTATAGCACATCAAAAGTAAATGATTCGTTCTGAATATACATAAAACGAAACATACGAGGAAACTTTCTTCTAGTTTGACAGGTAAAAGAAACTAAGTTTTACTTATCTAGTCAATCCTATGACCTTCTATCAGTAGTGTCACCTTGCATTTAATACTAAGATAAAAAATATGATCCATATTTTTCATTTGTTTGATTACTGTCTATCAGATGACAAAATTTCAAGATTTACTAAACATGGAACAAACTCTGCTGCTTTGAATCAAAAAATTAATGATGCCTATTTTTTTGCCATCAAAGAGATTTTTTAATCAACTCGAATGCCATTTTTTGTCTCATGTGAAAACTTACGGATGTGTCAACTGTGCGCGACTTTCCTGTCACAGACAAGAACTGTAGTCGTGAGCACAATTAAAATTAATTCCTGTACTGAACTTATAGAAATCATACAAACGAGGATACTTCAAAGGATTAACTAAGCCAGAATAATAACAGCTGTTCTGATCTGGTCGAAAGAATGTTGCTTGCTGTGAAGAAAGTCTGAAACTGAGTACTCGCATAGATTCATTTTCCTTGTCAATTTATTAGAGTATCTGGTATTTAAATTGTTAATATTTTTTAAGCGCCTAATCATTTTGAGTACTGAATTGAAAAGCACTTATGAAAATCGTGTCTTATATTATGGATATTTCTTCCTTCGTTCTTACAAATGAAAAAAATTCAAGTCAGTAGTAGAATCATGCATATGCAATTCTGATAATGTGTGCAGTTCGTACTGCTTTTTACATAGTATTTCTGTTTTAATTGCGCTTCAATTCGTCTCAAACGCTCAGAAAATGGATTTACCTCGAGAAAAAGATTTTGACTACATTAAGAAATCAAAGCTGTTTAGTATTTTTTTTTCTTACAAAAAGCCTACTTACACCCTTAAGATAATAGACAGCAGCTTAGAAATGTTCTTTTATGTTCGTTCATACGTCTCGTGTTATTTCAATTTTTAACCATTTTCTCTTATTAGAAAAAGATCTCTTTCCCTAAAGCCTGGATGTTCATTTTTTAATTGAATGCTCAGAAACTGTAAAAGCAAAAACTTGACATGTAATGCCAGAATAGACTTGTTTCCATAGAATTTTATTAATTTATCTTACTAATCGATATTTATTTTGCTTAGGTGATTCAATACATCAAATAAATCACGGTGAAGAAACGAACCAAGAGACCAATATGTGATTCGTGTTGTTATAATTGTTTTTTTTTGTATTCTAGTAGCTTAGTTAGAATTTATGTACATTCTTTTTCTTGAACTTTTTTCTTTTAAATTGCGAGTAGGTATGACACGACATTGAAAAGATAAATTATAATGCGTAAATATTTTTTCGGCGATTTGTCAGATCAGCTTTTTTCGCTATTGGTACTGTTGTTGTTAATAAATATCATGAAAAACTGCAATGAATCAATGAGCGCTCATTACAATACGCTTAAATGTCTTTTCAAAAACCAAGTCTTTGTCTATTATTATTTAATGTAATAATCAAACGAAAATTAATGACAAAACAGGAAAGATTATTAAGTGAAATAATTGCTTTACATGATCGGAATCTCGAATTGATTATCGATAAATCAGATAGTGCTAGAAGTTTATTATTACAATCATTATTTGATCGACAAATACAAGAATATATACATTTGAATTATCATATACCTATTGAAACCTATGATAATTATATGTATCGATTAAATTCAATGATTATTCATCATCCAAATGATTTTGATAGACATAAAAATTTATCCGATAAAAATCGTTTTCTATCCGAGAGAGAATACTATCGATTTAAATTCTTTTTCTTGAAATTTTTATATTTATATTCAAATAATGTAGATCAATCGTTTTAAACGGCAATAAAAAAGACTCGACAGATAACAATAGGTAGTTTAAATCAAGTTTAGCGTACACAATCGAAAATGGAATTAACATAACAAATACTTGAGTTTGTTTTTTGTGTGTGTGTGTATGTTAGTATGAACTCGAAGAAATACATTAAAGTAATCATCATGGGATCAGGATCAAGTATATAATTAGGGTAAATAGACTTTTGATCCCCAAAAAAATGACTATTGATCACCAAAATGTGTACGTTGCGAAATGATCACCAAAAAAAGATACAAATGACCCCCAATTTGCTTTTTGTGGAATGAATGGTAGAGTTGTGGTAGATAACGTGTTTATCTCAAAAGACAACAGATTGATAAGACATAATTAAACAATAATCATAATTGAATCAAAATGATCTCATTAACTGGGAATAGTTACACAAAATGCTCTATCATAACAATGCAGAAAACTAAAAATGCCAAGTACAAAAAAAGTTCGAACAGCATGGTTACCATGATTTTGGTAGAACATATTTTCTGTTTCCATTGTTTATTGTATTTTGTGTAACTATAGTTGTTATTTATTATTCTATCTGTTATTGTATTGATAATAAATTCGGTGATCGAATATATTTTTTTATGATCATTTCACAATAAAATAGATTGGGGATCATTTGTACATTTTTTTGGTGATCATTTCGCAACTAACGCATTTTGGTGATCAATAGTCATTTTTTTGGGGATCAAAAATATTGCTACCCATATAATTACAATTAGATTCCTTTGATAAGAAAAATAAATTAAAAGTTATTTATAATTGAAATATGTTTTGCTAAACATTGTACACAATCATTAGCTTTTATACAATAGTCAATTTCAACTCGCAGAAGAAAAACAGATTGACTGAGTAGATCGACACATTCACAATAAATAGCAATACTCTTTATTACGGAAATCAAATTGCTGATTTTTAAGGTTAAAGCAATCTATTCTATCGGTGATTTATTTTATCTAGAGACAAAAAATAAGAAATAACTATATTTGGTCTGCTGATTCTTGTCAAGGATTATCGTCTTTGTCAGGTTTCCCATAAATATGTATGCGCAATTATGGAAATGGTTACGGTACACTCAAACAAGTATAAGGTGTGAGTGAGGCTAAAGAAGATACCAACATCCACATCCTCAAGATTTATCGATTAAATTAAATGATTTATCAGATGCGATTCTTATATTTATTTTGAGAAAATCGTATGATATCGAAGTGTTCTATTCTTTAATAGACGTTAATAAACGATTTAATACAATTGCACATGATTCAATTTTTACAAGCCATTTAAAATTATTTATTTTTGAATCATGACATGCATCCATTACCTGATGCAATGCTGGATCGGTTTTATTCAGAAATTTTACCAAAAATTCACCATAAAATCAAATGGCTTGATCTTGAACCAACATCTTTGGAACGTATTCTTCTTGCTGCAAATTGTTCTAATTTATATGAAGTTAGTTTAATTCTGAATAAGGCAGAAGTAAATAAAAATTCAACATAATTTCTTATATTATATTTATTATGTAATTGAGTAGCTGATTCAGTAATCTAAATGTGAACTTATATGTTGGATTTGTAGTTTTCAATAAACTGAACAAATCCATATCGTATAATTTGATGAATATTAAAAATAATTGGTTTGTTTTTAAGATATTTTATTATTATTTAGATGTCACTACTTTTACTCGTACAGTCAAAAGTATACTATCATCACTTCTTATCGGTATTAGTAAATATGAAAGCTAAATTCTAATAGATGATGCTAATAAATTTATTTTTACACGTATCTTTACGATGTTCGCCAATTTACAGTATTTACATGTCGGCTCATCTTTAATGTGGTATCAACGATTTTTATTTAGCGTGACATTCTCAAATGTTATTTCTTCAAATCTGTTAGAATTACATATGTCTGTAACTTATTTTACTGATTTGCTTTATTTACTTGATGGACGTTTCGATCAACTTCATACATGTCATGTTAATATTTTCATCATTAAAAGTAACAGTTGAGCAATTCATAGTGGGGTAAATTATTTCTGATTAATACTGCATTTGTTAAAATAAATTGTATTTTTATTGATTTTTCTAGGAAAAATTGTCTAATCGAAAATGCTTTTTTGTGTACTCAAAAAGTGAGTACACTCTAGAATCGGTCAGTGTGTCCGGTCGTCCGTCCGGCCGTAGGCACGATAACTTGCGAAAGGAGAGTCAGACCGTGATGAAATTTTCCACACAGTTCAATCTCATGAATATCTCGGTCGAGTTCGAAGATGAGAAGAATCCCTCAAGAANGATATGCTTCGATTTACAACTAGTGAACGAAATCAGCAAGTACTAAATTATTTGTATTTTCAATATACTGTAAAGCGAAGGGTGTGGGTGTGTTTATCTCTTCTCTATTTTCTTATGGGATGATAATTAATAAAATATAGCCAGACTTTCTCTCATGTTAATTGATACTCTCATATAGAATGGGACGAGTTAAGAATCAAATAATTTTTAACTGGGACGAATTAGAGTAAAAGAAGATGGGACTAATTTCGTGGGACGAATTATGGGACGAATGTGGGGAATACCTTTCCATTGATGAAAAAATGAATTGTAGTCAATAAAAAGTCTTAGAAAAATGAATTATATTATACATCAAAAAGAGCGACAAAGAAAATTGATCAACTATTAAATATCTTTATCTGGTTGAACTCGAACTTCATGAAGCGCACGATGATTACGTTGAATAATTCCTGGTTCACACGAAGACTTATTTACCCAATAAAATTCATCTTTCTGTCAGTTATCAAAAACTGAAAAGTGTTGCGGAAGTTTTTTCAAGATGCGAAACACGAATCAATTGTACAAAAGTGTATTCTTTATGTATACGTGACAAACATGAAATTAGTAAAAATTTAAAAGGCTGAACTCTTCCCGGTCAAAACTATCTGACTGTATTCTACTCCTCTTGCCAGCCACTTTTGATATCAAATATTTATACTCTTCATCGTAGACTCCATTCTTCACGCTCAGTCTTGATTCGCCTTACTATTCTTTCTTTACAATATCGACTATTCTCGCTGGATAAGCACTCGTACTCACACTTCAATTGAAAACTTGAAAGAACTCTAACAGTTCTACATGTGAGACAATATATGCTTCAATTTATTCGTGGAAAAATAATATTGTCTAATTAAAACACGATTGTTAACGATCGGTAGAAGAAAAAGAACAAAATATGAATGGTTTTAATTGTTTCAAGAAAGTGTCTGTGTACACTGGCATGCCTAAATTTGCTACTAGTATTTTTGAACATCATTGAGGATCTTATTGAAGAAAAAACATGAGATCTACTGAAGATTTGCTTTTAACTATGAGACATTTAAATAAGCTCTTGTGGTTTTTTAAATAGTCAACGTCAAGAGTCATTAATTCTGTTCAAAGATTATTATTAATGAGAATATAATTCTTTAGTTGTTGTTAATTGGATCAAGCATTTCTTTCTTTATTATGATCTCAAGAGAACAACAGGCTACGTATTAATCGTGGGCAAAAATTAAGCCAATGAGTGAAAAATGACCGCCGTGTGGAACAATTGAAATTTTATTTTCTTATTTTTATTGCGTTTCCAAGCCGCGGTCACTTTTCAATTAAGAAGCAGCCAACAAACATAAAATGATTGTTATATATATATATATATATATATTAATTCATACAACTAATACATGAACACAAAAAAATTTACTCTTCGTCGCTACTATCTTTAGCATCCTTTAAGACATCTATATATCGATGAGAAATACTTCGTAAGACTTTCTGATATGCATCAAAATCTTTATCAGGACTTAGTTCTACAAACGTATATGAATGAACCATTTCGGTTTTCACTTCGTAATCGATATAAATAATTGTTGTATAAAAGTGCTTTTTCTTCTCTTTGAGTTGTTGACCAAGCGAAATTTGTATCCATTGTGTCAGATGAAGTATCACTTTTTTTCTCATCATTCTATATGTATCAATTTCACAATAACGAATCAATTTCGAAATAACTAATTAATTGAAAAATGACCGTAGTTTGGAAACGCAATAAAAATAAGAAAAAATAAAATTTCAATCGTTCCAAACTGCGGTCATTTTTCACTAATTGGTTTAATTTTTGCCCGCAATTAGTAAGCTACGATTCATAGTCATGGACACCACTAATTTGTTTCACTAACAGTAAGAGGACTCTTCGTTTCAAGGTACAAATGACTAAAACACTTCAAATCTTTACAAAATATTTATTAGACCCAATTTATTATGAAATATGACAATTCTACAGAAACACCACCATCTAGCAATCAAGCTATCTTCTTAGCTGTAAGTGTACTAGACTTTTCACAATAAAACACTATCTAGAAATTTAAAAAAAAAAGAATGTTATTCATCGTGTTGATAAATATATATATATATATATATATATATATCAGTTATTAATTGTGTTCTTCCATATCTTGAGATAGAGTATAAAAAAATAATATGAGAACTGGTATTTTTCTTATCTTTCGTCTATCTCATAGAGAACATCTTTATATATCTCAACATATTTGTGGTAAGATCTTACACATAGTTTTCATTCCTTTAGCTGGCTCGGTGTGGTTATTATTATTATTTATTTAAAGAAAAAAAACAGAAGAATAAACTATGGACGATGATATTCTAATCAAATTTCGTCAAGTAACTGAAATCTTTAAAGAAAAATTCCAATCAAAAGCAATAGAACGGCACAATGAAGAATACCTTCAAAGCCTTTCTGATCAATTGCATCAATGGAAATCAAATATAGATGAACAAACAAGGCAAATTGTTGAAGAAACAATTTATGAAATACAACAACTCTATGATGACTATTGTCAAGAAAGTGATGACAAATATAATAGTTTAAAGGAACAAATAGAGAGACACAATTCGTTATCAAATATCGATAATCAAATTGAAGATTTTAATATTTATTGTCAATCGAATACAGTTGAAAAGCGCATACACCTAAACACACATAATTTTAACAAAGAAACGTTCGATGAAAAAATTCAACTAGAAAACATTTCTTCTAAGGACATACCACTGGAAAGAACAATTGTCCCATTGAAACAAGGCACTAGAGAACCACGAGTATTCATGCATAGTATCGATACATATGCATCATCAGGATCGTCATCCCAAAGAAAACCAGTTATTCAAACATCAATGGAATCAACTGCTAGTCTCCACAGGTCGTCAGGACCAACACCTATTATAGTATCCTTAAACATAAGACCATTTATTCAAGAATACACGAGACCAAGTCCAAGTCAAGAATCCATGTATCCAGTTCACACATCATTAGGAACTTCACCAGAACGAAATGAATCAATTCATAGTACTCGCACATCATCAAAATCATCGGCTGCTACAATATCGTCTGAAAGAAAACCAATCGTTCCAGAGCGAAATGAATCAATGGATAGTATTCGCACATTGTTAGAATCATTATCACCGGAAATAAGACTAACCGCCGAAGAAAAAGGAGAATCACTATATAGTCTCCACACATCGTCAGCATCATCACCTGAGAGAAAGCCTGCCGTTTCAGAACGAAATGAATCAATTCATAGTACTCACACATCATCAAAATCATCGGCTGTTATAATATCGCCGGAAAGAAAACCAATCGTTCCAGAACGAAATGAATCAATGAGTAGTATTCACACATCGTTACAATCATTATCACCGGAAATAAGACTGGCCGCCGAAGGACAGGGAGAACCACTATATAGTCTCCACGCATCGTCAGCATCATCACTCGAGAGAAAGCCTGCCGGTTCAGAACGAAATGAATCAATTCATAATACTCACACATCATCAAAATCATCGGCTGATACGATATCGCCTGAAAGAAAACCAATCGTTCCAGAACGAAATGAATCAATGGATAGTATTCACACATCGTTAGAATCATCATCACCGGAAATAAAACCGACCGCCGAAGAAAAAGGAGAATCACTATATAGTCTCCACATATCGTTAGGATCATCAACAGAAAAAGAACCGGTCACCGAAGGAATAGAAAAATCACTATATCCTGCCGACTTATCATCAGGATCATCATCACTAGAAAGAAAGTCAGCCATTGAAGAACCCGACGAATCAAGGAATAGTATTCATACATCCTCGAAACCATCAGTTATGGTAATATCACTAGAAATAAAACCAGTTGTTCCTGAACAAAGAGAATCAATTCATATCATTCAATCATCACCAGAATCATCGCCTGAAATAATAGAATCCCAAAGAAAATCTTCAGAAGAGAACTCAAAGATATGGATCAAGGAAGATAACAATGAGCCGAAATCATCGGGCAGTGGTCCCAAAAAAGAACTTTTTGTTTCTTCAAAGAGTTCTAATAGTACAACACCCCCAAACGAAATGCCACGACAAAGTACAAACAAATTATATGTAGGTAGATATGATACATTTGTTCCCGTTCTTATCCATAAAAATCGCGAAGTCTACAATGAAAAAGAAAGATTAACTGAATATTGTGTTAATTCTATAGCAATATCACAGGACAAATTAGATGAACAAAAACAAGAAAAACAAGTGACCAATGAATATGTTGAGAATGATAAAGACAGTAGTATAAAATTAGTCCATGCTTACAGAGTTCTTGTAGAAGAAGAAAATGATTTTCATCCGTTACCATCGGACGATGAAGAAGACGAAGAAAAAGAAAAATCAATTGTTCATCGTGGATTTGATTTACAGCGATTCAATCAAATTCATTATTCAACAATGGTATTAAAACAATGTGAAACAGCAAATAATTGCATGTCAAGTTCAACAAAACAAAATCAATTATTGGTTTATAATTCAAAATTAAATATTTTAATCATTTTAAAACATGAAGAAAATAAAATATGTCGCGATCAATTATTTCTACAATGGCCAAAAGGTATTAGTTCCAAGATATCGGATATCACCTACTGTGAAAATAGTGATCAATTTTTAGTATCAGTATTAGATACAAGTCATATATATATTTTTAATCCAAATCTGTTGTGCATACATGATTTGGGTAAATTATCAAAAGATTTGCCACTACGACGTATTCATTGTTATCAAAAAACAATTTATTGTATATTAGGAAATAGTTTCGTTTTAGAATTTGAATTAAACGAACAAGTTTCAAAATTGAAATTCGTCCGACAAATTAAATTATTCGCTCCAAATAATCGTTCAGAAGATAAAGTTCATGTTTTATTAGATGTTACTTGTGACAATGAACATTTAATCATTATTTATTCAAATGAAAAGGATGAGATACATTTACAAATCATTAATCGACAAACAGGAAAATTTCATAATGATTTCATTTTAGATAGACCACATCCGATCAATAAGGATTATATACGAATAGAATCAACAAATCATCAAGGAAATTTTATTTATCTTAATGGTTCCCACAAAAATTTAAAATCGATTAATTTATCAACTAATAATAAAGCACACGCTACATCAATTTTTCGTCGACAAAAAAAACCAACAAATCTAAGTTTCCTGAAAGATGGCCGACTAGTGATTTTATATGAACATCCATATCATTTATCAATCCATGATTTGAGTAATCATTGAGGAACAAATGAATTATTATATTTTATTACTATTTTCTTTTTAAATTGTATCATTAATTTTTTTTTATTATGATTACGAATAAAAATTTAATTACTGCTTTTATTTGTTTTTTGTTTCAACTTTTCTTTCGCAAAATCATAACTAAGTAAGCCGAGATTCAATCAAGTAATAATTACAGATTTCAATGAATTTTATGAAATAGAACTGAAAATAGATTTTACACGAACAATAGAATATGCAGACGTGTCATAGAGTAGTTTCGGTTGAGACAAGTTTTTCTTATCGCAGTTCCAATCAATTTCTGTATTCTCTATATCTGATTTCTAGCTGATAAACTAAAACATATTCAGATTTGTCGTTGTCTAACTAAAAATCATACTATGCACGTACATCGCGATAATGCTGAGTCATTATACCATACTTCATTTTATTGAAAAAGAATGATTTGTAAACTGAATCCATGATAAATCTCATGCGTAATATTACCACTCATCGTTTTTTGATTATATGAAAATATATTTCCAATAACCAAAAGGACAATAACTAAATCGACCCTGACAATTATCAATCAGTTTTAATAATTTAAGTTATGATCCCTTATTCTTATCTAAAAGTTTCACTTAATCAATTCTTGGATTTTTTACAAAAATAACAAAAAATCATCAGAAAATATATATCGAATCAACCATGTTGATTATTGTCTGCGAGAAGGATTCGAATGAAAAAGGTTTGTATCACAGTTTAGCAAGGATGTATTCACCATTGAGTTATCGTGCCTCTCTATGATCTCTTGAATCTCATATGAATTGTTGGCGTCATAGTTTAAATGTTTAGGTAAATTTTGTCTAGAGTGAAACATGTAATACGCACGAAAGAAATGCTTTAAACTTTAACGGCAGCTGATATCAGAAAAACTTGTATATTCAAATGAATTTTCGGACGAGCTTCCGATTGAAGCAAGCATATATGATATTGTTTACTGGCAGCTTCAAATGCTAGAATAAGACGAAATAATGAGAAAACAAACATAGTACACCAATCACTGTAATTTCATTCTTCTTGAAATGAAATATACGCAACGTAACAATGCAGGATACACTTTAAAAGTGTTCAAATTTGAAATTTTTATAAAACAATTCCGAAAAGCTGTCAATTCTGAATCATGAGGTTATAGGATTACTAGATGAGAAAGTATCAATTATATCTAGACTCCAATGAATCAGTGAAAGATACTTTTTTACACAGACGAACTGAATATTACACTGGATTTCAAACATGTTTAATTCATATTTGTATTATAGACTGATTGAAATTATCAATATTTTTCGAACAAAAATATATAATTACATTTTAAATTTAACATTTCTTATATCATTACCTTGCCTTCAAATCATATAAGAAAAATAACTTGCTACTAATGTACTACTTGCTCGATTAGAATACTTTTTATAAATGAGTGCAACTAACAGTTATATTTAGTATCAAAATTATTTTACTATCAGATGCGCATTGAACGATAATCTATAACGGTTAAAAATCAAAACGATACACATGCTCTTACGTCGACTAAAAATTGATTCGGTAGATCGAAAGGATAATCTTTATTACGAGTCAATTACTGATTCATGTAGAAAAAAAGCAAGGTCTATTTAATGAACATGTAAATCATCACATTAATCATTCAAGGCCATCTACTTTCTCTATCCGTTATATGTAAGTTCTCAAACGTTACATAATTCACGATATGACTCCTTTATACATTTTCATTTATCAATGTTTTAAACAAGTATCAAATCATACTAATTTGCTTTTTGTTCAATAATGATTTCTCATATCACTGTTGTTTATAGAGAAAGTTCTATTTTTTTTAAATGAAATCAATTTTTTCATTTGAAGAATAGAAAAGAAAATTCCCTGAGCCATCCTATGTGATAGACATTCTAAAAGTCGTCTTGCTATTGGTTTATCTCATGTGCATGCACACAGACACATGTGTATTAGAAACACATTTTAAAATAGGAACCAAACAACCGAACAGTACTCGATTAAACAACGACAAAACATATCGTCAACAGAACCACAACAACCAAAAATGCACAAGCTAATCATAAAAAAAAAAATGGAAGAAAAAGAAAATAAATTTTCTATAGAATCGCACAAATAATTGCAGAAACCGACGATGCTTTTTCTCAAACTAATTATTTTCATGTATATACGAAAAAAAACCACTTACAATGCATAAAAAGAATACGAACGAAACAAAAAGAAAAAGAAATGTTAATAGAACATGAAAATAAGTATGCTGTTTTCTTTCTTGGCTCAGTTGAAGACTCTTGTAAAATCTAATTTTCGTGAAGTTCACAATCGAAAAACAAAGAGAAAAAAATATTACAAAGAACAATCAGCCACATCAACACCAATAGAACAATACGACAGAGTTGTGATAAGAAAAGAATAAGAGTAGACATTTTCACAAACGCACATCATTATCATCATGAACATGCTAACCTAATAGAGATAGATATATCAACGAAAACAAATTCTTTTACTCCATACTATCAAAAGTTAAAGTAGCATTTTTATAAATCTTCATGAGCTGGTTCACCACCATGCTCTTCTTCTTCTCCGCCTTCTTCATCGTGTTCAGGCTAAAAGAGCAAAACAAAAACAAATTCTAATAAGTTAAGCTCGCTTTTCAATCTACCTCTTCAGTATCAGCAGCTTTTCCATTTTCTTTACCATTTGAATTAATAAATTTTGCAAGAGCTTCAACTGTACGAGCACCAAAATATTCAACAATTTCATCTGAATCCTTTGGGAAAAGTCTAAATTGAAAACAGCAAAAAATAAAATTTCAAAAACTGTCTTTTTTATACATACTTAATTGTTGGGAAACTTTGAATTTTGATACCTTCAACTTCATTAGCAGTAGCATCCATTTTAGCAACCACAACATCAGGAATATCTTTATATTGATCACCTAATTGTTCATAAATTGGCGTCAATTGTTTACAGTGGCCACACCTAAAAATTAAAAATAAATACTTAGTACCAAACGCAAAATATGATAAAGTCAATAATGATTTGATTATTTTATTCTATCTATGTTTCAATATACTTCTTCACCAACTTTCTACTTCATAGTCAAGAAGTTCAATATGAAAATAATTCATCTATTATTAGAAAAAAAACGCTTATGCTAACCCGTGATTCATCGTACATCAACAATACTTATTATAATCTCTATTTTCATTCCTATACTTCAGCATTCTTTGGAAATCTAGATCTTTTTGAGATTCATAAAATAATTCTTTTTTTACCATGGTGCAACAAATGTAACAAGTACAGTTTTGCTTTTGTCCTTTGCAACATCGTTGAAATTTTTTCCGACCAAAACTTTGACTGAAGCTTTATCCCAATCTTCAGGGATTTCTTGTGAAAGTAAATCTGGTTTGAGTTTGCCATCAAAAAATTCATTAACGAAGCTAACTAAACTTTCTGATGTAATATCAGAGAAGTCAGGTTTGAATTTGGTCATTTCATCTTCTAGTGTTATTAAACGAATTGCTGGGAAATCAGACTTTTGAAGACCAAAGAATTCAGTGACACGTCCATTTTCTTGATCATTCACATCAACGAAAACGAAAAGTGTCTAAATTGGAAAATGAAACGAATTATTTTTACTATTCTTGAGATCGAAGTTCTTTGTTTTTTATTTACCTGTCCGCGAAATTGTTTTGCAGCTGTATGAAATTGTTCTCGTTGTTTTTCATAATTTTCATTAGTTTTATCAGCAAATAAAAGAATATGAACTTTAATTGGACCACCAAAGATCTTTTGAGCTGTCTAGATGAAAATAATTAAATAAACTCATAATTTTTTCCAATCTGTTTCAATTAATTTTTACATCTCCATTGAAATCGATGACGATTGGAAATTGATTGGCTTCAATAAATTTTCGAATTGAATCTTCATCAATCGATGATGTGAGAACATTGCGGCCTTCATCAAACTAATATCAAGAACACTTCTTAAATAGGTATCATAAAAAAGAAACTTTATACTACTTTTTTCAAGAGAATAATTGCATCATCTGTAACTTCAAGTTCTTTACGAACATCATCATTTGATGTTATACCAAATGGAAAACCTTCAAGAGTCTTAGCAACTTGAAGAAAAGCAGCAGCAGCATCACCATCAGTATCCTAAGAAAAATCACAATCAGTTTTAGAATAAATATAGAATGAATAATAGAATTACCTTGAATGCACCAATAACAACAACATCACCAGCTTGCTTCAATTTGTTAAGATCATCAGCTGTCTTTAATTCATCAGCTGCTGGCCCTGTCTTCTTTTTTAGCCAACTAACGATATCACTATCTGATCGGCCACCAGTATATTCCAAGACTGTGCCATCAAGAAAAAATTTCAATGTTGGATAGCCTCTAACTTCAAATCGTTGCGCAAGATCATTTTCAATGGTTGCATCAACACTAGCTAATTTCACTTCGCTACCAGACTCGGCTAGATTTCGAGCAGCTCCAGCGTAAGCTGGTTCTAAAGCTTTGCAATGACCACACCTAAAAATAAATACAAGGATATGTAAATAGCGAACTGTTTTCCAAATCAAATACACAATAATTACCATGGTGCAACAAATTTAACCAAAACAAATTTATTATTTTTGACAACATCATCAAATGTATCTTTAGTTAATGTAAGAACATGACTTGCACCTGCATCTGATCCCGATTCACTGCCATGAATACGTTTCGTTGTTTGACTCAGAACAATAACAACAGCTAAAATAGCTGCCTGCATAAACCCTGGAAACATATTTGTTACTTGTACAGTATACAAATAAAGAATACAATAATCTAAAATCTATTAAGGTAGAAAAAAAAACATGTTTACGTGTATATTTTCTAAGGTCATTTCTAAATATTTGCAATATATATGTTGTAGTGGAAATTAAAATTCAGTAGAATTTAAAATCCTACTAGTAGAAATTGAAATTTTAGTTTCTACTATAGGCAAAACTCAGTAGAATTTCAATTTCTACTAGTAGAATTTTAATTTCTACTGCGACATATACATTAATATCATGCTGTTATAGACGAAATCTGATCATTTCAGCCATAGAGAACAAAACACGAATACATGCTTATTTCTGTAGAATACCCATTGTCGACGTGTGCTGTATGAGGATATTATTCATAGGAATAGAAGACCGTATAGAATCAAATCAAATAAACTAACAGCTACAATTTTTTTCTATAGAGGCACAGAAAAATGTAAAGATCAAGATGGATGTTAAATGTGTTTGTTAGAATTCATGCATATTTCATATTGATGTTGCACATTATAAGAATAAATAAAAATATGCATTTATAGATCTCAAGTTGATACATAACTAGACATATAGAGACTAAAAACAAATGAAATGTTTTGATTGGAGAAAATTGAATGACTCATTTTCGATGATTTGCTATGAAATGAACAGACCCTGCGAGTCTCGTGTGTGTCAAGCAAGTCAAATATTTGTCTCGCACCATTAGATCCAATCAAATCAAAATAATAAATGTAAAATTATTTAAATAAAACTAAAATATTTTTTTAGAAAATTTTATTTATTTAAAAAAGAAAGCTTTTCAAAACTTGTACACGGTTTCTCTGATCTTTTTTATAATATCAATTACTATAATGTTTGATTCGTAGATGTTCTTAGGCCATATCTCGAGACGGCAAATAAATTAAATATTTTATGACTATTTTTGAGTCTTTTAGTAACTTGAACGAGACAAAGTTGACATGATCGAGTGTACGCAAATATTTCAAAGCAGTAATGTAAAAGTTTGCTTGTATTTCTGGGTTATTATAAATCTGTTTTAGTTATTCGAGAGGTATACACTCCCTAGCTTTACAGAATTTAGTATTAAGTTTCGCGTTATTTTTACAAAATCGACTGATAAAAATATACGACCTTTTATTTCAATAGAACATTAATATATAGTACAATAAAAGCTATTCAATTAATAAATTTAACTAAAAACGTTTTAAGAAAATGCCATTAAACTTACACAAATTCTCAATGGCATTGTTAAATTATCAATGCTACAGTCGATTTACTTTCATTTTATAATATTGTATTTGAAAATGCGCAAAAATAAATTATTATACTCATTAACAGATTAAAGATTCATTTTATCTCTAGATTGGAAACGGGAAAACTATGATAAGTGACATATTCAAAATAATAATTATTCTAATTTCTTCTATTGTTCTAACGTCTCGTTCTTTTTTTTCTCTAAGTAGTAAATTGCTTTCATTCTACTTTTTTTTCTAAAAATAAAGGTGAAAATGTAATTTGATTAGAACTGCTATCTTAACACCAGTCAGCATTTTTCGTTACCTAGGATGTCTTTCTTCCTCTATATATATAATGATTCAAAGTGTGAAAGACGACTTTCGTTTCTTTGGTATGATTTTTTATTTAATGAAGTCTATTTTCTCTTTGTATTAAACCTTTTCATTTACTGATCGGTGCTATATATTTACTTTGTATCTTATTCAGTTGATTTTTTCGTGATTTATTCTTATTCAATAAAGTTCGGTTTTCTATTTGACGTCACATTCTGTTTGAATTATGAATCTGGAACAAAAAACAGTCAATTTTTTATTCGTATACGCTTTTATTTCTTTTTCATTTATATATGAGAAAAGGCGACGATGAAGTTTCAGCTATATCATTCGTTCTTTTACTTTTCGTTGAAACTGCGTATAGTCAAAATCAGCTTACGAAAAAAGGAAAGCGATGGCGTGCATTCATATACCCATGCTCTATCTATATTGCATAGGCAAAAGAGAATGTATGATGATAACGATGAAGTACCACCCTACTTTGGCTTTCTCATTCGTTTTCCTTATCAGTAATCAAACACAGTGAAGATACTAAAGATTCTTACATTGATGAAATGAGAAAGAAAAAAGAACTCATTGTTTGTTAAAAATATTCTAGATAATTCATATTTACCTACATAAAAAACAAGCGAATATGGTTCCTAAAATGTATTGTATCTTCCTTCTATTCGGTAAGATTCAGAACAAGATTAACGAATTTTCAATATTTTCTGTTTTTGTTTTTAAGTTTCTGTGTTTCTTGCTTCATCAGCCTATGTAAGATGGAAAGGACAACTAAGACCTTTAATATAAAATATAATTATATTTTTAGAAAGTAAGCCCACCAGCTAACTTTACATGGCCTACAAACTCAAAAAAAATTTGTTTTGTTGGTCGCTTTGATCTTGTGCTGAATGTTGACTATATACAAACTAGTGGTGTAAGATTTCGTTAGTTTTTTATTTAATAGAAAAAAAAGCAAGAAAATTTTATTTTAATTATTTCCAAGGAAAAAGTTTCAGTTAAAGTACCATTGAATAATGATACATATGAATCATACCGTGTATCGTGTTCAGCACCTGCTAATATTCATGAATTAACAGTATCAATGTTAGATGGTTTTACAGAAATAATATTAGATTTTACTGTTGACAGTAAAAATATGACATCGTTATCACGAGTTTATGGCTATATAACATTCAATGATAAACAAACATATTTTAAAAATTATTCAGCTGGTTTAGATGGTAGATTTCTATACATATTTATTTTCTTTTTTCATTAAAAAATGTATTTTCATTTTTCTTTCATGTAAATTAGGTATACATAAATTTTCATCGAATGAATCTTTATTTATGAATGCACGTGGTAGTTCGTATAGATGTAATACAAAAACAGTAATTCAAGGTTTTGAGAAACATCAAAATGTAACAGTTACATCGATCGACATAGAAAATCTACGTGTTGAACCATTCCCTGATGATACAGCAGAATTTAGTGATTACAGTGTTGGTATGTAGTTAAACAAACGATATAGTTTTATTTTATTGGTTTATTTTTGAAATTTCTTTTTTTTCCATATCAGAAAAAGTGTGTGCAGCTGATATTGCTAAAAATTCTAATTTGATTCCAATTATTGTTGGTGCTTGTCTTGCTGTTTTGGTTATTATTGTACTTGTTGCATATCTCATTGGTCGTCGACGTAGTCGTAATGGATACCAAAGTGTTTAAATAGTTCATCGGCATTACAAGATATGACATTTTTCTATTATTTTTCTATGGAAACATTCTTTTTTGTCTTCTTCTCACTGCATTTACAATTTTAAAATGATGAAATATGAAAAAATAATAAAAACACAACAAAAGCAAAAGGATTGTTCAGTCACTTTTCGTCGTTATATGCAAATTGCGTACGAACTTTTCTGTAACATCTTTTTTTTTCTAAATTACAAATTTTGTCTGTAATACAAATAAAAGTAGAGTTTAATAAGCGAAGAAGTCAAAAGAAAAAAAAAATAAACTGTAAAATTCAAATGTTCTTTCTTTTTTGTTTTACTTAATTGTTGGAAAATAAAGAAATCTTCTCTTTTTGTTTTGAATTACCATACATGAAAACGATAGCGGTCCATACTTCGTTGGATACTTGTAAGGCCATGTTTAGATCTTTCTGCTTCATGACGTTTGATATCCGGAAACAATTTAAAAGCACGACGATTCAATACTGGGGACGATGGCTGTTCGAGCTATGTACATATGAAACGGTAATTTTCTTCAAAGTAATTAAATAGAATAAATAAAAAAAGAAGAACTAATGTCATTGGCATTCAACTTTTTGTTTATCGAATTTTCGGGTAGATGACCAAGAAACAAGTTTTTTTTCCTCATAAAAGGTATCTATGTTGAAGGAAAATCTTGCGTTATATCGCGTGTGAATGAACACTATAAAATATAGTACTTGTAGAGGAAAAGATAATTATCTTTAGCAGCGTAGAATTCTTTGGAAAACTTTACGAATTATCGTACGGTTTCATATCTTAGCATTTAGTTAATGAAAATAACGATCTAATTTACTTACCGATTGCGAATTATTTTGAAATATATTTGGATTAGCGATAATCGATGTTATTGGAACCGTTTGTTCAATCATAGGAATTGGTGAGTTAGACGGTAGCGATTGTGGCTGTTTGTATTTATATGTTTTCTCGCTATCTAGTGAAGGCGCAGAATGAATTGGAGTGTATACTTCAGGAGAAGATTTTCGTTTTTCATTGATTGTTTTTGGAGGCAGAGGAGAAGATACGAATGGCTTATCTACAGTTTCTTTTCGAAGTTCTTCCTCTTTCGATGGCGTTTTCGCACCTGATTGATTACGAATTGGAGAATCCATATTGTTAGATGTCGATCGTTCTAATATAGGCGATGAATATTTCTCAATGGGCAGTTGATTTACTTGTGGTTCTTGATGAGCAATTTCTTCTATTGGTTCGATCGGTTGTATTTGTGTTGTAGACTTTGGTGTTGAAGTACGCTGCTAGAATAAGAGATATATTTAATACACACGAGTAAATATTTTTATTTTGTATTAAAAGCAAATAATTTACTTCTTGTTGTGATATAGGTGACATAGGCTTTGGTTGTTGTATTGCTGACTCAGTAACAAATCCATAATTAAAGGATTCGAAATCTTTCCATGTATCCAATGTTGCATTTGTTTTATTTTCTTGTTTAAGATTGATTTCTCCAATTTTTCTATCAAGTAATGCCACTTCTATTTGTTTGCTGTTTCTACTCAGGCTTGGTGATTCGCTTTGATTCGTATGTGTTATTGCTGTTGAATTTACTTGAGGCACAATTTGATGATAGCTTAATTTCTCAACCGAATGAGCGCCAACATTAGTGGCTGGAAGTTGTAGTTGGCCTTGATTGTCACCGTTTTCAACAGCTTGTTTCGCCGCTAATCTTCGTTTGATTAATAAAAATGCTGCTAAATTAGGTGCTTGAGAATTTTTTCTCTCGGATGCCATATTTGCTATTCAACTTTCAGGTATGCTTTCTTTTACTGAGCGTTGAATATATATTTTATGAATATGAGAGCTACGATTATTTTTATTTTTATTTTTATTTTTGTTTTATAGATTCATGTAAGGAAGAGAGAGAAAAAGATGAGGAGATAATTTAATTAAACGGAAGAAAAAGAAAAGAAAAAAAAAGAAAAAAAATTTAAAATGACAAAATGTAACATTGACAACGGCAGTTTGTTTTTCTTTTATTGTGTTATTTAACATCGGCAATAGTAGGTGCACTTTGGTTTTCTAAATGCTTTGCTCGTGCTTGAAAGATTTTATATTTAATTTTTTCTTCTAAATCATTGAAAATTTTCGATGAAATGAAATTTGAAATGTTGCATTGACATAATTTATTTAGAAGATTTTCACAAACTAACTGATCATTCATATAGAAGAATTCACGAAACCATATACATAAAGTATCAATAATAGATGAGATTGCCAAACGTAAACCATTCTCTTGCTCAATTAAATTTATACCATTAGAATATGTTGAAATATAGTTAAATTTCGATAGATACAGTAAAATAAATGTATGACATGCAGTTAAAATAAAATGTATTTCAAAACGATGAGCTACAATGTTTCAAGAGGAAAAGTCGGATATTCATATTTTATTTACTTATAGTAAAATCTCGTTCTATTTTGAGTATCAACGGGATCAGTCAATAGGACTCAATATTAGGAGGCCTGCCAGATTCTTTCTAACACATTGGAAGTATTCCATTGTAGTTTCTTGTATACGGCATAAAGTAATATCTCTCTTATTTTAAAGTAATCAGGTAGTTTAACTCTTTGATTTCAAGCTAAACTAGTCGTGTATGCTGACATAGTTTCATGTTACCAGGTAACATCATAAAAATAACGAGATGTGCCATCGAACATTGTTGCTATTGTCTGATACAAATTATTTGTAAATATGCATTCTCATGCCTGTCTAAATATCACAATCGGGTCTTGTTGCCAAATGGATTCGCATACAAAGAAAGTAGTTCAGTTTCTTTGGCAAAAAATACGACTCCATTAATTCCAAATGCATGAAGTAGCAATCATGCATTGAAATTCAATCGTACTTCGAATAACTAGAGTTGTAATCTTCATGCTACTTCTCTTGCTCATGAAACAACACATATGATTCATAGATTTCTTGTCCGAAATTTGTTTAATGCAACATATGTTACGGTGATGATTCTTATTTATAAGATCGGAAATCATCGCTCATTTTTATCAATAAAGGCATGCTTATACAAAGAGATTCGACTGTTACTAAAACATTAGATAAGAGATATTTGAAACTAGGAAAAACTTTTGACTGATTTTAGGAAAAAAATCTTTTCGTTTTCCACATGAATAATCGTTTAACTTTCATATGAAATATAATACGCATTATTCTATTAGTTGACATACCAAGGATAAGTAAGTCAGTTACATTTTGATAGGTCATAGTACATTGAAATTGTGGATATAGAAATTGAAGTAATTCAATCATATCATGTGATGAAACATCAACAATTTCCATTGAACTGATATTCTGATCTTGAAAATATAATTGAAAAATTTTCGATACAGACGATAAGACACTTTTATCAACAAAAATTTCTTTGCCTAGTGGAAAATGTTTTTTCTGAAAAATTGAAATATTGATTGTGTTTTTAGTAAAAATACCTTCAACAATAAGTATGAAATCACTGAAAGGATGTAATTGTAAAAAGAATTCTTCTGTTAACTGTTTGTTATTATTGTTTTGTTGTGTCATATCAAAATCGGTTTCCATATTAACTGTAGTAATGACTTTATTAAATGGTTCCGTTTGTGATAGTTTAAGACGTTTTAAAGGTTGAACCGATGTTTTTCGAGCTACAATCTTTTTATTTGAATAATCACTATTCGTAACTGATATTAATTTAGAATATTCATTCGTTTTCGTATATTCCGATAATGATTTATTATTATTACTGGTAGTAGTTAATGCTGATTTCATTGTATTCATATGAATAGAACGAAGAATAAAATAACAACAATTATTAGATTGATTAAAAATGAAGAATGAAAATTTAACAACAGAAGCGCCAATAATAATAATATATTAGTTTTTTTCATGCGTTCTCTTCGATCTATGGGTGATAGGAGGAGATGAAGACGCTCAATATTGACGACTTTTCCTCCTGACTCATGTTGTCATTAAAATTAATCTTTTTGTCTCAGTCATGAAGACTATTTTTGCTCATTTAAATATCAATAATAACGGAATAAATCAATCAATAGCAACGAAAAGTTCATTTAAAAATCTAAACTATTATCAAGATTATGATCTAGCGGGTGGTGATGTTAATAAAAATGCGAATGTATCTCAAGTTGAACATGAACGAGATGCATGTGAAAAAGAATTGTATCGATTACGTTATGGAATTGAAAATTTATTAGCTAATAAAGATCAAGGTGATTTTAAAAGAGAACAGCAACAGCAAAAAAGATTTTCAAATATACAAAATCCATTTCGAAAACAGATTACTCAAATAAAAGATTTAAACAGTATATCTGCGAAAAAGAAAATTTGTAAAAAACGTTTTTCTCTAAATGATTCTAGATAAAATTAATACAAATTGGATAGATCAATGTACTCCTTGTTGTCGCCGTTGGAGGAGAGTTAGACGCAATAGTAATATAAATAGTCCCAATCAATATTCTAACCGTCAAATGCACAAGGAGAAAAGTTTTGATCGTTCTTTACCGAAAACTCCCAAATCTTCAGGGTCATCACAATTTAATAGGTCTGATGTTAATTTACAATAGACGACAGTTAATATTATATGAATATCATTTTTAGAGATTTATCCATTTCTAATTCACCATCACATCATATCGATTCTGATGGGCATCGATCGAAATTTAATTTAAAACGCAGCGTTTCTAAATTAATCAATGGACTAACACCTAATAAAATGAATCCTACAAATTTATTCAGATCGAACGATATGAATGATCCACTATACAATGCATTAATACTTAAGATACTCGAAGCAAAAGCATTAGATTGTCTTTGTACTGGTTATTCGAAGCGTGATACAGAAAAACAAATTTCAAAAGCATTGGCCGAAATCGATCAAAGGTTTATTGAAATAAGAACCATTTGTAGCATATGTCTAGAAATTCGCTTTTTGTTTTTTAAATTTAAATAGAATTAGCAGACAACAGTTGGATTCAATAAGCGTTAGATCAACGAAGACATCGCCACTGAAGAATTCAGTAAACGATCCTGAATCTAATTTTTCTCAATTGATTACACCACAACTATTGAGTGAAAAAATTATGCATTCATCGCCGTCTGATACTGAAATACCGTATATTAGTGCAACAACATCAAAATCTTCTGATAATAATAAAGATAAAATAAAAAGTATAGAATAAAGTTTTTTTTTTTTGATAAGCTTCTATTAATTTATTTCATTTAATATTATAGGTGCATTGAAATTAAATGAAACTATTAAAAAAAAACCCAAGAAAAAATCTAAAGTGTATGCCATTGATTTATATCGATTATCAGTAGACTATAGTTTATATTTATTTTAGAACCATTATTGGCGATAAAAGATCAAAATCAAGTAAAATAATTCAAATAAAATAGATCTAAAAATTTATTTTTTCGTAAAGGAAAGTCAATGAAGAAAAAAAGACCAAGCTCAAAACATAGGCAAAAACCCAAACAAAAGCATAAACCAACTAGTACAAGAAAAAATCGCAGCAAATCTAAAACTTCAAATAAAAAACGAAGCTCATCTAAAGTTAAAAAAGTAAAATATTAAAGAAAACTTTGATATTAATATCATATTTTATAGAAGAAAGATTCATCACAATCTTCATCGAGACATACGAGTAATAAAAAACCATGTAAGTTGGTTCTTCTTTTTATTTTTCGTAAGAATATCGATTGATAACATTGTTTTTTTATTATTATTATCTCAATTAAGCAACGAAAAGTAGTCGACATAATAAACAGAAAAGAACAAAATCAAAATCAAAATCAAGCAAATGACACAATTATGTTATCAATAGTTTTCTATACTAAATCATATTCAGAAGAGTCTCAACATCGACAAAAACTGTCAGTACTCTTACTTTCACCAATATAGCATGCTTGTCCTTTTCTTTTTGTATAAAAACAAATCGCGTCTTCTTGATTGCGGACGTTTTTTCTTAATTGTTGGAAAAAAAACGTCCGCAAAGTAGAAACAGGGGGAGAGAGACAAAAATAGTCGCAGAGTGGAAAATGTCCGCAAAACAGAATCGGGGGGAAGAGAGCAAAAAATGTACGCATTGTGGAATCAAAGGAAAATTGATATTTTAAGATGATTCATGCAAATAGGTGTACTGAATAATATCAACTGTTTCGAGCTAGTCTAGTGTTGTTCATCGCATGTCATCCTGGTCATTTTATAAGCATGTTTATTGTGAAAGAAAAACATTGAAAGTGGCGAAGTTAAACCTAGACGAATCAAATAAAAATGTCCATTGTGAAAGATGATAACTTTTCTCCACTTTAAACACAATCTAATAAAGATCGTATAGTTTTTAAAAATTATCATTTTGGAATGAATCTTGATTATCAACCTAACACAGTTAGATGCTCAACTATTCTTCATAAATGACTTTTCTGTATTTTTTTCACCTAATAAATCTTGTCTTAATTCCATAATGCTGACATTTTTTTCTCTCCTCTTGCCCCGATTCTGCTTTGCGGACATTTTCCACTCTGCGACTATTTTTGTTTCTCTCCCCCTGTTTCTACTTTGCGGACGTTTTCTCTTAATTGGAGGAATAAAATGTCCGCAATCAAGCTGTAGCCAAAAAAATTGTAGTCAATATATATTCAAATTTTCAATATCATCTAAATTTAGTTTCTATATTGAATGATGTTTATTTAATAGCAATTTCTTCTAAATTTATACAATTTTGTCAACGTTGGTCTGAAGAAGAAGCCAAAGACATTTTTCGCAATTTGTAATAAGCTGTTGCTCTTACTGGCATTGTATTATAAAGTATAATAGTCGATGAATAAGAGTGCTGTTTCCTTCCTTTCATGGCCTAAACGCTTTCTTTTTCTGACAAATTTTGGTTATTTCACGACTATCGCATTGTATGAAGTCACTAGTATCTATCTATTGAATATATTTGAGAATTCAAGAATTGTTTTGGAACTTAAAGAAATTCGAGATAAAATCACATTTACAAAACAGAACTATTAAAAACTAAATATTTTCAAGCTGTTTTCAAATCAATTTTTCATGAAAAAAGTATAAAAACACTCTCGCTGTTCTGGCATGGTACTTTTTTTTCCGAACGGAAGCTATTTCTACAGATACTCAAAATATTTTGAAATGCCTAGTTGTTTTGTTTCGGATAAAAAAGCACTTAAGTTATTTTTCTTAGCTCTCGGGTAGAAGTTGCATTCAAAAAAAAACAAGAATGTGACTTCATGGCAACTGGAATGTGATGGTACTTTTACTTGAACAAACTAAAAGTGGTTCCGCCTCGAAGTGTATGTAGTGATTGTAAAAAACAATTTTCAGCTCGATCGAGCATAACACCTCGCAGAAATTAGTGTCATTTTTTTTACAATTATAATTCTATCGTCCTGTAGAAAGCAGCATCCGGAAAATTTGAATCTATGATAACTTTTTCTGTAATTGTTAGTTTCCGTTTGCTTTGTATAATTTAAGCAATTTTCAGAGGAAGTATTATAATGAAGTTTACGAAAAGGAAGATTATGATTAAACTATTACAAAAACAACACACAATTCTATCTTAATAGATGAACTAAGAGTTTTCTATGCCGAAAGATGCTTATATCTATATGAAATTGTTGAAATTGTTTTGCTTTTCGGAAAAACGAGTCCAATTGAGAATATGCTCATTGAACATTGCTATAATCATTTTTAGTGATTCGTCTTTTGTTGATAAATGAATGGTAATTATTTTTCCTAGATCGAGTAAATCACCCCATTATAGTTTACTTTCGATATTATTCCATGACAACAGCAGGATTTAATTATAGTATTGGATTGTCTAATGTGAGCTTCCTATTTCAATTGAATGTGTAAACCATATTACTGTATCAAATTAAAAATGATTATTATATCATTAGCAATTTAACAAATTAATATCGCATATATATATATATATGCTATGATTATTTTCTAATATTCGATAAATCATTTTTGTGTTCGTGTAATAATAGCACCAAAAAAAGATGAAGGGGGCATTTTCAAAGGAGATTTAATTGACTCTATCATGTGGTACCAGTATATTTAAAGTATTGTTTAAATAGTAATTAGGGTAGCACATGATGCGGAGGCAGAAAAATAAGTTTTTTTTAATGGATTCATATATATATATATATATAACTGATCGATACTAATTTACTTCAACAAAATTTTCATTCCTTGATCAAGAGTCGTTTTGTGAGTATGAATTATATTATCTGTTATACATGAAGAGTATTTTTCTTTAATATAGAATAAATTTTACATAATGAGACTATTATCAATATTCTCCCTGTTTGTCTTTTGTTTATCTTTATTGATGATTGATGCTACTGATCATTACCAGGTTCAAGCATCGGGTAATGACTGTCAACAAGCGTGTTTCAATGCATGTGAAGAGAAATGTCCTGGTGCACCATGCGATTATCCTAGTACAACTTTTGTTCGCTCAAAAACTAGCTGCGTTAGGTGTTTTTGTCCAGAAGATATATTGGAATAAGAACGTTTTTTGATAAACAAAAATAAAATCTGAATAAATGGTGGCTGGAATGTTCTTTTTTTTTAATTTTTCCAATTTTAATGAATTATTTATCAAAGCAAAATAAATTGGTTTCATGCATTCTTTATGATATAACGAGCAATAAGTAAAATGGCAAATTTTATGATGATTATGACTACAAATAAATGAATAAAAGAAAAAGAAAAACTAAAGCATCCATAGAAGATCGTTTTTCTCTTCAGTATTTTTCTAGAAATAAAATTTGAAAGCTATTGTATATTTAGTAATGTAATTGGTTCTTTAAAATACTCAAAAAAGCATTAAAATTGATTGATTGGTATTATTTACTATTAATGTTGGATTTTTTTCTCTTTCTCTTTTACAAAATACCTTTTATATAAAAAGTTTATAATTTATTGTTAAAACTAAATGAAACATCGAGCTAACGATTGTAATAGTTCGTTGATTGATTGAATGATCAAGATGAAAGAAAATTCTTGCGTGAACATAAGAAGGAAATCATCAAAATAACAGCTATTAATAATGTTTTTCTCCAAGGATAGTTCTTTATTTTTAATTCATAGTCACATATTAAAAAAAAACTTTTATTTATTTATTACAAGCTTTAAAAATGATGCATTGGTTGACAAGAAAAATCTGTAAAATACGCCAAAGATACAGAAAATGGCATTTTTAAAAATGTCAGCAGGATTCTTTGGCTGTTACGTTAATAAAATGAAAAACTAAATTATTTACTTCAGTGATTATCATATCACATAATTAATGTAATGTCATAACTGCCGATGGGGAAAAAAATCTTCAAATTTTTTCCTTTTTCTTTACACATAAATAACTCATTGAACAATCGTGGAAAGAAATAGATTTTATCGAAATACTTATATTATATATAATCCATACGAGACAGAGAGAGAGAGTTTACTTTGCATTTCAAAGAAATTTTTTCTTTGTTTGTTGATTAGAATATTTATTGAATAATATTCTATTAACTTTAAATATTGAAATAATATTCTATTAACTTTAAATATTGAAATAATATTCTAATTTTGCTATCGTATTAATTATGCACGCATAAAAATTTCTCCTCTATGTACGTACGTATCTATCTATCTATCTATCTATCTATCTATCTTATTCTAGCTCTATTTTTGTTTAGTTTTACAGTTATTTATGCAAATAAAAATATCTCTTACTAAATATAAAAGATCTTTACATTAGTTATTCATCAACTTTTTCCTATTTCTTTCTATCTCGCTCTACTTTTTATATGCTGACTATATGAGGTCTTCTTCATTGAAATTGCATTACATTACACATCAATGTGTTTTCAGCTTGTTACTTTTATGAGAGCATTCGTCGTTAGTTCAGTTTTTTACTGATTATTTTATTTTAGTTTCTTTTTCTTTTGAATTATAGCAAATGAATTTCATACTTGTCTAAAATAATACTTAAAGATTGATTCTGTGTTGGTATTCATCATCTCAGTTCTATCTAATCTTACATATCTAAACCGAAAATTCACCTGCGTATGGAAAAGTTATGCAATCAGTCAAACGTGCATTTGCAGTAAAAGGAAGTGTGCGTTCGATTGTCTTTGTTCAGATAGTGAAATGATGATAGTCCTTTCTAAGGCCCCATGATGCTTCCGGTGTGAGTTTCGTTCTTTTCTTGGCGGCTTCTTTTTCTCTGCTTCCCGTTTATTATCGGACTGAGAATCGGCAGTAGTGATGCGACATACTCATCAAGTGGGTTATCAACAATATGTTTACCCACTTGTTCTCAATGTATTGTCTTTTCTCGATCAAGATGCAAACAAACGAATACTTTTATGCATGTAAAGTATTCCTTTCAATCTCGGCTAACGATCAAGAGTACTATTCAAAGATAGTTACTGACAGAAAATAGAACAAGAAAACATGCATTTACACACACACAAACACACACACACACACACACATATATATATATATATATATATATATATATAGAGAGAGAGAGAGAGAGAGAGAGAGGCGCATCGTGTTCACTCGGGATCGACTAATAAATTTATAGGAATAGTGATGGGAGACAACTAATATCACAAATGAGCTGTAATCGAATAATGATTGCTTTTCCTAGGGGCTCCACATAGAACAAGTCTTCTATTTATCTCATGCGAACTGTTTCTCATTCTTTTTTCCTTTTCCTTATCGCAAGAAGTGTATATATGTCAAACATAGAAACTCTGGTTGAATATTTAAAATTTCGATTACTCCGTCCGTCACCGATCTCCTACGCCAAACTTAATTATCTTGTAGTCTGTTAAGAAAGAGAGAAAAAGGAAGAAACAGACTTCTATTAAGTTTAACGTCTATAGACATAACTCCCGTTCTTTCTTTCTTTTCCTCTTTCTTCATTGTACTAATCGCCATTCAATCAAGTTTTTCTGCATCTTCGACAATTACATTAGAAAACTATAGCTTGTTCATTCGTCCGATTAACGATTATCTTCTTTTCAGTAATATAAACTCTGACATGTAAAGACGCACCTATTTTCTAGCATGTGAAAAACACAAACGAATTGGTGCCTCTTGAGAAATCATGCAAATTCATAGATAAAAAAAGAAAGAAATAGACGGATAATGAGTGAAAGCACAGTATAAAGAAAGAGAGTGAAGGAGAGAGAGAGAGAGAGAGAGAGAGTGTGTGTGTGTGTGTGACAGAAACAGGAAAAAAGTAGAAGAAAAGTAGTGTGGCGTGGCATGCATATAGCCACATATCACTGTGAAGAACAGCATTAATTCACAGAAGCAACGGAAGAAATCCTAGTTGGAACCTCATTACATACTAATGATAAATGTTTAACACCTCAGAAAGAAAACTATAGCAATTTGAATACGAAGTTCGGTTTTCTGGTTTCTCTCCTTTTCCTTCTTGTAGATTTCATTACTTTATAAAACACGTAAGCTTTGCCCTATTTCGTGTTTTGTTTTTCGAATTTAAACTTCTTTGCTTGTTATTTAGAATCATTTTTAATTGACGACGATAAGATTTTGATTATAATTCTATGCGATTTAAATATTATTGTCAATAACAAAAATGTTCCACTGGTGGATCTTGGAGGCATTGGAAAAGTAAGTCTCTTTTAATTAACATTCGCGTGATACAATCATCATTATTTACCAAAAATCATGAAGAATAGGAAAAGGAAAAGAAAAGAAATCTATATATCTAATAAATTTAATTAGGTTCAAAATGAACCATGGGAATAATCTTCTTCTTTTTTTCTCTCTTAATAATATCTATAATGATTGATTATCTGACTTCTTCTTTTTTTCCTTAATCGGCATAACTATTCTCAAAAACAGAAAAAAAATTTTCTATGCGAATTGTGTGAAAAAGAGAAATAAGAGATTGATGACTTACAATTCAAATATTTAGAATGTCCTTTACTCATCAATTTACTGATCGTGTTCTATTCGACAAATAAAATTGATGCATGACATGTCTTACTTAACTATTCATTCTTCCATGTCTTAATCTGTATCTTTAAGTCTGATTATAAATACGATGTAAAACTAGACATAGTTTCTATAGTAATCTACTTGTATAGATCAAGAAAAGAACCGGAAAAACAACGTGAGCTAGATTAATCTATCAAAACCAAGAATATAATTAGAATTACTAATTAAACTGTAGATTATATCATTGAATTCTATTTAAATATATTATTCTAATTTTGTTTTTCATTTTTTTAAGTCGTACAAATTCGTATTTTGATATTTTGAATAGGAATTCCAAAAAGAGAAGAAAACGAGAATCATCAATGTCTATCGCATAGCTTTTTTCTTCTCTTTTACTGCTAACATATATTTAACTATGATTGAGTTAAAAACATAGAAAGCATTTCTCAGAACATTCTATATATTAGTCTTGCATTGGTAACAATATAAATATGTTGTAAATTATATTTGACTGTTGAAGTAATTAATGTTAACAGCTGATACAGAAAATAATTGGATTTTATGTTCGACTTGTTGTGAAATAACAGAAAAAATAAAGGCATATTTTATTTTCTCATCAATCTGACAATGGCAAACATCAAGATTAGAATCAAAAACTGAATATTGAGAATAATGTAAGCGTTCTTCGGCTTTTTACTAAATCTGATTAATAGTATAAGACAAATATTCTGTATGAATTAGCATTGATAAATTAGATAATATCTTATAATACCAATGGATAGGACAAAGAACTACCGATTGAAGGTTCTATCTCATGTTCTATTAAACAGTAAATCATCAAGATCATAAATAACTAATATCGTCAAGAAACTCCACAGAAACATGATAGATAGGTGTTTCAAATTTTTCTTTTTGTATATGATCATTCATCACTGATTAATATTATTATATTTGAAAAGTATTGGCGACAAATCAACTATTATTATGCATACATAATTCTTGTTTGAAACTAATTTATTAGATTATCTGTTTTACTAAGAATCATTAAAGTTAAATTTTCGAATATAATATCTCTCAATATACTATTCTCGATTCAAAATCGATTAAAAAGAGGACAATATTTTTAGCTTCATAATTTCTCGATAACAACAATCAATTTAGATTCTTCTTTTAAATCTGAATATTGTTATAGCCATGTATTTTATTTATATCATAAACATAGTCTAGTGCGTCTATCTAGAGATTCGCAACTATAATAGATGTTATTACACTAAAAATATCTGTAAATCTCTAGAAAAAAAAGTGATTAGAATGCTTTCATCACGCTATATATTGGACAAATTCTTTTTTTTTATACTCTCAGAAGGATTAAAATTTATTGGTCTTCATAACAATCTCTGAAATGAATGATATTTTGTCTTTTCAACGGGATTCTAGTCAAAAACAAACTGTCTACTCTTCTAACTATGTTTCTGATATGAAAATTTTTGTTTTTTTTAAAGTAGCAAGATTAATAGTCCAAAATATATTAGCTATGCATGCGCCTTGTGTGTCTATACTTGCTGTCTAGCTATTCAAAGTTATTTGATCTTCTAGCTTTTTGACATTAATCTAATGAATTACATTACACAATTTTTATGTCTCTTTATCATTCGTTGATATTGACTTATTTCTTTTTCTTCTTCTTTTGTTCTTTTGTAGCATGGCTGTTTTCCTATTTGATTTTGCTGCCAAGGTAGCCCATCATGGACATGACGTTGCCTATGATGATGATTTCTATGATCGTTTATCTCGTCGCTATTCTGTTATTCTTCTTGTCATATTTACAGTACTTGTATCAACAAAACAGTATGTTGGTGAACCCATAGCTTGTTTTTGTCCAGCACATTTTACAGGCACACATGTTGAATATACAAATAATATTTGTTGGATCTCAAATACATATTTTGTTTCATTTGATCGTCTACTTCCAAAACATCCAGATCCAAAAACTGAGCAATTCATTTATTTTTATCAATATGTACCATTTATTCTTATTGCACAAGCTATCCTATTTTACGTTCCATCACTTATATGGTCATCATTAAATTCCAAAAGTGGCTATGATTTAGGTTTGCTTGTGGCACATGCTCGTATTATTGATACATACACATCTGAAATTCGTGAACCATCTGTTCGTCACTTAGCACGTTTCATTGATAAAGCACTTGAATATCATAAAAATAAACGTTTAGAATATTTCGATCAATTACGTGCAATAAAATGTTCATCCCTATCATCTTTATATGCGTTTTTTTTATTAAACAATCATATAACAATGCGTGACAATCATTTAATGTGGTCATTTTTATTTTCCAAACTTCTCTATTTGCTCAATGCTTTTGGACAGCTATATTTGCTCAATTTTTTTCTTGGCAATGATTATCATATGTATGGTTTTGCTGTTATACGTGCGTTATTTACTGGTAATAATGAAAATTGGACAGTAACACCAAGATTTCCAAGAGTTACATGGTATGATTAATTAGAAAAAAGAAAACTCTTTTTTTGTTCTATTCAATTTCCCACTAATTTCATAAGCCATCAAATGTGAATAGACTGTAATAGTCTATATATATATATATATCTTTTTCTTTTGAAAAAGAAATAAGTTTCAATCAGGCATAAAACTAATCGATTTTTTCTCTAAATCACAGGAACGATTTTTTCAAAATGTCTTTTCTTTTTGATCCTTTACATACAGAAAAGTAAACGTAATCACTATCTACATATGACGCTTACTCGAGAATGTAATTTCTTGTCCACGCATATGTATACGAGGTGTCCACGATGTATTAACTTCATTCTTATTATCGGCGGCACTAAGTCTTTTATTTTTCTTGCTCAATCTTCTTACCAGCATGTGCTGTTAAACATGATTGAGAACGAATGATAAAAGAGAAAAAAGAACTAGAACTTATCTTTAATAATAAATAAGCTAGCATATGTATTCTGTTTCTTCTGCACATGTTTTTCCCAACAAGCATTTCACTGATAAGACTTATTGTTTTCTTTTCTCTATTATATTCATATGAGAAAGGAAAACAACTCATTGAACAGTTGCAATTCAAATGTTCTTCTCTAATTCTACTCAACACATAAATAATTAAAGTTCAAATAAAAAACAAAAAAAAACACTTAACGCTTTCTTGTTTTTAGGTGTAATTTTGCCGTACGAAATTTAGCCGATAATATTCATACATACACAGTGCAATGTAGTTTACCAATAAATTTATTTAATGAAAAAATCTTTTTAATCATATGGTTTTGGCTTTATTTTACAACAATATGTACATTATTCGGTTTTCTTTATTGGATAGGTTCATTTTTTTATCCAAAATTTTATAAATCACATATATCACGTTATCTATCATCAATGAAACGTATCAATACTCACCATTTTCCTCAAAATCCATATCAAGAACAACAACTTCGTTTTCATCCATATCACTCCTATCCTCATCATCATCATAATCATCATTCAAATTATCTTCGTCGTCATTCATTTAGTCATTCACATTATGGTACAGGAAGTAGTCACTATGGTTCATTACACATGGGTCATCCTCATCATAATCTTTTAGCATCATTTGCAAATCGCAATTTAAAAGCTAATTTTGATTTAGTTCGTATGTCACGCGTGCATGATCAATTAAATCTTCCGATATCAACAACAACAGATAATAATGAAGCTGCCACAACATCATCAGGTGAAGATCGAACTCCACCATCACCATCTACTCCACAAACAATTCATGTACCGACAATGCTGCCATTTTCGTTGTCAGGCGATGACGATCAATTATTAACAAATTTTGTAACAAAATATCTTGGTCGAGATGGTATACTTGTTTTATATATTTTAAGAATGAACACAAATGAAGTTATAACAGGTGAAATTGTTACAGCTTTATTTGAAATATTTAACACAACTCTTCAAACCGATGCAGTAGATTAAATTTTTTGTTGCAAGACTCTTCTTTTTTTATTCTTTTCTTTTCTTTTTATTTATATAAATAATTCTATTTAAATTGAGTAAAATGTGATATAAATGTCTCAAAAAATAAACGACGTAGATTTGTGTTATCATCTAGTAAATCTCGAATAACAGTCTTTTTATTTGCCAAATGGACAAGATCAAAATCAGGAAAGTATCTATTGAAAATAATGAAATCAACCAAAACAAATAATAACCTTTTGAAATAAACATACTCATGATTTGTTTCAATACCGTCAAATTTTTCAATAATTAAATCAATATTTGAATTATTGAATAATAATGCTGAAAGAACGCGTAATGATTGAATTCGATTTAATGATGCATTTTGTTTTAAAATATTTAGTAGAGCATAGGATATTGTTGGTACGAGTTCATCATCGCGTACGAGACTATCTATATGAATAATATGATAGAAGATAAGAATTTTTAATTCGAATTTATTTTACCATTTTGATCTTCATTTTCTAAACTGATTCTTTTCAAAAGTAAATCATTTCTAATAACACTTTCAATATCATCATCAGGTGGCCATAGAGATTCATCTTTATCGATAGCTTCATTCACTTGATATGATGGTTTAATAATTAATATATGTTTTAATAAAGACGAAAGTTTAAGCGACGGAAAACCAAGTACAAGACTATAAATGAGAACTTTAGATTTGATTCGATCACGAATATCATCAACGATATAACGAATATGATGTGGTGCAACGCATAGAAAAACAATATCACAGTGCTGGACAATATAAGCATTATTAAATTTACAGAAGCCTACTCCAAGTTGAGTCATATCAGCTAGAAGAATTTTTTTAGCTTATGAAAACATTAAAGTCAATTTACATAATTACTTAATAAATCAGCTTGTCGACTTGACTAAAAAAATGCATAAGTATTATTTTAAACATTCGTCGAAAGTTTATTTTGTTCTTCAAAACAATAAATTATTCTCATTCAATTCAACCTAATTTGAACACTTACAAGATATAATTCGTCTGGATAGACATCACCGTATTTCAATAGAAATGTAGCAAGTAAATGTCCAATACGTCCAACACCAATAATTCCAATTTTAAGACCTGGTTCTCGACGTACTTCAGCCATAAGACGATGACTTCGTTTTTTATCAGGTGTTCCTTTTAATTTGTCACCTTCACGTCTAAGAAACAAAAAAAGAAATTATACATTTTTTTTCTTTTTAACCTTTTCCTAAATCATTTACTTAATACGATTAGCAAGTGCAATAAATTGACATGCATGAGCTATATGTGTTGTTGTTAATAAATTTGAACGACGACGCAATTGAATAAATAAACTATTATATTCACCAGGACATAATGTTTTAAATTGAATAGTTTCAAGTCCTGCTATTAAATCGCCTGTTGGTGGATCAAACAGTGTTTTTAGTGTTGATGATTGAAATAATTCCATCAAAGAAAAACAAAAATCTGTAAAATAATTCAGTAGAATATGTCGTGTATTTTTCTTTTTTCTTTTAGATTTATGAATAAAGAATTAATAAAGGTGCGGAAGACATAGGAAATAATTATATCATGGTATGAAAAGAAATAACTTTTCAGAAAAAAAAGTTTACATCTGACCAATCGGAAAAAAGCTCATGTCGATCAATCAAGATTGACTTGTTTTATAACAGGTGGTTGTTGATAACATCGTTCATTCAGAAAATCATTGGCATATGGAGCAGTTTGCCAAACTTGACCGTAGTCTGATGTACGTTGTATTTGTGGTAATGGACGACGATATTTATATGGATTACTTTCCATTTGTCCACGAAAATGTTCACTTGGATGAAGTAAATCCCACATACTTGCCGTTGGTTCAATAGGTGCTGTTGATGTGAAATCAGATTGTTTAGATCGATCGAATTCGGGCTTTTTTTCTTCGATGACAAAAGCACCATGTCGCTATGAATCATTTAATTAAAAAGTAAAAATTAAATATTAGAATTCAAATTGCCAACATACTCTTCCACGAAGAGGATAATTTGCTGTATTTCGACTATCATACTGTTGTTCAAATGATACTTTTTCAACAAGTGTTTGATTGACGGGTCCAAGATTTTCAGGTTTTAAATCCGTCACAGGTACTAAATGGCATAGAAATTCGTTATTTTTAATTTTCTCAATTTTTGAGAAAAAATAATAATTACCAATGCCTACTGTACGTATATGTTCTGGATTAGCTGAATAACGTGAATTTTTCTTTGCATATGGTCCTGCTTGTCCAGTAATATTAAATGCATTTCGATATGAACTCTCTTTTACTTTTGTCCATTCATCGTGACTTTTTGCTGCAGGTCCATATGGTTCAGCTTTTGGTTCTGACCAATCCCACCAACGTGTTTCTTCATTTTTAACATTATCAGTTTTGACAATACCGAATGGAGCATTAAAACTTGAAGCATTGGAATAAACCATATCAACTTTACGTGCAGCATGTGGATTATTTCGTGGTTCCGATGCTTGTACAGGTAATTGATTAGGTTCTGGTTCGGTGTAAAGTGGTGATGGACGAGAATGAGCATACCAAAATGGAATACTGTGATGTTCAGGAATATCTTCGGATAATACTCGATAACTATTGGGACTAGATTTTCATTTACAAAAACGAATAAAAAATGAATCGTTAGGATAAAAGTTTCAACTCAAAATTTACTTGAATTTTTCTGGAACTGATTTTTTATGTGTTATATCAGGATATGTGATGGTTGTCATTTTGATACACCGAGCTTTATTCTTAAGATAAAATTCTGTTTTGTTTTCATGAAAAACAAAATAATTTCTTTTTATTCATAAAATAATTAAGTCTATCTAATATGGGTTAATATCAATTCATTTTTCTCTATAGCTTTCAATCTAATATTCTAACATCATCAGTTATCATAGTATGCAATTAAAATCACTGAACATTCATTTTCTTCGTCTCCTAAATAGATTCAGTTTTCTCGAAAATACAGATTTCAATGCATACTAAGAAAGAACATAGAAATCAGATACTTTTCAACCTAAACTAGACTCGATCATATTGGTCAGGTGAGAGAATGAATCATTCTGTGGCATCAAGATGAATTACGGTTAATCGTTTTTCTCAACTTATATCTTTGACAATTTAAAGTTTTTACAGTTAATGAATAATTCACAATTCTATAGAAAGACAGGTGCTGAAACAAACATAGTAACATTTGTTTTCCTTTAATTTCGATCTACTACATTGAAAAAATAACAACAACAGTATAGTATTGTCACAGCAACAGGGGATGCAAAATACTTAACGATTGACTATTTGTAGTTCAACATTTAACTCCATAAGAATTGAATGTTTCGTCAACAGGTTTCATGACAAACATGAAATTGTTGACTATCGAAGACCTTAAAAGATTTCGATGTGTCCATAGAAATGTTAATGCATTGCATGCATTTATAAATTCTATGAATCTGGGAACAAATTTTAGAATCTAATCTATTCTATGATATATTAATCTAGCCTCGAATGTGGCCTATTCGTTTCTCATGGTTTCACTCCCTATATAATAGAATCAATTGTATAACGCAATGTACAGATTAAGAAAAAAGAGAAACTATCGTTTACTTGCTTCGAATATTCTGTTACATTAGTCTGTATCGACATTATCTCGACAATTCACTGTCTATTTTATTGGCTAACATGAAAGATCTATCTATTATTGCTACTAGAATTGTTTCTACGAGATGTGTACAAAATATATGGATTCTGTTTTCCATTTTTAGTGCACCTTAATAGAAGATTAGCATACCTTTTTTCTCTCGTCCTATATTAACGGTGTTAATTGTATTGCCATTTGAATTGTTTTTGACAGTCCATTACCATAACAACCAATCAGTATCAAAGTGCATTAATGCATTATGTGATTTACATATATCGTCAAAAAATATTCAATATCATTTTCAATTTTCCCATTTTATATAAACAAACATTAATTTTAGAAGCATGAAATACTTTTTTATGTATGACTATTTTTTCTTGATTATTATTCGTTAATCTCTCTTCTCATTTCTTTCCCTGTCTATATCTATCTCTCGGTTAAGGTAAGGTCGCATGTTTCGTCGATGACTCATTAAATTGGTAAAGGCAATGCTCATTTCTATTCATCTATTTCTTATTCATTGATAATGTCGTAAGATTTTTCCAGATGCTTGTGCAATAGACGCGTTGAATATAAGCGATGAAAACCTATAAAAATAACCATTTCGTTTTTATTTGCAGATTCTTTCAGTTTTCTAGTCTCACCATATTTGCACATACAATGACAAATCAAACCGAGTTAATTCAATTGTATATTTTACTATCCTATGAAAAGGTTTGTCTATCGAAAAATAAATAAGATTCAAAAACAAATCATAATATCTTTAGTTGCAACGTTCAACAATCAGTCAACGTCAACGACCAACAGAAGCTTCATTACGCAATCGTCTGTTGGTTTGGCGTTTTTTAAAAAAAATTGAAAACGAGCCAGTAACTTGTGATCAAGAACTTTTTACAAATAATCAAACTAATAATATTAATGATGATCTTGATAATAACAATCCTTGGATAATTGATTTTAACACAAATTGTGATGTTGATAATTCGATCGATATGGATATTGAATCTGATATAGTAACTGTTTTAGGTAGTAATAATGAAATAAATAATAATTCTACGTGTGAAACAATGACTATTGATCAAACATCAGGTGTAACTGTATTATTGAAACGCGCAATTGGTGCTGAAAGAAGACAAAAATCATCAACAGATAATTTTCATTTCAATGAGAATAATAATAATAATACAAATCTTCATCAAGTATCAGAAACAAATACATTTGAAGAAACAGAGCAATTTTTTCATGATCTATGTAATGAACTAACGAATACTACAGCTTCACTCGTGTCAACTTCAACAACAAACGCATTAAATTTTTCAACATCACCTGAACAAACACTTATTCATTAGATGGTTTAGAAATGACTTCACTGTTTCGTCTCTTGTTTTAAATTTCCAAAACAGTAGCTTAAAGAAACAAAATCATGTGTTTTCTTTTTCTTCTTTCTTTCCTTTCTTCATTTGTAAGATGCCATTTGACTAGTTTCTTTCTCATTATTTTATTATGTGTTGATATGATAATGTTTATCATAATAGATCGGTTAAGTTCGTTGTTGTTCGAATGACTCTCGTGTTCATATCCAATCCGGTCCGTCATGATTTTTTGCTTCTCTTTTTATAATGATACTGATTTCTTAGTTTATCAATGATATGAATAACCGATTTTAAAACGCGTTTATGTGTGTTTATTGTCAATTCGATCTTATCACTTCAGATGTGTTCTTGCTTCTGAATGTTTTTCTTTTATTTTAATAAAGAAGAAAACATTAAACAAACCAGAAAAATTAATTTTCTTTTTCTACTTCTCACTTTTCTTGTGTTAATCTTCTTTCTATGTTAGTATCTGTCATGTTTTCCTTTCGTGTAGGTTGCATCGCGTGCAAATAAAACTATTGTGTTCTATTTACTGTAAAGCAAATCATTTTTCCTTTTTTTCTTCTCTTGAAACCATCTCAAAGATTATTTATGTCAAGTTTCATTAGGGAAAGTGGAAAAGAAGAAGAAAATGAAAAATTTTCTTTCTTAATAGAAGAGGGAAGATATTGTAGGCATTTATCACAGAAATATTTAAGTAGAAAAATGGCCTCTAAAGAAACAGCTATTGTTATAGTTTTTTTTTATTCTTCACGTTTTCCAACAAACATCACACTTTACAGCAAGAAGGAAAAACGCATACACATTAACACTTTATTACTAAAATGGATGATAATAAATGGGGTACGTCTTCAACAAATAGAGATAATAATCAAACAATAGCAACACCAGTTGAAGACCCAGGAGAAATTCTCTCGGCTAATGATGATGAAGAAATTCGTCAATTTCAAACGACTTTTTCGGATATGATTGATCACACTTGTTCGAATTCTTATGAAAATATTGCGGAATTTCAATATAATTCACAAGATATTTTTCGTTTCTTGTTTCGTTCTATTATACCAGCACAAGAAATTCTTCAACAAGATTTTGAACCTGAATCAGAACAAAATTTATTTAATTTTGAAGAAGAAGAATGTTTGAAATATACTTTCAAAGTTCTTGATCGTCGTACAAATCGGTTAACAATTGAACATATGCCAGTGTATCATAAATATGGTATGCAATTATTATTTAGAGGTCCTCTTCAACGTGAATTATTAACTACGAATGCAATAAGAAATTTTTTTGCTCGTGAGACATTACGTTTAGGTAAAGCATTTAATGAACCAAAATCACGTAAACATATACAAGCTTTTATTAAAATATATCAAATTAATTTAAATGAATTACTTGAACCAAATATTCAAAGATATTTTACATTCAATGAATTTTTCTATCGAAAATTAAAAGTTGACGCAAGACCAATTGATAATCGAGATGATCCATGTACACTTGTATCAGCTGCTGATTGTCGGCTAATTCTATTTGATAGTATATCTGAAGCAACACGTATTTGGATAAAAGGTCATCAATTTTCTCTTGAACATTTATTTGAAGATGAAATATTAGCAAAAGAATTCGAAAATGGTTCTATAGCAGTTTTTCGTTTATCACCGGCTGATTATCATCGATTTCATTCACCAATATCAGGAAAGATTGGAGAACATATGAAAACAATAACTGGTACCTATTATACAGTTAATCCAATAGCTATCAGAGAACAATTAGATGTTCTAACAAGGAACCAACGCACAATGATTACAATTGAAAGTAATTATTTTGAAAAAGTAGCGTTTGTGGCTATCGGAGCATTATTTGTTGGCTCGGTTAATTTTACAGTTAAGCCGCATCAATCTATTGAAAAAGGCGACGAACTCGGTAAGATCAACAACTGCTCAGAGATTTTGTTTTTACTTACTATATTAATGAACTTGTCCAATCGCATCTTTATAAAGTGTATCAAGGACAAAGTTATTCATTTGAAAAAATTTCTTAGAAAACAAATGAGTTATTTTTTCTAAATATAGTTAAAAATAGTTTTTTTCTATTTGGATTAAGATTGAGAAGCGTCTACATGAAAAGAATGACACTATTCTGGTTTAGTATAATGAATTCTAGTTCATCTGAATATAGAAATTATATAGTCTTTAGTATGGTTCGATAGGTCGTAAAGAATCATATTTTGTGTTCTAGATAAAAATGCTTACTGTTCATTCTAAATCTTACATTTCTTATAATTTTCTATAGCCATAGGAGTAAAAGTGAAAATTATCTATTTAGGTTATTTTGCTTATGGCGGCAGTACAATTGTAATTGTCTTTAGGGCTGGTATGATAAAATGGGATGATGATTTACAGCATAATTCAAAGAATTCTATGGAGACACTTGTTCGTATGGGCGAGCATATTGGTCAACGAACAAGTGAAGAAGAACGTCAACAGTATTTATTAGATTCTTCAAAAGACAGCAACAAAAATGGAACAGTTACACAACTTTTGTGTTTTTTCCCTAATATGTCCAATTTAAATAATTTCAAGGTGTGAATGCTTTTTTTCTTCTACAAACTATCATTTACGCTTTTGAAATTTAGGCGTCATTGCTATCAACTTGAAATATCGTTCTGCTTTGTCTTTAATAAAAAAAACATTTTCCTTGCTTTGCTTTTCATAAAATTTGAAGTTAATCATGTGAGAATGATAATGATGTAGAGTTATTCGCATAGTTACCAAATAATTGTGAACTTTCAATTTATAAAGAAAATAAACGATTATATGAATATGAGTCTCAAAGGAATAGATTGAAGGTTAAGTATAATATTACTTTAAATTAACTTGTTCAAAATAATTTAAAATAGTCGAGTTTCTTAAAGCATGATAAATATTTATAGAAACGACAAAAAAATGTGAGTCATAATAGATTAGGAAGAATTTACACTCAAACGATAAGTCAAATCCATTTCGATATGAATGGGATGCGTGTACAGTGTATTAATCTTGGTGTTCTGTCTATTCTCAAGCATATCAACACGTTGAATCTAAACAGTTTTTAATAGTTATGATTGGCAGAACCATACGACTTCTGCGAGGTCCACTTGATTTTAATTGCACGACGAGAGAAAAATAATAAGTGATTGTAGATAGAGGAAATAATTGCAAACATATTGTGGGATGGCTGCATTAGAGAGGAAACTCGATGAACAAGAAAATCATCAAGCATTTTTCTATCGATTTAAGTTTGCACGCAGAGTGGCTAGAGATCGACTATCTAAATTGACGCTGATGTTTTCGTTCTATTTGATAGCTATTCATGATGACTTGCAAAAAATATGGAATATGTTGCAGTAGATTACTGACATTGTCCGTGGAACAATTTTAGTCTAATTAACATAAAGTATGTTTAAACAAGAATAATATAATATTGAAAGTTTTTAGTTTTAAACAGGAGCATATTAAAATTTAATGTATGAATATAATCTTGAGTTGCCAAGATGATGAGATGAAAATGGCGTCATTGTTCAAAACAGAATAGTGTCATTCTTTTCATGTAGACGCTTCTCAATCTTAATCCAAATAGAAAAAAACTATTTTNATAAAATTCTATATCTAGAATGGATCAAATTTGATTCGATATTTTTCGGTCAAAATTTTTATTCGGCGAAGTTGGAGTCGGCGAAAATAAAATTCGGCGAAGCTGTACTAATTCGTCAAGACAGTACGTATCTATTTTCAATGCATGAGTAAATCTCAATTTAAAGTGAACACAAAACTGACGGCATAATATATTAATCTATTAATGTTTGTTTAACTGACTGTATATATTATTTGAAGTCGAAGTAATAAATAAATAAATTTTCATGACAATAAAACATCTTAAAGCATCAATATAAAAAGGAACATAGTTTTCAAAATAATCTTTATAACATATGTTTGTCCGTTTAGTATTAATTTTAAAAAATTAAGCTGGTACAAAAAAATATTTTGATTTAACACTCAATCAATAATCATAAATTCAAAAGTGATGATGAAATGTTACAAGGACAAAGAGAAAAGTAAAACCATATGAAGTAATTGTCAACGGTGAATCATTAGACATTGGAAATGATGCTGTTACTGTTGCTGTTTGAGTCGTCGATGATATTGTACGGATGGGAGTTGTAATAATAGTTGTAATTGTTGGCTTTACACCTGAATCTGAAACGTCAACTTCAACCAGACCATCGTTCACAATATGGCTTTTTAGCCAATTAGTGTAAGCAGCTACGCGAGTGTATACACCAGAATAGAATGGATTTGCGCAACCCTTACCGTAGCTTGTAATACCAGCAAGCATCCATCGACGCTGTGTACTCTCAAAATGCATGAGAGGACCACCAGAATCACCTTGGCAAGTGTCTAGAAGTAGATAGAATAAAAGCAATGAAATTTCGGTACTCATTTCGGCAATTAATATAAAAATGGATTGGTAGTGTTCTTTTCTTCAAATATGGTATAAAATTCTATCAAACCAGCGTCTTTTAATAAAACAATCGGAAGCAATCCAATTAAGAAATTACATTCATCGTAATTCACTTTTCAAGAACAACAGATAGAATCAATTGACATTACGTTAGAGAATCAATTAGATCCTCATATACGTATAATAGAACTGCGTGCGTTTAATATATTCGGTCAACTGCATATCTAATAGTTGTTTAGAATTTCTCTTACGTTTCAAACCATTTTTAAAGGAAATATTACCTTTACCGCCACTATTGACTCCAGCACAAAATTGTAAATCTGGATGATGAATTGTAATAGAACACGTATCAGCATCGGAAGATACTTGATTGACAGTAACTTGTTGCAATTGATCTGGAATAAAATTCGCGTGAAAATACAATGTTCCCCATCCAATGGCCACTAATGTTGATGAATTTTGAGGATACATGTTTACATTACTGGCCATATTAAGCCGGTGTATACAAAGGCGAGCAGTTGAAGCAGATATTGAGAGATCTAATGGACGATCAAGGCGAAGGATAGCAATATCATTCCCATTTGAAGACGGATCGTACTGAGGATGTCGAATAATATTTGCAACTTGTCATACTTGACCGACTGTTGCTGATTCAGTCAGTAGATTCATACCAACTGCTATTGACAAGCCAGGCGATAGCACATTGTTCTCATCAACTACACAATGGTGAAACGATTAATAAGACTCTGTTGAGTTTATATCGTATTGACAAACTGGATAGAGGTGGAGTAGCTTACAGCCACTCACGGCAATGATGTTTATTCGTTTATTCACATATCCAAAGTGTCCCCACTTCATACATAACACACGTATATATAGAAGAGAGATATATTATAATAATGGAAAGAGAATAGAAGGAAGAGGAAGGAGAATCATCGAAGCGTGCCATCAATATCGGCACAAATGGGCTGCAGTAACTATGTATGTAGGCGAGACAATAGCACCGCCACATGTGACCACCATGAGAACCACGTAAAGATATGGCCCAACCCCAACTTGAAGAGACTGCTGTTTCACCACCAACAATTTTTTTTATTATAGCATCATTTTTTGAACAGCCACATGGTGCTGAATGATCACAAACAACAGTTACACATGCTACTTGAATGATGAAGCATACGCAAAGAAGAAAAACTGTAAAGATTGTCTTCATATTTTTCGATACGATGATACTAATTTTTACTATTGTCTCTCGGACTTTTTATACGGATTGTGTGGGTGTTTTTCACTAACTAGATTAAACTAAAAACAACTCGATGACAAAAAGCATAGTGTCAGGTGTCCTATGACGATGTCACTGTCTGCACAATCTCTTCAAGATAAAAATAAATGTTACGAGCCACTTTTCGCCTGCAGAAAATCATGATTTCTTCTAGTTGGTAGTTTTTCTTTGTTTCACATTATCATACCAATGTAATTTGTTTGTCAGATGTCAAGATGGTGCAAGACTTTTGTGCCGTAAATAGTTTAACATTGATAATTTATCTCTGATGGCTGTAATAAAAATTTTCTCTTCAATAAAGGTGATGATTAAGTTATACGAGATATACCAAAACTGTTTTCGGCGATAATACATAGCAAGAGCTTCAATAATTTATATACTTTTCTTCATCTTTCATAGATTTTGATGTATCGCTGTACAATTACCACAAAGAGAACGCATGCATAAAGGATTATTTCGAACATTTTTTTCTTTTAGTTACTCAATATGAAATATTAATCAATTTCAATGATGTTTCCATTATTTTCTGTGCTTATCATGATAGTTTTCACTTTTGAAATTTATTCTCTACTTTGTTTTGGCTATCATTAATGCATAGTTTTCATTTTTATAAAGTAAAACTGTCTTATTGTTACTTAGCATAGATGCGCTCTATTAAATTAGCCGAAAGTTGAAGTGCTATATGATCTTTATAATCTTCTAAAAGATGAGTATTTTTTAACAAAATTTGTTTGAACTTTGTCTTACGATTATGAAAAGTGATGTATTCGTCTTCGTGAAACTTGTAAAACATAAAATGGAACTATTAAATGTGGATGAAGTTTGTTTATTGTTGTCACTTAAATCAATATGTATGATACATTCTATTATATGGTAGTTCAGTAAGAGGAGCGCCATATAATAAAGAATCGAGTGTTATGATTTGAAGAACTTTTCCTTGTTCTTATTATTATGCAACTTAAATCTATTCATAAGATAGCACAGTAGGATAAATAATTCAGCTGTATTCTTTCAACATCTTTTACTTTCATTTTATCAATAAATAAGCAAATATTATGACGGCCATTCGTAGAAATGTGCCAGACGAAAACACGAAATCCATGATAGTTCTAAACCTTGAAGATAACGATCTTCCGTTGCCTGAAACAATAATGATAAATAAAGATGCCTAATAATTGCATTCCTTGAACTCGTTTATATTTTCATCAGCTTTTATTCGTTAAAATGTATTAGCGTTGTCAGTGAATTTTAACTGTTATATCTTTTTGATTTAATATTTGTTGAAATGTTACCGATTCAATATTCGTCTTCCATAGCGGCATTATGAGGGTACATTAAAAGTTTATTTCTTTTTAATTTTGATGCACAAAATACTAAAATGAATAGATTTTAATATTTGATGCACGAAATAATAAATGATGCTCATTTAACAAAAGATTACACAGCGTATGTACTGAGCTATTATAAAAAATTCTCTTCTATATCCATATGCTTAGTTTCTCTATGCTTATTAGTCAAATATAAAATACTTTTTATGATCTCAATTGATTTCGTTATGTCATGTTTTTGTTTTTATTACGGCTACCTACCATTTCTTCACTACCATTAAGCATGTATAAATAATAGCCTCATAATATTCAAATCAAATGAAATACTGAGGCATTGGAATCTATATTTATCTATTGAAAGTTCATATAAAGCATACATTTGCACTTCTTAGTTTGCCAAATTAGTAGAAAAAGATTTTCGCAAATATATTATTCATGATTTCTATTGACTCGTACAGTCTTTATTTACACATAAAAGAACCTAAAAATATTGTACAAAAAAGTCCATGAAAGTTTACATTTGATTTCGTTTTTTTGAACAAACTATCGGTTGCCAACAAAATAGACATGCACAAAATACCAGCAATTGCGTGGACTCGCGCAGTTTTGGTTTTTACGGTGATCAATATTCTTAGTGCAAAAGTAGATGCTGTTGAAACAGAAGAACTTTCATTTGGATGAACAGCAATTCAATTCTTTGATAGATTGCAATCAAGGGGCACTTGAAGTGGTACAAATAGAAAAACATCAGTACAGAACTATTGGGCCAATCTCTTTTGAAACTGTTCCTGACCCAATGCTTGACTGTTGAACTCTTTTCGATGCTTACATGCAAGTAAATCTGCCAAATTTTCAGACATGGGCTAATAAATATTGTCGCAATTATATGAACTGTTGGTTCTGTCCGAGTGGAGGCCTATGCGTCGTCTTCTTAGTGAGACCAACTCGTTTCCTATGTTGAAGCTGCTTATCAGGAAAAATTAACAGTATCCGAGCCATAATTACACATTAATTATGTTGCAAATATTTTCGTTTTGTTCTACTCCTTATCTTACTTCTATACAATTCATTTATTCAAACATCAAAATTAGATATTTATTTGAAATAAAATACCTCATTAAAAAAACTTAATAATCAATATGTGTACAAAAAGTTTCTTTGTCGTATCCTTTTTTTTATCAAATAGTCTTATTTAATCAAGATAAGTTATCATTATTTTAAACAGTAAAAATAAAATACAAAAAAACGAAGGAAATAAAAAGAAAACAAAGCATGCTAACTACTAATCCACATCACTGCAAAAATAAATGTACAATTAATAAATTAAAATGAGAATTCTTTCAAATAGCACATAAATTATTTATAACAAAAACGCAGGCACAATGTTTTTAATGAATCAGACTTCAATGCGGCGAGCTTGTTGTTGTTGTAAACGTTCGTTTGCAATTTCTTTCAATGTTGTTGTTTTTTCATGATCAATATAAACATAAGGCGCTGTTGATAATGATTTTGATATTGAATTAGTTTTTAATGATGTATTAGTTTGATTTGAATCCGATTGTTGATGAGGATTAAAAAATGATAGAAGAGCTCGTTTACAGGATTGTTGAGAAGGAGACTCTTTCATTAATTCAATGCTTGGTTCTTTCGTAGCAATTGGTATTTCTAAGTCATTTCTACGATCTAAAAATAATTTGTACAGATTTACTATAGAATTTCGTTTATTTTTTACATACCATTTTGAATAATCGAATTCGATGTTGATTCTGATTTTAATTCAACATAATTAAGATCTGGAGTAATGTCTCTTTCAACATGTTGTTTAAGTCTGGCTATGAACTGTCTTCCTTCTTCATTGTGACTGTTACTTTCTCTGTGACAAGGAAGTATATCGAAAGGTAAATAATCCTCTGACAAATTTGGTTCAGAATTTCGATAAGAAAATGTTTCTCTTGAATTTAATGAAATCGATGAGGAAGATGATGATGAAAAAAGTACAGATGATGGCGCTCGACGTGTTACGCCTTGCTCGGATTGTGTTCGTCGTCGCCGATGAGGATGAGGATGGCGTGATGTTATTGAAACGTTTGTTAAAGTAGATGAAGATGATATCATTGTTCCTCGTTGTTGTTGTTGTTGTTGTTGTTCTAGTAATTGTTTTGATCTGAATGTTATACGTTGATCTAAACAATTAACAAGACGATGTGCTTGTTTACAACGAAATGCATAACGTGCTGGACCAAGAGGAGCTTGTCGTCCACATTCAAGAATAAATATTGAGCCGTCTATACCATAACGTTTAATTGTTTCTAATGGAATCTGTAACGATTGTCGATGTTTTTGTCTTATACATAAACTATCATTTGATACGTGAATTTTTGCTGATGCATGTTTTCGACCACATGAATTAATATTGTCGACTTTAAATATGTCGTCTGTTACTGCTACTGATGTATCAACAAGATCAGTTAGAAGATTATTTGCTGAATTATTATTTCCCATGACGAAAAAATCGGAGATAATCTAAAATATATAGTACATACATTTAAATAAAATTTGAGATAAATTATTTCGTAATTGTAATTATTAAGGGATTTCTATGCAAAATTCTGATAGATCCATCACATTCTATAAGTGTACCATTGAAATGTATTCTAACATTTTTTCTATCAAATACTTTACCGATTTTTATTGCATCTAAATAAGTGTATTTGATAATCTTTAAATCTTATAGCTATTTATCATACAAATACATGTGTGTTTTTATAAAATAGAAATATGCTGCAGAATTATTTATTTTTATCGCTTTCTTTATTACGAATTTTAATTGTATCTTATAAGAATAAATTGTACTAGACAAATTTTTTACAACTTAAAGCTTCTACTGAACTATAATATAAAAATAATAAATTTTCTTTATTCGATAAATGAAAAAAGTCGTAAGATTTATTTTCTACCCGATGAAAAGTATGATATTGAGAATATAGTGCTCAACTGAAATTTCCTTTTTCAAAATCATTTCAATCATCAGCAAATATTCGAAGTTTTATCTTTACTTATTGTATTGCACATTCATAGACTATATAATGATGCAATTTCGAACTAAGACGTGCTATAGGTAAATGAAATGATTTTTAATTAGTATTAAGTATATATTATTTATTTTTTCCTATTGGATGCAAACCGATTGATCTTTTACTATATGAGCTAGAATGTAAATAACATATCATTTTATAGCAATAGATTGATTTGTAAGAAAAATAGTAACCTGATTTACCTTAGTTTTCATGCAAGTTCTTCAGCAAAAATCAATTTACTCAATAGTTGATAGAAGAAAAAAAATATCATCTTTCTTTTTTTATAAATGTTGCATAATTGTATCGAGTAGAGATAGCTGCACTTTTGGCTTAAATATGATAATCTTGATATGCGTGTAAAATTTCTGTTATCTTTAAGTGACTGTTAGACAATATATTTGAATCGTGGTATCATTTCGAGTGGTGTAACCTCAAAGTTTTAGAAAAAAAAAATTGTGATCACAATGTATACTCAACAATATACAAACGCAGAATATGGCTTGTACATGTCATGAATATTTGACTGACGAGAGAAACCTTTCAAATATTTATTTATTATTAATTCGTGTTATATCATGTTTGATTGTTATCATTTAATAATAAGTTTTTACCTTTTATAATCAGAAATCAATTTAGTTTTGTACATAATTTTGACATTGAGAAAATCGGAAGATAGGTTTGCTATAAGTTTGATCTTATTCTAAAACTAAAAATTGAACAAGGTAACATAGAAAAATAAGGGAATGAATATTGAAAACCAATAGCGATATATTTTGTTAATGCAGAAAATTCATAAACTTTTTCAATGTCTTAACCATTAGACCATAACAGTTGATGCTTTTCTTCTCGCTTTTACATGCATTTTTTATCAATCTAAAAAAAAATAATGAAAATAATTACATGGGTAATCAGCAAACTATTTTCCGTAGTATACGATGTAATCATTATTGATTTTTTTTTCTTTCTATTCTATTCTGTGATATTATAACTGATAGAAGATGATGATGGGTCTAGACCAATATGTTATGACTCACTTGTACATTAGAAATGTTGACACATTAATGCATTTCGAACCCGTGCGCTTATTTAATATGTTCTATTATAGGTATTTTACTAAATTACTTTAAATTATCATCAAAAGTAGATTCCAAGGCTTTTCTTTTATTCCTATTTATTTAACATCGTTCGAAAAAAAAAGTATTTTGAAGAATTCTTCAAAAGAAATTGATATACGACTGAACTGAATACGATACACTCATTCGAACATTTTTACTACATAATCAACATGACGAAGTGAAATTTAATCGTACAAACGATATGATCTGATGAATCGAAGCTAGAAAATAAAAAATGACCCTTTGGCTTGAGAATGACAAATAAAAAAAATAGAAAGAACAACGAGAAAATGATGATTTTGCAATCGTTAAATTGATTTATTGGCTTATAAAGCTTAGAAGCACCGATATTAAAAGACTCTGTTTTCCGTTAGAAACACACACATATTCGATCATTTAATTGTTCTGTGCAAGAATGCATACTAGTAGTATCATTGTATTGATTGTATCTGTATGTTTTCTCAAAATAACTCACAGCATCGATTTTCAAGCTAATCGACAACTTGGCTCTATGATATTTTTTTTATCTGGCCAAAATCCAAATGATTTTACCAATTACGGTTGCTGGTAAAATACCCTTCACTATTATTCTTATCTTAAATAACTTTCAACTGAAAGATAGTTAAATAGGAATTATTTTTTTCTTTTAAATCATCAAATTTATTAGTAAAGCTATTGTGATACTCATAGGTGTAGTAACAAAGATAAACCAATTCATGCTCCATTAGATGAAATTGACGAGTGTTGTCAACACTATCAAACATGCAATACTGTTCAAACGAACCATGCAACGTCTTATCCATACAAAGCTTCCTACGAAGATGGAACTATTGAGTGCTTAAATAATAAAGAAACTAAAGCTCATCGTCAATGTGAATGTGATATTGTGCTGGCTAAATGTTTAAGTAAACATCAAAACGTTTATACCACTAATTTATTATATATTTCGGACAATCAATGTAATCCAGGAAGTAAGTTCTTGTATATAAATAATAAATTTGATATCGAAAGCGTAAGTAACATGATTTCTTATGTATATTATAGTTGTACTCAATTTCGATGATTTACCTACAAATGCTACTTCAAAAAATGTGCCAGAAAATTATTATAATTTCACATTTACTGGTGGACTTTATACAACTCCCAAGGATACAGGTAATCCACCACGTCCCAGTGGTTACACTGTGGCAATGGTCAGTCCTCCTAATGTGTTAATGAGTCAAAATCAAATGACAATTAAACGTACCGATGGACGAGCATTTTCTATTGTTTCATTTTCTGCAGCAGCCGCTTTTGTTGCTAATCTTAAATTGAATTTAGTCGGTTCTCGCCAATATTCGCCAATACTTTTCAATGAGACTGTTTTTCTTCAAATTGATACTCGTAAAACCATTGAACTCAATTGGTCAGGTATTGATATGATAACATTCACTGGCACAGGTGGTTCAAATTATCCAACTTATTCAAATACATGTGGCAATTGTCATTTTGCCATGGATGATCTTCGATTTCGCCTATGAATAAGTTCTAATAAAATTTAAATAAATAACTATTCAAAATAATAATGTGTACTGAATCTGAATTCAATAAAAATTGTTTGTAATTGCATCTAGACACAGAAAATATGAATCAGAAATATCAAGTAATTCGAATCACTTGTTAGTATAGAATGAAAATTTTCGTTTTCATTGACTGACAACAAGCGACTATGATGCTTAGTGACATAAGCTAGTTATAACTTTGTACTAAAATTTACTCAGTAGATAGAATTGATTTTAATAAGTGAATTTATGAATGTTTAAATAAAACTATACGATGTTATTCATTGTGATAAATATGTTGTGACAGCTTGATTTTTTACTATGAAATATCGTGAGCAATACATTTACCTCATACGAAAAAGCACTTAGTAAGATCGAATAAAAAGACCATTCTGACATAAAATCAATAATTATGCAACCAAAGAAAGTGAATTGAACTTCACTTTTACTTCACTTCAACTATTGAACAAATTACAGTAACTATAAGACTTTTTGAGAAAACTTTACAACATTCTCGTTCTCAGACGTACATATTCAAACTCGCAGCCTCGATCTCCAATATAATAGAGTTAAGTTAAAAGAAAATGAATGACATTTTTCAATCTTAACTATACATTAAACTATACTCTGATCTTGAAGTATAATGCACTCATCCAATATTTAATATTATCCAAGCATTGGGAAAAGTTAATGTGTACTAGATTTTCTTTGAATTTATCAATGGAATCTCTCTGTATTCATCAATGATGCTTAACTTTGTCAATTGTTCAACCAATAAGATCGATAAACATTCTCTTCGAGATATTCGGGAATCCTGTGTTAAATCATAATGAAATATGTTAATTCAAATCTTTTTCAATAGTTGTTACTTCGATTTTCGTTTTAGAGGCTATTATAATTGTTTTACAAAAAAATAGATCATTGTTAGACAACTAAAGTTCGAAGAAAGATATCAGGAATATTAGTGAATTAAGATAGATTATTCAGATGAGAAGATTTTCATTCACCATATTTAAATAAAGTATAGATTGTAGAAAACCTAACGATAAAATCTTACAATAGCCTTATAATGTAGCCAATGATTGAAAATTAGTGCGAGACAAGTGAGAATTCAACTATTTCATATTCATAACTTTTTCGAAATTCTTCTATATCGTTGTTGTCCTTGTAGCTATTTTCCTATTATGTATCAAACACATTTAGCATATCAACCACACGATGATTGTCACTTTACTGGTATTAATCTTCATCAATATATATACGTATATACAAGCAACATGCTATAACAATTACAAGACAATGAAATTCTTCATGATATATTTGATTTCTATTTGCCAAAGTTAATATTTAAAAAGTAGAAAGGAATAGCACACGAAAAGTAGAATAAAATGAAAGTGTATGAGATGGCAACTGGTGAATGATGAAGGTCAATGTAATAGATACTTAATAATATATTTTCAAAAGTTTTGAAAATCGTTTCATTTGTCATTATGTGAATATATTGCTGTTTTCTTATTGTCGTGTGCGGCAAGTGCTAATAGATAAATACTATCTGGAAATTGATCTGAGAAAATCTTTAAATCATATTTAGTTACTGCCGATAGTAAATTGCGTCGCATTTTAAACATAGCAAGTAAACTGTTGGCTTCGTTGTAAAATTTGAATCTACCCGAGAATGCTCTATTTTTCATTGTAATTTTTCTTTCTGCAAGATTAACATGATATTCATCGTGAAACCATGTCGACTGTCGTTTAATACTTCCATTAAACCATTTGTTTGTCTTACTCCGTATATCAAATATTTCATAAGTAGCTTGATACCAAATTCCAAGTTGATGAGAATTTAATCTTCCAATAACCTTTTTGTCTGGATACGTACGTAGATCAATTTTTTGCATGGGACTATAATATGATTCAATACGATAGAGTAAGTTTGTTTCAGCTTGATTGGAATAAATATTAAATTGACCAGCTTTTCTGCCAGAATCCATATCTTTATTACTACATAGTCTCGCTTAGAGATTTCTGATTAAATACTGGCCAAAATGAAAATACTAATGATGAAACAATCTAGATTTATCGACATTTTCAATATGATATAAATATTATGAAGAACTGAGATAAAGAACTTCGTGTCCTTAAACTAATTCAGAAAAAAAGTCAGTAGTAGTATAACATCATTTAACGAATATGTCAACAGTAGTTTGTTTTTCTCTGATATATAGTACCAATTACCATAGAAAAGAGCAACGTTTGTTTTCTCAACTAATAATACAGAAAAAAATTATTTCTTCGTATTATGCAAAGATTTTTTCCTCTTGTTTTGTAAAGACTAAAGATTTGCTGAATCTTTTTTTTTTCGTGTAGAATAAATCAGTGATAATATATTAAAAACGATTTGTACATAATTAATAGAAATCAAATGAAACTACTGGGTAGCATGCATCAATAGATCCCCATGTTACTTCTGTCGTGTAGTCAAACATTTGAGTCTATTATTGATAACGAAAGCGAACAATGTAGAAGAACTCTACAAGTGAGAGTCAAGGATAAATTCATTATTAAAATGAATATGATATCATTCTTCGAAGACTTTTTTTTCTATTGATGACAGCTAACATCTATTATTCATATTATTAATGACAGATGAGAAGGCAAAATGTTGTGTGTTTACTAATTGTTGTTTATGTTGATATGTTGCGACTAGAAGCCTAGTATTATTATTGAAAATGTTTTAAATATGAACTGTCAAAGGCGAGGCTAAAACTTTTTTCAATTCGAAACATCGATCAAGGTAATTGCAAAAAGAAAAACAACCACGTAGGCCACAATTTTTTTTATAATTGTATTTTGAATTGAATCCATTTAAATCAGATACTCTATTTAATGAAGTCAATCGATGCATTCATACATACATAATAATAAAAAAATGTTGATCGCTTATAAAGCTTCATTAGCTTTGAAAAATTTTCAAATAAAATAAGAGAAAAATAAAGTGCGACAAACATGATCCGAAGAATGTAAATTTCAAAAAACACTATTATTCATTTTTCTTTTGCATCGATGGTAAGTGAAATTTTCAAAAGCTTTCCTGGTACGATGGGGAACCCGTCGATCTTGTTAAGTATTCAATTCGAAATTATATTATGTTTCAACACTCAAAATATATCAGCAAAACTTCAATGACATTTGACACATCCACAGTCAGTAGCGCTTCATGCGCGATTAATAAAATCGACATAATTCATAATGACAGACCTCTTTACGATCACGTGACTGTCAAATAGGATTATATATACTGTTGAAAACATTTTTATTGCAATAGATTTCTAATTATTAGAATATTTCTTCATTTATTTAAGAAGTCTTCCGAAAATTCTGCTTCGTTCTTAAATCCATATTATACCTAAATTAATCCATAATTTGCTGCCTACTATATAAAGAATAGACAAGGTCGCGGTTTGATTACTTAAGATAGATATAAAAATCGTTGTTAATTTCCTTTTTCATTTCATTCGTTCGCTGATTCGTCTAGTAACTAATCGAATATACTCATTTCAATAAAAAATCCAAACGAAGATAAAAGAGCGCCTCTAATTTATCTTTCACTCGATTTACACTACGACACATCAAGGTGTTCTACTTATCTGCTTGTCTCTTTCAAACTTTTCTTGTGTTTACTTTCATCATTCATTCGTGGGTGTGGGTGTGCATTGTGGTGGTGGTTGTCAATTATCAAAACAATTAATTGGATTTTCATAAAAAATTATTTTCTCTTCTCTTTCAAATTAATGAAAGAATATGGCAACTGGCGAAGATTTAACCAACAATTTCTTTCCAATAATGTCATCATCAATGATTCCAAGACCAATAAAAAAGCAATCACGTATTATGAAAAAAAAACCTGCAAGAAAAAATCAACTACCGATACATTTTCGCTTTGGTAAGATAATTAAAAATTTCATTATCATATCTTCATACCAGTTGAATTCATTCGTTTAGGTGGTAATCGAAAGGATCCGCTCAATTTAAATGCGCTAATAGAAAAGAAGAAGCAACTAACACAGGCAACAACATCATCAGGTACAAACAATAATTCAATCGATAATGGTAATGATCGACCGGTTGAAATTTTACTTCAACCAGATATTTTTGATCCTCTTCGTCTTGATACTTCTTCACGTAATGATGAAGATATTAATAATGTTTATTCTATTCCATCGAATAGTACAAATGAATTGAATACTAATAAACCAATGATATATCCCGTACGAAAGAAACGATACGAAAAAAAACGAAGAAATATTCAACCACCACGATATGGAAATTTTCAAGGTTATTATGGCTATAGACAACCGAATCATGATCAACGTTTTCAGTATCTTGAACATGATTGGTTTCATAATAAACAAGTATTAGATGTTGGTAAGTGTTCATAGAAGTTAACAAGGAATGTGAAAGATTAAAATACTGAAATATATTCATATGAAGAATAAACAAACACACCATCTTTCGACTGAGAAAACTATGCTGATTTGAAATCTATCTGATGAATGAAAACTTTAGGATAAGGACGTTTTTTCTCTTTCATCAATATCTTTCATAGAACCGTTTCTTTTTGTGTATTTAGGATGCCATACAGGTCATGTAACATTCTATGTTGCTGAGCATTTTCAACCTGAACAAATTGTTGGTGTTGATATTGATCAACAACTTATTCAACAAGCTCGACATCAATTATGGAATCGTATACAAATAGCTAACAATAATCATTTGAATGCTAATATGAATAATAACAACAACAACAACAGTAATAATAATAATAATCAAAATAAGCGCTATCCATTTAACCTGCGCTTTCAGCAGGTGTGAATTAAATTCTTTAGTACCTTATCATACATAAAATCTATGCATATATATATATTTAGGATTATTAAATGAACTTTGGATTAAGTCCAAGCGACGAATGCTTTCTGCTGATCGAGCTGAGCCGGAGCGAGCGAGTGAGCAGCCGCGAATCTGGTCGACATACATTCAGTTACTTTTCATTTCATCTACTATGGGTGATATTGATGCAGCGTGGAACAGGTGATAAGGTATATTTAATTCTAAAATTTTCCAAGATGAAACGGAAAAAAGAAAAAACCTTTATCACTTACGAGCAGAAAGCATTCGTCGCTAATTAAAATTTCTTTATTTTTTCTATTTATTTCTATTTTTTCATATTATTTTAGGAAAATTTTGTGCTTGATAACGATGTGGATTTGGCTAATATCAAAACGGAGTATGATACGATTATTGCATTTAGTGTTACAAAATGGGTGCATTTAAATTTTGGCGATGAAGGTCTTAAACGATTTTTCAAACGACTTTATCGAACTTTGCTTCCAGGTGGACGATTAATACTTGAACCACAACCATGGCCAAGTTATCGACTTAAACGTCGTATGACAGTAAGCAAAATATCATTTGATTAGATGAAATATTATTCAAATTTTGTTTTTTTAGAAAGATATTACAGACACATATAATCGTATAGAACTTAAACCAACAGATTTTGTATCTTATCTGCTTTCGACTGAAGTCGGTTTCGAATCGTGCACGACAATTGCTACGCCTAGTCATATGCATAAAGGTAAAAATTCTTTTCTTAAACATTAACATTGATTCAATTTCATTTCATTTAGGTTTCCAACGATCGATGTTTTTATTTATTAAATCGTCGAATATTCTTGAAAATTAAACATCTAACCTTAAAATCGGACTAAAGATGATTTTTCCTTTCTTTGTGTTCTTTTGTTTGTCTGTTTCTGTTTTTTCATGCTCCACATGTGTATGTCTTTCATTTGTTCTGTATTTTTTTCTTTTCGTCGACTAATTACTCTTGCTGCTGCTCTCTCTCATTCGTGTATCTTGATCGATTGGAAATATGGCAATTCGTTGTTTTCTTTCACAACTGTATATATTTTTACGGTTATTTCATGTTTTCTTTTCTTGCCTCTTGTATTCATAGTTCTGCATAGCAGATCATATATTCACACGTTCTGTTTTCTTTCTTCATATTCAGTTCGACTTCGTTTTCTGTTTGTTTCAAAGAACAGTGCATTGATATATGTTTGAACATTGTTCTTATATAAATGTATCTTTTTTTTGGTGATATTTGCTCTATAGTAATGAGAGATGGCAAACATGAAAAAATGAATCGTATTCTCTATTTGTTTCTTGATCCGCATTTTATTGTACAAGCAGAATCATAAAAAATATGTACGGATGTAAACGAAAAAAGTTAAGAATCATTTCATTTGCAAGGTAGAGAAATAAAATTTGTTCTGATTAACACTTTCATGATCTATTGAAACATTATTTTATTTAATTACTTGGGCTAGTAATGTGCTAGGAGAAGATACGAGGGAGAAACGGTATATTTATGATTTTGCTTTATTCATCGGATCATTTTTTAAAGCGATTGGCCCAATCACCATAAGCTGGATCGAATAAATTACGTTTTTTTTCTAAATATTTTGACCAGGTATCATCAAATGAAGGATCATAAAAACTTCGACGAGTTAACATTTCTTTTAATCTTTGAGAACGAGCAACTATTAATGTTTGATCATGAGAATCAGTTTTTGCATTTGCACGATGTTCTTCAGCATTCTAAAAGAAAAACAATAGTCAGATCGATGATTAGAAATAACAATTATTGTACTTACTTGTCGAGAACAACGGACAATACAAATGAAAACAAACCAAATGGAAAGATATTTTATTAATCGTTGACAAAATAAATTCATAGTTGATTTCACTTTGAATTACGAAGAATTGCTTGTAGTAAGACTATCTAAAGAAGATAAACTAAAATATATGCATACAGCTCCCATAGCTATAACAATCGATGAGATAGTGAAAGAGTAAGTGTGTTTCCTATTATTGTTTTCTTAGTGATTAATATGCGAGGAGGTACTCGTCAAAATTAATTTTATTCTTATGTGTCTTTTCATGTTTTCTTTTTATTCCAATATATATAATCTTTTGAGTCTAAGAGAGACAGAGAGAGAGAAAGAAAAAAGAAGATCTTAGCAGCCACCACTAGAAGCATATAATTAACTGTCAACATGATTTTACTCTGCTTCTTCTTATTATGTTGTTGGCATTTCTAGAATAAAAATCATTTCTGTCCAAATATGCCATTGCTATTTAGGATCAATCATGAAAAAATGAATAAACAAATCGCATACTGAATCCCCAACACAACTGCAAACTCGGTATTATTTAATATAAAATGAGTATTATCGCTTATTCAAGGATCAATGAATATGCTTATATAAAATAAAGTCATGAATCAATTTCCGTTCATGAGAACATCAACAAAATAATGCTGTTTTTGTATATACTGTATATATATATGTTGCAAAAAAAAGCTAATTCTGTGTTTTTATTATTAGCAAAGAAAAAAAGTGAGACAAAGTTTTTTCCCTCTCTCTCTCTCTGATTTTTTTGCATCTTGTATGAAAAAAACTCTTTTTCTCTGCACAGAACCAATCATAAACTGTTTTTATTTAAGCTTTTTTTGTTTAACATAAGCAATAATATCTTTTTTGGTTAAAAGACCAACTAAATGTCCTTTTTCATTTGTTATCAATATAGTTTGTGCACCAAGTTTTCTACATAGATCTATAATTGTTGTTGTTGGTGTGTCCAATGTTATTGTTGTTGGCGAACGATTTAATAAACGATAGAGATGTATCGAATTTAATTGCTGTTGTGTTGTACGCGAAAACGATATACATGTGTTCATATTCGATTCTATATTTGATAATGTTCGTTGTTGAATAATTGATTCAAGATCACGTCGTAAGACAAAGCCAATAATTGATGCTTCTTCTATACTAGCAATAACAGGATAACCATTATATTTATGTGTACGCAGTATAGTTATTAAATCACTCAGTGTTAAACCGTCACGTGGTAACATGATTAATTCATTTTTATCTTGTTTGTTTTCCATTAAATCAGTAGCTGTTGATTGATCAATAAATTCAGCTTTAATATCAAGATATGGATAGTTATTGAGTTTTATATGTGCATCATAGATGCCTTCACCAACTAAAGCATCACCTACAAGTTTTGAAATCAATGCTGCACACATCAATGGAACAGAATACGAAAGACCACCAGTGAGTTCAACCATAATTACAACGAGTGATACTGTCATTCGTGTGACACCACCAAGAAAAGCACACGCACCAACAACAGCATAAAAACCAGGCACAACACATTGTTCGTCGGTTGCACTACATTCAATTGTGAAGAGGAAAAAATTAGGCCGATAATAAACAAATGTTTCAACTAGGATACCAACAATACGACCTGTAATAGCACCAAGTGTCAAGGAAGGAATAAATAGACCACTGTAGAACAAAATTTAATATAAGAAAAAGAATTTTTTTAATAATTTAAATATTATACTAACCAAGGCACTTTAATGCCAAATGTAAAAATAAAAAGAATCGTTTGAGTGAATAAAGCCGAAAAAAGTAAACCCATAGATATCCAAACACCGCTAAATGATTAAAACGAACAATGAATACAAGTCTATATTTAATCTGATTATTCTTTTTTTGTTTTGTAAACTTTAACTTATGAACCTTAAACAATCAATTAAATAATACTCTTGTATCATTCACTTAGAGTAATCAAACATTGAATAGAGTCAATTTTCTAACATTATATAACTAGAAACAACTGTTTAGAGAGTGATTTCCCGATGTGAGCTCATAGAATAATGCGAGTTTTAGCGTTTCTTAGTTAAGTATTAACACCATAGACAATGAAGAATTTCGAATCGAAATCCCAACTAACTATTGCATTATAATTGTGATATCGAAGGATCTGTTTCTAAATCAGATAATAATCAGATTCACATTTATCTAGGTATATGTCACTACCAGAAATGAATCATTTTCCAAAGAATAATTAACTCTAATATAAGCAGATTTTCAGCTTGATTAAAAAAATATAATTTCTAAGCAAGCCATAGTATAAAATCAAATAAGTCTCAAGGCCACTTTCGATAGTATTCAAGATGCAAAGATTCTTAAATTCACACCTTATAATCCCTCATAGTATTGCAGTAACATCGACCCGATTAAACGCAACGAATATTCTATTTAATATATTTCGAAGTTATTCTCATTATTTATTCAGCATTTATTTGTTCTACTAGATTGTGATTGAGGATATAGATGGTTAATCGGCATGCAATATATACCGACTACAGATGAATAATATTACCTCAATGGTTTTGCACTATCATTTTTTTCATAAGCTGATGTAATATTTCGTCGATAATCACACAATAAACTTTCATCATCGGGTTCACACGATGAAATAAGTCGACGAATCAACGTAGACATAGGCATACGTGTATATGGATTTGGATATGAAACAATTAATGTAACTAAAGCAACCATAACTACTTCAAGCACAGGATAACGTCCTAAACGTGTTGTTTTTCTTATTTTACACCAAGCAAGATTCAGTTTAATAAATAAAGCACCAAATAATCCACCAAGAATACCGAGTATAATGAATGGAATCATTTCAAAATAGAACCAACGATATCTATTTCCAACGTAAAATAGACCAAGATGTTGATTTTCAAATGGAGATAAAATTTTAACTATTAACGAAGCAATCATTGCACAAAAAAATGAACGCCATAGAGTTTTTAATGAAAAATAATAGGATACTTCCTCTAAACTAAACAATACTCCACCTACAAGAAATAAATAGTTGATAAGTAAAACAATGATTTATTCAAGCAGATAACAAACCAATTGGTGCACCGAAAGCAACTGAAACACCAGCGGCTGCTGCTGCAGAAAGAATTTCTCGTTTTTTCGCTTCATTTTGTCCATATTTAGGAAAAAGTCGAGCAAAAATATTTCCACAACAAGAACTGCAATGAACAAACGGACCCTAAAAAATAAATTTATTTTCAGCATTAGAATAATATCTATATTCTAGAAAATAATTCAACAAAATTTTCAATAAATACCTCTTTTCCAAGTAGTAAATTGGCGCTTGTTGCTAATATCATACCAATACTTTTGATCAAAAGTGTCCATGCACCAAAATATCCACGAATAATAAAACCAGAAAGAATAGTTTTGACTTCTGGTACACCACTACCACATGCATACGGAGCAAATGTTCTAACAAGTATAGCACATATTGTTGCAAAAAATACACCTAAAAAGTCAGTATTATTATTATTTAAACTAAAATAAAGCAATTGATATCTACCGGTCACAATATATGCAATATAGTTCACAACATACTCTGCTGCAGTATCACTAGTAACATGAAAAAGACTGGACCATCCATGCCAATGAGCACAATGAACATGTTGATATTGATCATAAGTTTGATTCGATGCTGTCCACTAAATAATATATTTTCGTCTATGAAAACGATTTCAAAAGATAGACATACACAACATTGTTCTTGTGACAGATAAAAAGCGGGTAGGCAAACGCCAATTTTTATATTTGTTAACCATACAGCCCCTATATCGACAATGGCTGCAATAATGCCAATATTAATACCGACGAGAAGTACACAAAGCCTAGAAATAATAATATAATAAAAAGAATATTAAACAAATGACGTGACAACAAACCATCCAGAAAGTGCATCATGAAAAGCAACAAAACGCTTCCACATGGAATCGTGTTTTTGTTCAGTAATAACTTGATGTCGCAATCGATCTCGTGCTTGATCGCTTAACCAATCGATTGTTGACCAGTCTGCATAGTGACTTCCTTGAGTTGTTGTTATAGCACCCTTTGTCAACAATCAATAGATATATTTCAGGTGGTATTTGATAAATATTTAACTCACAGATGGTGTATGAAAAAAATCAATGGTTCCTTTTGATTTATCTGCTAAAGATGATATATCTGATTCAGCATTAATTGCAATATCAACTAATGATTCATCCATAGTAGCTTGCTGCTGTCTAGGGTGGTAGTCAGCTGATCTTCTGAACCTTAATATATCACCAAACGATTCAAAACTAGGATTTATAATCGACGTAACACGATTTGTTGAAGAAGATCCTTGTGATGTTGAACTGTTCGAAGAAAACATTCGACTAAACCAATTTGGCTCTTTGTCTGTTTCGGGTGGACTACTAGTGGCAGCCATTATATGTATATTATTGACAATAAAGATTTTGTTTGTTTTTGAAAAAAAACTATTTGATAATATACGAATCTATATTTTTTCTTTTGTTAATGTTGTTGTATTTGTTTTGTAAGTATTATGTTTGTCATCATCGTTTTTGTTTTTTCTTTTTCTTATTGAGTATATATGTGAAATGAAAAGTAAACGTATAAAGAAGAAAAAAAGTGAAAGAAGAGAAGCAAATAGATAAAACAAAACGAAGATGATGTTGAAATAGTAAAGAAATACAATATCTCGTCAATAGACTTTTACGTAAGAAGAAACGACAAATAAAGTTGAGTGTATAGAAGATAAATTTAATTTAATCATAACTACAACTCGTGATCTCATTATATTTAATGTTTGTTTTAAATTTAAAATAAAACGTATTTTTGAGCAGTTTATTGTTTTTTTTTGTATGATAAAAATATATAATCAATGACAAATGAGCTGATATATTGTAAATTTAACTAAAAGATATTTTAGTTTATCTTAGTTATGTCGTTTACGCTCTTGAAAGTTTTCTTTTTATCTTCCTGTTTTTGTATTCGACATGATACTTTGGCATGATTCAGCATTAACTTATGTTTATCTTCCCTTGACTTTTCAAAAAAGTTCGTTTATAAGAGCCCCGAAAAATAAATATAGAAATATGTAGCCACTGGTTAGATCATAGACATCTTGTCTTCGTCCTTAATATAAGATTTCAACAAAACTTTTCTTTAAAATTCAAATCGATATTTGAGAAGATTAATGCAATTACAATATATAGCTTACACAATGAAATAGGATAGTATATTCGTTAGATGCCTATTTCAAACAATCCACATAGAATAAATATTTTAAAAAAAATATCATTAAATGAAATATATCTAAATTCATTTGTTTTTAGCAATCTTTCTAAAGTAAATTGTACAAAAATTAAAAATAAATTCTCCTCATTTTTGTTATACATCAATAATATTGATGTATAAATTCGATAAATGTGACTTGATCCAACGCATCTCTGTTTATGAAGTTATTAGATGAATTGTAGTTTATATGAATTTCGTGAAAAACATACGATCATCATTGATTTTGATGTTTATTCGAAATAAAGTTAGGCATTGTAGTAAGCTGAACAGTCAATAGTCGTAAAGTTTGTTCGATTTCTCTTTTTTAATTTTTCAAATTTTTGTTCACCAGTGCTGAACTAAATTTACTGAAGTAACAAAAAAAAGAGATCTTTACTACAACAGCTTATGTGTGATGTTTGTGTCATAAAAATTGATTTATAATTTTCTTAGGAATTATTTAGCATGTGCGGCTATTGCCATACGATCGATTATGATAAGTAGTAAAGCAGTCTATTTTCGTATGTTATCTGATATTTACTTGTTGGGTGATGATCGTTTTACTTAATATTCGCCATGTGACCATGTAACCATGTAACATGCGAAGGCTGGAAAACTAAATCAGAACAGCTGTTTCATTACTCATAGGCGATCGAGTGGCAATAATCTTCAATGAAGAGAAAGGAAATCCAAGAGTAAGCATGTTCTCTTTGGAGTTGTCAACCACATTAAGAATATACTAATAGTTTAATGTAATGCGTTTTCTCTATGTTCACATGAAAATTTGTGTTTGATGTAGTATCCACAATTAAGATCCACTATTTCTTGTTGTTTTTAGCAATTAAGTGTTGATTGTGATCGAGTAATTTAATATGTCTGTCAAATCAAATTTAGCGCATCAACGTTTTCTATTTGTTTTTTGATTTGATTAAATGTGCTGAAGAACTCATCTGTATGCTTTACTCGTCTTCTTATATTTTAATTTCTATAAAAATTATTTTCAGTTATTACCAGTATTTGCATTGCTTTCAGCAACGAGAAGAAGAAACGAACTTCTTCTTTCTGAATGTAGTATATTTGCATTGTTGAAATGGTGTAAAAATTATCACCATTAAGAGTTGAACGATGATAAAAAAATTATGCAAACTCATTATCTTTATATTTATCTTGAGTACTTCAAAGTTTTCAACTGGTAAAAATTGGCATCTAGCAGCGTCCTTCTACCCGATTGTATTTTAATATTGGAGTAGCATTCTATTTTTTCTTCATAAAATCCATGGAGTTTTTCTTAATATTTTATTCATGTATTAATTCATTGCTTTTTATCATGAATAATGATTAGAAGTCATCAATGAAATGATCATTAATTATTAATCGAAAATGGTTCGACATGCTTAGTATTGAAATATGCAAATACGATTGATTTTTTTTCTTTTTTGATGAGCTATAATATCAGTATGTAAAAAAAATGCTCAAGCAGACTAGCCGAGCTGTCATGTTCATTTAGAGAAAAATATTTTATACATAAAACTTTGAATATTCAGTTTAAGAAACGATTATTCAAATTGCAACATATCTCTTTATTCTACAATTTTAAGCGACAAAAACATTGATTTTAATCAAAGAAATGCACTGTTGTTTACAATATTAAAAATGATCTGATCTTACTCTAGATTCGGTATGTGTGATTAATGTACATGCCTCAACAAAGATAAGAACAATAGATCATAACTAATGTTTCGGATCGTCAAATGTAATTAATTGATTTGCTCCATGAGTTAAAATGATAGAAACACTATCAATATAAGCAAAGATTTTTCATATAGAATTCGAATAGAAAAATGTATCTCGTAATTATAATTTAAAGTTTTTCTCTAGAATCTAAAACCGTTACTATCGATCATAAAAATAATAATTTCAAAAATCATATCAAAGCATCAGACGGACGCTTGTTATCTCACGCATCAATTATTCCGGTCATAATAACATCTTAGCACAGTCATGCAAATATCAAAATTAACAACGAAATAAAGTTTAATACATTTTGAAGAGTACATGATATATGTCAATGATATGCAAATTTAACATTCATCGTAGCTTTTGAAAAGCTCTTTCAACTTAATGATGCATCTTGTGATGGATTAAGAATGATCATTTGTATTATCAATGACGTTTTTAATTTTTGATATAAATTATTTTATAAGATGTACGATGAAATTTCGATAACTTTATCGGAACGTGTTGAATATCTCATCCGATTATGAAGCACATTTTCGCACTTAGAATTAGAAATTTAAAAAAGAAAGCAAATAAAATACAATATTTTCAAGTCTAGCAATCATGACAATCATTAAATTGGTTCATCTCTCTTGGTGATTGAAGTTTCTCTAAGATAGATAAAATGTAGCAGTCTCTAGAGCAGTAATAAATACTCTGAACTATTGAAAAATTTTATCAAGAACAGAAAAGACACCATCTTGGTTACTATTTTCATGACTGGAAAAGCTTCCATTTTAGATTTACGTAAAACTAACAATTTTCCGTAATATGTGCGTGTCTTATTTTTTAAGTTTAAGCTTTCAACTAATTATAGCAAAATAAAAAAACTTAACATACAACAAAGATATACGGTTTTTTTTCTAATTGATAATCTAGAAAATACAGTGTTAATGATGCTAGATTTCTTTTCGAGTTCTCCATTATATAGCTTTGCATATTATAACGCACCATCTATGATGACGTTTTGATACTAATAGACATGCAAGATCAAAGTTTTTTTCTTTTGTATCATAGCGAATGGATACTTCATCCTTTCAAAAGATCGTTGACTCTACAGAGATTAGAATTCAATAACAAGACAAAAATGACCTACAGCACATTGTCGAAGGATTATTCTAATATTGATCATAGTATTTAACACACTCATGCTTAAATACAAATGTTTTGATGAGAAGTGTAAGATATATTTATATATATATATATATTTTTTTTTAATCTTCAGAGTCATCTTATTATGCCATTAAAATATTACATTTCTGTGATATATTGTAATTTAACTTTTTTCAATATTGGGAATAACTCTTATTTGTATTTTTACTTTAAGAAATCTGTACTTCCACATTCTTTACAAAAGTAACATTTTAAAACTTCTTTGATATTTAAACCCAAGCAAAAGAAAAGATGAATTCTTTAGCCCATGAAATTTTATTAGTTTATTTTAGTTGTTGAATTATAAAGTTTAAAAAAAAGTATTTTTCAATCATATTCACAATTAAAACAATTGTATTGATAATTATGTAAAGCCCTTGTTACGTATATTGTTATGATTAATATTCTTTTGTTCCAGACACGGTACGTGTTATTCTGGTTTATATGAAGGAGTAATAGCTAAAATTGATACATAAGAACATTCATATTGTTATGATTGTTATATCTTTTTTTCTCTTTCGTACATTGAACTACAACACTATTAGTTGTGCCTTTGGCGCTATCAATCGAGTAAAATATCTTTTACGCTTAATTAAATGTTACTGTGAGAGAAAGTCAACTTAAATAGCACGAAATCATCTCACTAAACAAATAGGATAAAAAAATAATTAAACGCAACACATATCGAATAAGACAATATGTTAAGTAAGTTTAAGAGAAAGAATTTACTCAATTAAATTAGCCTAGAAATAAATCTCATTAATACGATAACACCGCTTACGAACAAGTACAAAACTGAGATCAATTCTCAATACTGACAATAAAAACCAAACATTCTTTCACAAAAGAAAAGACTATCGAACATATTAACAACTTTGTAAAAAAATGAAAAAAAATTATTTTTTAATATTTAAATATATATAATACGAGAATTTTTATTCATCAAACTGATGGAAACATTCAATACATGCCACAAATATTTTATCATCATCTATATACCAAAATCATACCAATGTAGGTCAACGATTTTATTTATCATTCATTAAAATTTTTAGAAATCTTCATTTATTTTCTACATCTGGTGGCTAACCTTCAATCATATAGACATGTATACCTTCATTTATCACATTGATCTTCATCATAAATGGCAAGTTCGATATCACGCAAGTATATAATAATTTTATTCTTAGTTTGTCTAACGATGCCTAATTGGTATGAATGTAATACGCACATATCTTTTTCCATTGACAGAGATTATAGGCTTGACGATTGAAAAAGGAATCAAGAAGAAGATAGCTATTATTTGAGAAATGAAAGATTAAAGAAAACAGAAAAAAAGCCAAACAAGACGACAAAAACAAGAAAAAAATTTAAATGATATTGAGTGTTTTCCTAAATAAAATCAAACTGAACGAATTCTAAAGTATCGTACACTTGCAAACAAACAGAACAAACAAGCTGGTAATCGAACACAAAACTTCTTTAGAAAATCTGTTTGATATATAAAGTTAAGATAAGGATAATCCAAAAAAAAATACATCAAGTTTTCGTTTTGTATATGTATATACGTTGTTTTGTTGACGATTATTTTATTTTTAAACGTTAGGTGCTAATAGTTGTCGAAGAACCTCATCTTTGAGGCAACCTTCAACAAATTCGTCTCGAGAAATATGTTTATCATCATTTAAATCTAATACTGCCATGATTATTTTCACACGATTTTCTGGTGAATTTTCTCCTTTGCGATGTTCTTCACCTAGAATTAAAATAACTTTCTATTTAATCTAAAACAAATAATACTAATCAACAAACCTAAGAGATCATAGATTGCTGTAATTACTTTAGTCATTTCTTTCTTGTCGATCTAAATATAGACATAAAAGAAAAGCGATGACATGATATTTTTGTGATTATTTAAATTATAAAATAGCTGAAAATTAATCAGAGAATTCTACATGGACTACTAAAAAAATCATTCCTATCCTTAAATAGCACGATCATATGAATCCAATGGGTGGATATACTTAATTTAAAAAAGAAATATTTATCTTTGATAGCTGTGATTGTGACTTTTATCATTCTTACTTGTCCATTTTTATTAATATCATAAATATCGAAAGCAAGATTTAATTTATCGCGTACGTCTCCATTAGCATTGACATTAACGGCAATTAAAAATTCACCAAAATCAATATAACCGCTATGATCCGCATCAAATGTACGAAATACTTGATAGCTATATTTTTCAGCCTCAGCTTCTGGATAAAATTTTTTATAAACTTCTATAAATTGTCGTGATGAAAGTTTTCCATTTGGACAATCTCGTAGAAAAGCGGAATGCCAACTTCGAATTTGTTCTGGTGTATATTTTGTATTTGCTGCAAGCCGTACAATGATGTCATCATCTATTTCGGTAGTACCTACTTTACTTTCATCCTGACCCATGATTATTTTATATGAAAAAGTAAATCTAATCCAATGAAAATACTTATTTTAGTTATAATGACGTTTTCATGCACGAATAAGTTATATAAAATAAACAGTCTTCATATTGATCAAGGAGAATGTGATTTTTGTGACGAAAGAGAGGGAAACAGAACATAAATAAAAGATATACAAAAAAAAAAGAGGGAGAAAGTATAGCCGAAAAATAACGTAAACAATAGAATATGTACTTTTTGACAGTAAATATCAACATGCAAACAATTTTTTTTCGCTCATCAAATTATTTTTTCCTTTTCTTTTCAGGGCGAATGTTCTCTCATTAGCTATTCCTAGATCACAAGCAACATTATCAAATCAATGATGTGTTAAAACAAGCAGAAAGGGAGAAAGAAAAGTTACTATTAAATGTGCACAATGTATTTATACATGCACCAAATTTGTATTCGGCTTACCAACTAGTACTATGAGTGCACGAGGGTAAACAATGAAGACATAACTTAATCATAGTGTGCGATGATGCGATACTATACTCATATGAGTTAACCATGAACGTATAGTCAAAGAATGAATAGCTAAGAAAACTTCTAAGAATGTGAGATTAAGAATAACTATTGGTTGTTACTTGATGCTTCGAGAGACAACAAAAGCGGGTGTATATATTCATACACAAGGAATGTTTTTCTTTTTCTATAATTTATTATAAAAAAAAAGACAGCAAGATTGCATATGCGAAATAAAATCATTCACATGTGAACCTATCGTGTGCTAGATTGAAAACATTCCTCATTTTTCTCAAGAATAAAGAAAGTCTATCATTTCTTATTCCTATCATTCAATCATTTGGGAATTGATTCTATATTAATATCAACTCTTCTGTTCTACTATTCTAAGAATATTTTAGGCACGAAAAACAAGAAAAATAAAGAATTTTGCGCTATTTCTATTGAAATATAACTAAGATATTATTTACCTTTCCATTTTTATTCATATCGTACATGTCAAAAGCCAATCGAAGTTTTTCTCGAACATCACCTTAAATATATATGCATATATATATATATATATATATGTATTGATACAAAGAGAAGAAAACAAAAATGGAAAACCAACCATGAGATGTGATATTCACAGCAATAAGAAATTCAACAAAGTCTATGTAACCATTTCCATCAGCATCTAATTATAAATATAGAATAGAAATAGAAATATTTACATGAACATATATTTACCAAAAGTTTTAAAAACTTGACTACAAAATTTTTCAGCTTTGCCTTCGGGATAAAATTTCTATAAAGATTGATGAATATTATATACAAAAAAAATTGAAATATATTTTACCTTGTACACTTCCAAAAACTTTTTACTATCAAGTTTACCAGTAGGACAATCGCTATGAAAAATAAATAAATATAATTTTTATGAAATAGAACAATTTTTAAGAATTTTTTTACCGAAGAAATCCCTGATGCCAATCGTGAATTTGTTGTTTTGAATACGTAGTATTTTTAGTTAAACGTTCAATTTCGTCTTCTGATAAATTTGTTAAATCTTTTTTCTGTTTACTAGCTTTATGACCCATAATTAATCGAAAATAAATATCTTTTTTAATTACGAATATTTCTAGAATGAAAAAAAAATCAATGCAATCGTTTATTAGATTTTTCGAAGAAGATGGTCAGAAAGTAAGAGTGGATCATCTATTAAATGATGCGAAGTGTGAATTAAGTTGGATCATTTATCCTTCTTTAAAAACGTTTCAAGGACAAATCGAATCAATAAAAAAAAAAGCGAGAATAAGTAACGTTACGAATCTGTATGCCATTGCGAACATCGATAAATTTGATATTTAACAAATAAAACAATACAGAAACATATAACATACTTGTATCCAGCTCAAATATCTGCAAACAACAAGAACAACTATTTTAATCGGATGCATATCCAATGCTCTGCACAGTAAAAAAAATGCATGCTCTGCGTTTTTTTACTGCCTCTTGTGCACTCTCTTTCTCTTGCGACTATGATCGACGACGAGCAGCAGTGGTGGCGGCAGCAATGGCGGCAGCGCTACTTCTTCGTACTTGTCAAAAAAAAACAGAGACAGAGAGTGAGTAAGTAAACGAGAGAAAAATGGAGAAAGTATTTTCTATGGTTATGTTCTCTTTCTTTCTTCTTCTTTTTTTCTCTGCTCTATTCAAATAACGATGAAGTATTATTATACAGGCAATAGGCAACGGTCACTACTCGATGCGTTCTGCCTTCACTATTGAATCAGCTATGTTATTAGTTCAGTTATTGTTCTTTTTTTTTTTGATAATATGGAAACAAGTTAAAAAAACAGAAATATTTGTTTTTATTTAATTAATAAAAACTCTCAACAGGCCAACTAGAAAATTTGTATTGTTGTGGTAATGGAGGAATGTGTGCCGTTTTTGAACCATATTTATCAATAGCATGTTCTGGTAAGAGTCGCCATCCAATTTTCTAGTTACAGAAAACAAAAAAAAAATGAATAAAAAAAACATGATCATGAATAAAAGAACATTAGTAAAACAAAAAAAGCATAGAAAAAGTAATATATTTTGTTTCATGCAAAACAAATTTGTGTCGTCTTGATAGATTGCAAAGGAAAATAGTAACTCATCAGTCAAACTTATGTTGCGAAAAAAAACGACAACGTCGCTTAGATATTATCAGTTTACTTACGTCACTTTCAGTTTGAGGAAATGATCCTAATACACGTCGACGTCGTTGACCAGGCAGACGTTTATGTATCGGTGGCAACGTATCAACAGGTTGTTGCCATTCAGAGCGTTTGAGTGAAATAAGAGAATTTTTCGGAGGTACACCACGTAGTTTTGCTCTATTTACATACATCTTCAGACAAAGGTTTCAACTGTTGAACGATTTGTAAAGAAAAAGAGACCTTACTTCTCGATATTCGTCAATTAACCATGGATCAAATTTTGCTTTCCATACTCGATGTGCTTCTTCTTCTTTGTGTATAGTTTCTCTTCTAGAAAGAAATATCTTTTGGTTCTGTTTTAAAGATATTCATCATTTTTTCTTTGTTACCGAAATGTATCCAATGCAATATAATCTATCGGATCAGGATGGGTAATACGTGAAGATGTTGTTACAATTGGTCGTTTATCATTTGATAATGTTTTCTGGGTCATCAATCTAGCCGATGGTATGTTAGTTGATACTGTGAAATATGAAAATAAGATTCGAATGATTAATTTTAGATTTACCATGGTGAGTATTTGAATCTCTCATTATACTCGTAAGTTTGATTGGAAGAAATGATTGTTCTAACGGTTTATTCACTTTTAAAATGACGTAGCTGAATTCGGTTTCGTTGCTTCTTCGTTATACCTTATCATTGTAACTGCATACACATGGTTTCTTTATATTAGATTTCTTTTTCGATCTACTCCAGTATATACGTAGAAAATAAAATAAAAGAACGACAAACTATAATAAAAAAGAAACGAAATGATATGAAAAAGATACGATAAATGCATAAAATTAATAGCAAACACACACATATAAATATATAGTTATGCGACTATTTGTTCACAAATGACTTTTAAAATTTTAGTTTTCTTTCTCTAATCGAAACAATAAATTTCGAAGAAATCGATGATACAAATAGTAAGATCTGACGAGATACGAAAAATAACTAAATCAATCATTGAATTTCTGAATGGTAGAAAACCTATGTAAATATAATAAATAACTGTTATAAAACAGTTTGAGTGTGTTGAAGATTAAAATATCAAATTAGAGATGCTTCAATGATTGTTTTATTTTGTCAATTTGTTGTTATTAACACAAGAATAAATATTAGGTAGATCATTTTCGTCTATAACGACTCACTACCTTTGCTATAAAATATTATCGAGTTTGACTCATCTACTTAGCAACCATTATAAGAGTTTAGAAACTTTTCTTTTGAATGTGGATGAAAAAAGAATAAGGTTTTATCCAACTGAATATCAAGTTTTACTTATGTCCAATCAAATAATCTTCATGAAATGACGCATCGTGCCTTTGTCGGTCGAACTCCAATTCGATAATTAATTCTACTATAAATAAAAAGAATTTCAGTGTAGTAGATAGTTTTTCTGAATTCATCCTTGAAAACAGTATTAATTTCTTTAAAATTTATTTTTATAAGTTTCCGAACACAAAAAAGAATGTCTGATTACTAATGACTATCAAACAGATAATATATATTGCATTAGATAGTTTATCCAAATCATAGAATCAATTTTTGTAGAAAAAAAAATCAATCAACGATGATTGCAAAAGGAAGAATATGATAGCGTCTTGTTAATGATATTGAGGTTTTCGTTTGTATAATAATGGCGCAGGCATTAATGTGGGTTTATCTAGGATAGGATAGTCAACAAGTTCAATTGAACATGTTTGCTGATTTCCACATGGTGATGATTGAAGTTCAATCATTGTAAGAGAGTTTGTTGTAGATGGAATTAACCATGGACTTGGAATGTATAATGTTACTTGAGGTCCTAGTATTGGCCAATAGCGACCTAAATTATATTTATTAATATAAGCTACACCTTTTTCCCAATAGCCATTTGAAATAGTCGTTGGTAGAAGAAATGTATCTGATGGCGCTTGATCAGTAACTGAGAAATTTCCAGTATAAATATTTGGTGCATTCGGATCAAAGCTATTTGGAGAAGAGTTTAAAATAAAAACTATACAAAAAAATAATAAATATTCGTCAACCTACTCTTCAAACTTATTCATAGTAAAAACAGTAGGAGCTTCATCGAATAATGAACCAGATATACACATTGTCCAATTGACAAGTAATTGACCATCTAATGTAATATTATTAACGAAACCCTTTTGAAAAAATATAATTAATAAGTATCAAAGAAAAATAATTATGAGATTGTACTTTCGTATCAAAAAGGTCACCACCGTAATTTAATCGGCCCATATTTTCGACAATAATATTTAAATGTGTCTCACGATTACCAGGTGCTTGAATTGTTAATTTTAATGATGAACTATTAGCTCGATACGCAATGCCGATTGATTTCTATATTAATTTCAATAAACTACCTTCATAGAAAATATTTATAAAAAAGCAGAACATATTTACTTCTCCAAGTAACACATAAGCACGATCACGAACGCCACTTAAGTCAAGTACTTTCCCTTGCACTTCTGGATTATTCAATATTGTTGAATAGACGACAAATGCTTGATTCTATTTATAAATATACGTATAAATTTCATCGTTGTTTTTTTTTTATATAATAGAATAAATAAATATATTTATATATATACTTGGCCAAGCTCTTCGAATCGTTTCGGATATGATGATGTTGTACAAAATGGTGAATGACTTGTAATATAACTTAACAATGATTGTTTCTAGAAAATAAAATGATTTTTTTCATTTATTTCAATTTTGATTTTTATAGAAGTTACGAATGATAATCGAACACTGCCATATGCTTTCTTGGTGTTATTTCCTGGTACAGGTGCTGATGGTAATGGTAAATATTTCCCAATTACATTTCTAATTGCCATATATTTTGAAGTTATATCGCCTGAGAACAAAAAGAAAACAACAAGATTAATTTACTAAGTATTTTCTATTGGAATAAATAAATAAATAAACCTGGCTCTGAAATCGGTGCATCATAATCATAGGATGTTGGTTGTGGTATATAATCAGGATCAGCACCTAATAAGTGAGGCAAAAAAGAGTTCGATCTTTTTTTAGTGACTTGGATTTCATTGCTTTTAACCTGATGTAAAACCAAAATTTGTTCCACCAAAAAACATATAGAAATTTACATTGACACCAATTGATAGCATTTCATCAAGTGTTTTCACGATACTTTCAGTTGAAACAGTTGAATGTTGATGACCCCATAGATCAAGCCAACCGGGATAGAATTCTGTATTTACCAATGGGCCGTGCGGAGCATATTGACGTTGATAATTAAATGATTCATTGACATTGGTTCCAGGGCCAAAGTCAATCGTTGTATATGCTCCTTTGACAGTTCCACATCTTAGATAACCCAAACCATTGCCATCTAAAGAAAATTCTCTACTATAACATATTTTCACAATAGCACATACCAACAGTAAACAGTACAAGATTGTCCCCTAAATATTGACGAAACACATCACGTAAATAGCCCATATAATTATGATCACATCTAAACGAATATCAACCTATAATTAATAAACAAAGAAAACATTTACTTACGCTGGATAACTGCCATACTCATTTTCTACCTAGAATACCAAATTTTTCTTATGAGCCAAAGAATCTAATAATACAAAGCACAACCTGAACAGAAATAACTGAGCCACCATTATTATATAGCAAAGGTCGAATCTGTGGTAGAAGAACACTCATCCAACGAGTAACCGCTTTAAGATAGACTATCGAAGCAAACGAAACGAAAAAGAAATATGATGATTTGATTGTGGAAGAAAAAAAATCGAACCGGTATTCATCTGTCGGAATTCTAAATTATTAAGATCACGTAAAAGCCACCAAGGAAACCCACCAAATTCATGTTCACCACATCCGTACCTGTAAAAATGTCAGAAATGTAATTATTGATAAATTACGATAAATTAACGTACGGTCCCACACGTAAAATAACAACAAAACCAATTTTTTGTGCTAATTGAATAAATGCTACAAGATCATTATTGTCTTCAAAATTGTAAACACCTTCCACTAACTCATGTTGATCCCAAAATACATACCTATATGCAATAAAGATGTTATGCATTTCCTTTCTCTCGATTGAAACACTCACGTTTGAATAGCATTCAGTCCTGCAGTCCACATTCGTTGAAGACGATCAGCCCAATATGCTCGTGGCATTCTATACATATGAACTGAACCACTGACATATTGAAATGGTTTTCCATCTTTAACAAATGTATTTCTATCGAAATCGATTCCAAATGAACGTTGTGATCGACATAGAGTCTAAAGATAAACAAATCAGATCTGTATGTTCAATCAATTGTCACTTACACAAACAGTTGCGATGATAATAAGTATAACACATGGTCGTTCGTACATGATTTACTTTTATATCATCAATACAAGAATGAAAGCTAGATAAGATAAAAACATCGTGTCTAAATATCGTCTATTCTTGTCTATTTTTTTATCTTGTCTTTATTCTACAATCTTTCCACAATTTTATTTTGTTATTTTATTTTTCAGAGAAAATTTTTTTTTCTGAATTTGTTCCTACCAGTAGAAACATATATATATATAGTTTTTTGTTAGAGGAAAACTTGAGCTAATAATTAATAGAGAAAAAGCAAAAAAAGAAGCACATAAACAACAGATACATGAGAGAGAAAATGTTTTTTTAACAGATTCAATTGATTGTAAAAAAATCAGTAAACAAAAAAATGAAGTATATTATTATTCTTTTAATTTGTTCTTATTACATAAGAGAACAACGATGTGCATATCGACGTTTCTTTCGTTTCTTTTTTATTGGATTTTGAGTTTGCATTTGTTGTCTTATCACACGAACAAGTTCATGAAAAGCAACATCAACATTTTTTGGAGGAACTTTTGCACTTGTTTCAATATATGGAATTTTTAATTCAGCTGCTAATTCACGACCTTCTTCTTCTGATATTCTTCTTAAATGAACTAAATCAATTTTATTTGCTACAAGAACCATTGGATAGAATTTTCTATATTCATGAAAATAATTTATCTGATCATATAAATATTTATACATATGTATGGTCTCATACCTGTCTTTAACACGAAGTATTTGATTGTAAAATTGTCGAATATTTTTACACGAATTAGGATCAATCACAGAATAGACAATAAGAAAACCATCACCTTTACGCATATACTGTTCTCGTAAAGCAGAGAATTCTTCTTGACCAGCTGTATCAAGAACTAGTGAGAAGAAAAATAGCGTGATTCATTTTTGAATCGAATAGAATTGTTTTTCATTTAGTTTTTACCATCAAGTACACAAACTTGTCGATCAACTTCAACATGTTGAATATAGCTATCTTCTATAGTTGGATCGTAGTCTTCAACAAACATTTTTTGGAAGAACTAAAATAAACTTTCGTTATTTCATCTTTCAACAACAACCTTGTTCGTTCAACTTACTTGAATTGTCAAAGCAGATTTTCCAACGCCACCTTTAATTAAAACATAAAGTCGGATAAAAAAATTCAAATATATTCATTTTAGCGTTTACCGTCTCCGACGACAACCAATTTATAAGTTACTGCATTATCAGGCGGAGCACTTTGCATGATAATAGTAATAATGATGCACGAATAACTATTTGAACACCGGAAGTACTATGTGAGTCGATTTTTAAAGAATAATGCAAAGTAGCATTACGTGTAAATTGAGATGAAAATGAGTCATCAACTGGATGACGACACACCAACGTAGAGAAGATTGAGAGAAAGATACGATAGATTGGACATGTCTTTTAGCCGATAATAGGAAAGAAAGAAAAAAAAAGATCTTCTAGGGTAAAAAAAGCCAAAACGCACTGTAGATAGACAGAGAAGAAGTTGAGATAAAATAAATATATATATATATATAAGACGAGAAGAACAACTATGAGACGAGCAAGAGAGCAAAGCAAAAGAAGACGGAACGGGACGAGACGCGAGGGGAGTAGGCCATGAGACTTTACGGATTGATGGAAAGATTTTCCAATTAATAATATGCTATATAAAAGAGGACGCTATGAATCAGAATTTTTAAATAAAAGAGTTTTCTGAATAAATTTCTTCTTGAGAGATTATCTCATACTCGTTCAAATTTTCTATTATAAATTTGTATGCTCTTTAAATCTTAAAAATTGAGCTTCTTATTTACTTAATAAGAATAATATTCTAGGAATAAATCTTCATATCATACAAAACATCTCGCTTCTTTACGAGAGCATTTATTGTACAGCTATTTATTTCATAAGAGTATACTCAAATCTACTAGAGATTACTTCTCTTATTAATTAGTGTTAATTGTGCACTCAAAATGAAACATGTTCCTCTTCAAATATTCTAAGCAAATTTCATATTCTTCTCCATGTCAAATTCAAGCATGCATCGATATGAATTATAATTGAGTGTCAGATTCTATGAACGACTTCTTAATAGATTTACAGATGTCCTGTTAAGCTGTAAAATGTATTCTAATATTCTGTTATAAAAACGCCTCCCTACTTAGTACTTGATAATAATTATGCTATGAAATGAATATAAAGATATAATTAGTGTAAAGGACATAGCAGACTATCTGTTTCTTATTAGTAATAGTAGAGCCAATCAGTGTAAAACAAAATGTATCTTTCCTTACAATTAAATCCCATAGTTTTGCTGTTTATTTTAAATAGATCAAAAAAAAATGATTAAGATGCTTCTGGTTTTGTTAAACACGCATATTGAATTTATTTTTCATATTTGATAGTATTCATGGATTCGTGAATACGATGACTATCTGTCCGTTTGTGAATAGTATCAATCATAGCAAATTTGAGAGAATCTCTAAATAATATTAGTTTCCGTTCATTAAGGCCTATTGTAATCATTATTCAGCTTCTCAGACAATTAACTACAGCAATAGCAGAAAGATCTTAGACTGTTACTTCACTTTATTGATTATTCATTGTATAAAATTTCGATAATATATATATATATACCTAAAATTGAAACAGAAAATAATGTAAGTAAGTTTGATGATTTATTTAAATTTCCTTGTTTTTGACAAATAATCTATTTTCTTTTTCGCTTCGTTTTGTTCATGTCCTTAGAACCAAAATCATAAATGCATTTTAATTTTCTAACTCTAAAACTTATCTAATGCCAAGCTAGCGAAAATGTTTCAATCGATTAGCTATGATCAATGTTTATCTGCAAGACAAGTAATATATCAGTGTTAGATTATTTTTTGCAAATGAATACAACTTTATTTATTCTAAATATCAACAAACTCATGTTTACTTTTAAATCAAATTAACAAAAGTCTAATAATGCGGATGTAATAAATCTTTTAATTGTTCTAACATTGATTGAGCTAAATAGTTGAAGAAAAAGAATATGTATATATATATTGAACAAAAGAAACTCTTCAAATATAAGTTTTACCGTCTTTGAATTTTTCATCTGCTATTGTTTTTGGTAAAGTTGTTAATAGATTGGTTGTTCTTGTGCTATTTATTTCTATTGAATGTACAATTATAATTTTATCATTATGTGTTAATACATAAATGAAACAAAACGTATTATTATCACCAAATAAACCCGATGTAAATGCTTGTATTTGATCAAAAAAGTGACTATGCGCCATGGAATCATTTCCACTACCGAAAACTGTACTTGATGATAATGGTGGTCGAAAACGAATTATATTTGAATGACGATCAATAATAAATGTATCACCATCAACAGATGAGATTGTGACTAATTGGCTTTGTTTATCTTTCTGTTTGAAAAAACAACAAGATTTTGAATAATCAAAAATACCAATTCTATTCAAACCGTAGCAGGTAGTTGTCGAAGACCGCACAGATGGCCGGTTGTTACACTTAATGGAATTGTACTTAGTATTTTATTCAGTTGATTTGAGAATATATCGATATGATCTTTAAACGACACAAGGTTGTTAGATTATAACATCATTGTGAAAACTCTAATTTACAGAACATGATGTGCATCTATCTTGTGTCAAATCGTTGTCTAACATAAATTCATTATGTAGTCTTATGAATAATATTTATGATAGATGTATTACAAACAATAGAGTAGATTTTTATAACATCTTAATTTTATTTGAGGAAAAAAACAGTTTTCGTTAATACTTTTGCTCTTTTGAAATTGCAATAATCATTAAGGAATTCTCCTGCAACCGGTTAACTCTATGACAAGGTTATATAATTTTTAGTTATTATTGAACATAATGACACATCAGAGATATATATATATATCTGTATGAAAACGATTTAGATTGTTGAATAGCAACATACCATGGCATATAGTTGCATAGACAGTGTCATCAAAAAATCCATCAAGTGCTATTGCTTCTGTCCATCCAGTTGCTGTATGATTAGTTATATCTGTTGCTATGATCCGAGCTAAAAGTCAGTATTTGTATAAGAAAAAAAGCATTTGACTATGGCTTAGTTATCCCTATTACCATTTTCTTCATTGGGATTGAATCGAAGAAGATTTCCACCTGGTTGTGAAACAATTAGTTCATAATCTTTTGATGTGAGCATTTGTCTAGAACTTAATGTGTGAATTTGATCAGCAACATTGAAAACATGTTTTAATAAAATTCGACCTGATAGTCGACCATCGTATTCTTCTAGAATCATTGATGTGAATATACGAATAGTTCGATCATTATAACTGATTATTAATTGTTTTTCGGTCTCATGAAAATCTAAATAGAATAAAAGAATTTTTTTCATTTTATGGAAAGAATTTTTTTATGTACCTTGAATAAGTAATACTTTTGGATTACAAATAAGTTGTTGACTGAATGCTGGTTGAATCTGTTGTTGTTCCTCATCATTGGATAATGTTGTTATTCCATATAATTGTAATTTTGAATCATTTCGATTGTTAGTTGCAGTGCCGCCTGCGCTACGTACACGACTTCTTTGTATCTTTTTAAAACGAAAAAGATTCATTCATTATTATAATTTTTATAACATACATTCGGCCGTAGAAGAAACAAATGAATAGCACCTTCAGCATTTACTACACAAATGATGGGCCGAGGTTCATTAGCCTTTGGTACAAGAAAACCAACAGTGATAGCTGTAATCTATAAATGATTGAAGAAGAAAGTACGTGGATTTTGTTGTCGTAACAGTTATAATACTCACAAATCCGAGTCCTTGTGCTCGACGCCACAACTGTACATCGTTTGGATTTCGATTGGATTTAAATATTAGTAGTTCACCTTCTTGAGTACCAACTAATAATTTATTAATCTATGCATAAACTAAGATTTTTATGAAGAATTTGGGAAACTTTTCTCTTACTTTAGTTGAATCAACATCAGCAAGTAATATAGCATTTGGTAATACATTGCCAGTGCAATCGAGTGTAATTGTATTAATGGGTGAAACAAAAGTCATCTTTTTCTAAAGAACAAACAAAAATTAGATGCGAAATTTATTTCAAAAAATGTCAATAGAAAAGAAGCAATTTCAAAATCTGTCTTTTCACATTTTCATTATACATGTAGTGATTGATTGTTTTACTCAACGAAAATGATCCTGTGTCAACATATCTGTACATTCAAATCTAGTCTTGTCTTCTGGTCAGAGGATGATGGTTTTTTTTGTCATCAGTAAAACATAATCGAATTTGAGAAATGAATTACTTACACGTACAATATCTCAGCAAAAAGACTACTACTATGAGACTTTTATTATCGAAAATTAGTTTTCGGAAGTATATCCTATTGGTGACGGTAACATTTGATCATATAGCTATATTGAAAGATTTATATTTCACTGGAACAGTGATATAATATCTGAAACATTTCAAATAAATCACTAAGAAAGAGTGAAAAAAAATTTTAATAGATATCTTTTTTTCTTGTTGATCCTCGATAAGCAACAGATTTGGATAATCATACTCTCTAGAAATTATTGCTGCTTATTGTCTTTAATTATATAGATAGATTCTCTCGTCAGAGATTCGAACCATGACCGTCAAAATCTTCATTTCTATATTGATAAACTCTTTAAGAACTACATCAATTCATGAAGTCTTTACTTTTTTACGGTACACGCATCTTTTTATCACAATACTTAGGAAGAAATTCTGACGATCGTTGATATAAATATCAAGTAATGGGGGGAAAATTAGCTACAAGTGTGTTATTGAATGTATTCTGTTCTGTTAGCATATAGCTTAAAATCTCGATAGTTATTGAAAAAAATCAATATTTGCCTTTTTATTTAATTCATTAGATAATAATATTCCAAAGAAGAGCTATGATAATAAAAGAATTAGGGAATTTAAAACAAACTAGTTTTCAAAGTCACGAATAGTTTATAGTAGTTATTTCTCACAATGGAATTTTGAAGAGCTTTCTATTCTGAACAACACGAGATAGTCATTGCATTTTCTGCTATTCTTCTTAACAAGTCCAAATTATCATAGAAATCATAAATTAACATAAAACATAAAAGTCCATAGAAAGTTGACTTTTTCGAAATTTTCTTTATACTTGTCACACGTTAAGCGAATGTCATTGAAAATGAGTCAGCTCATACAAAGTTCTAACGATTCTCTTGAGTCTAAAGATTATTATGTATGGATTTTGAGAGACTTCAATAGCCAAGTTTATCTATCATATCTCATTATAAAATACATTAGATAGCAGTTTTCATTGACTATAATAATCACTAGGTAAATTTGAGCTAACTGCTTAAAATTGTAGACAAAAACAAAAAATTAAAAATACACATTTTTTGTTAAAGTATTTTTCATGACGTAAGATGATATCAAAGTCAGAATACAATACGAAGGGCCACATGTTCACTTAAGGCAATCATCCACCTGTAGTATAGATTCATATCCTCAGGGTGCTCGCAACAAAAAGACACACATGAGAGAAAAAAAAGATCAACGAAAGAGAACTGGGTAGATGTCAATTCCTATTTTGTTTTCTTTTGTAATGATACCACAATCGCTAATCAAAATATCCTTCTATTCGTGAAACAAAAAAAAGAAGAGATTATTTTTTCTAGATCAAATCGTTTAGTTTATATTGCAAACAGACAAAATTTAAAAAAAAATATTTTACATAAAAACTAGCAACAACAATAAAAAGATGATATATACACTAAAATACTGTACGTGAGAAAACATGTCTGATTGTCGATAAGTGAGATAATTATAGAGAAAAACAAATCGACAAAACAAAAACAAAAAAAACTTTCAAATTAATGAGGCAAGCAGAAAAAGAAAACTAAGAAAGAGATGATGATGATGTGGCGGCTGTTGTGGTCTGACTGTGACTATTAGTATCCGTTGCAATACCTGAGGTCGACACAGGTAGAACAGTTGTTGATGCAAAATCGCTTATTGATGGTGATGATAATGGAGGATAATCTACATAATCTAAATCGGAATAATCAATAGGCGATGAACCATAGAGATAACATCGAAGACTTTCACATATTTGAATAAACGTTGGTCTCAAAGATTCTTTAAATGTCCAACATAATTCAATTAATTGAAAACTAAATAGAGAACAATAAAAATCTCAATTTAAACAAAAGCAAAATTTTACATTTCATGAGGACAATGTGCTGGTTGACTCATGCGATTTCCATTTTTTAGATAATCAAACAAGTGTTCAGCAGCTATCGATGGATAGGGTGTACCACCATAGGTCATGATTTCCCATGCTAAAACAGCGAAAGACCATACATCACTCTTTGTTGAAAATTTTCTATCGAATAATGCTTCTGGACTCATCCATTTCACTGGTACACGACCCTAGACAAACAAAATGAAATGTAAAGACAAATCATCATCATCATCATCGTTATATTTACATCGGTTTGTTTTCGATAATAATATGTCTGTGTTAAATCTCTTGCAAGACCAAAATCAGCTATTTTACATACACGACTTTCTGCTAGAAGAACATTTCTTGCAGCAAGATCACGATGAATACACTTAAAGATACATTTTCCGTTAGAAAACAAATCAAAAGTAGAGAATTTTATTTTATTTTACTTTTTGTGAATGTAAATATTCCATTCCAGTTGCTATTTGTAAACAAAAGAAAATTAAATCCATCGTTGTCAATGAATTTATTAAATCATCATTATCATCTTGTTTATATCCATCATCGTTGTCGTCTTGTTCAAACGAACCCGATAAAATATGTCCAGATGGACGTTTACGACGTAGGTAATCACGTAAATTACCATATCTTGCATATTCAACAATTAACATAACTTGACCTATTTGAAGAGATTTTTTTTAATAAACTTTATGAAAAAAAAACCGAATTATAAGAAGCAACTTTACCTCCTTTAGTACAACAACCAAGTAATGAAATGATATTGGCATGTTTACCAACCATTTTCATAACACATAATTCTTTAAGTAGATTTTCAATTTCATCCGGTGTTGCATCATCTTAAATGTCAAAATAAATAGCAAAGTTTTAGAAAAATCTAAATAATAATTTATCGTCAATGATTGATATTTACAACAGAAGTACTATTTTGAAGCTTCTATAAGATTAGACCGTCTTAAACTATTAATATTTAAATTCGATTCATGTATGTAAATTGTGTCGATCGTGATTTATTGAAAAAATAGTAACGAATGATGCTTTTATTTCAAATTCGACTGAGCCTTTTAAACGAAATATCGTCTCGATTATGTCTCACTAAGATAGTTTTAACAATTATTCAAACCGTAATATTTCATATTTTATATAGACTTGAGCAATATTATTATTACATGAAAGAAGTCATATTAGCTTAATTCAGTTTCTGGACATTAAAAAATATAAATGATTGAGTCAAAGAATATTTTCTTTTTTGTCAAAAAAACTCAAAAAACATCTCGATACAATAGAAATCTAGCGATATTGCTGCAATATCTAGACAGTATCGCGAAATATTTTTATGAAACATAAATTAATAGATTTACCTTGTACAGTTTTAATTGCAACTGTTGTTAGTTTTTCTTTTGAATTAATATTTTTAGCTAAACCTTGATATACAAAACCAAATGCACCTTTACCAATTAAATGACCAATAGATAGACTATCGAAATAGAAAATTTACATATGGACATCATAAAACAAACAAAACAACTATTTTCTCTTTACTTTTCACGAGGAAATTCACATTGATCATCATAATACGATGATATAATTGTTGATATTGTTCCTTCAGTTGGAAAAAGATGGCAACCATCATTCATTAATGGTTTTTTCGTTTTTTGATCAATATCACTTCGATAGAGTTGATTCTATTTCATCGGAATAGTTTGAAAATTATCAATACAAAAAAAAAAAAGAAAATGTAGACACTTACAGTTTTTAAAGTACTAATACCACGTGTAGCTAAAATTCTTGTTGCTAATAAAGTTCTTCGTAAACTTTTCTGATTACGAAAATGATAAATAAGAAAAAATATAAATGCAAATAATAATATTGCAATTATGCAGCCGATAGTTATAATTAATTCGTCAGGTAATCTTGTTGATATAGAATGACGCGTGCCCATCGAAAGATTTTGAAGTAATGACGGACGTTCTGATGCTTTAAAATGGAAATAAAAATATTAAAAAGTTTCATTGAAAGAGTTACATAAAATAATATCAATTGCTTTACCAGGTAAAACAATAAGATTATGAATTAAATCAGCAAAACCATATTCATTTAAAACTCGACATAGATAAGAACCTGTATCATTACGTTTTAAATTTTTTATATTTAGCAATTTAACTTCATCTTCCGACATTGTATGTGGATTATATTCCTAAGAAAATATAAACGAATGATGTCTACATACATATACTTTAATATTTGAAAAACAAATTGTCATTTTCTTTTCAATCAAATGGCGTGATATTTTAAAACTAAACATAACATTCAAAACAAAAATCTTTATTTATGCAAAATCGGAAATCAGACATCACACATATTTATAAATATATATAAATAATCAATCATCATTAACATCTTGATTATTTGAAGCTGCTCAATCGAGACTTCTTTTCTTCTCTTTTCTTTTCCTTTTTTTTCGTTCGTGCAAAGTGGATTATTATTATTATCTGCATACGCTTTGCATACAAGTGGGGCTGTAAACAGACATATGCTCAATCGTTTCTAGCCGTTCTGTTCTTGCTAGACGAAGAGATGAAAGGTAATGGTCCCGGTTAATTGCTGATTAATTGACTGGCGAACGTCTGCTTGTATGTACACATCTAAGCAAGATAAATGAGACTACTCTATCTCTAATATATCTGCCCAACGGAGGGAATACAGACGATTAGTATATTTTATTAGCCTCGGGCAAGACATATTTTGCTTACTGTTCAAGGATATATCAATTCAATTTAGACTAAGAAAATGTCGATCAAATATAATTCTTTTGATTGACACCCAAGTATTTTCACTTTCAAATCGTTCTACTCTTACCATAATTGAATATTGAAAGGATTCATTATGTTTACCCTACCTTTTCTCTTTCTTTTTCTTTTAAATATTGATGACAGCATGCAACACAACCATCACATCATCAATGAAAATAATAAAAATAGTCAAAAAACACACACGCACACTTCAAAGCACACGCGAAATACACACAGCAAAAAACAGCAAAAAAAGTTCTGTCGGTACAATTTTGTTACCTGTCGTTTTCCTACACTAAATCTTGACCCATTAGAAAACTATAGATAGATAAAGATTTCATTTTTTTTCTTCTAGTTTTTAATATTTAATTTATTAAAATATAAACAGCAAATAAGACTAAAAGAAATTGAATGAAAACGTTTCTTTTACCTTAAGAAATTCCAATTCATAATTTTGATCCTGTTCTTTAATTTTACTTCCGTGCCGTCGAACAAACCATTGAACAAATGGACTTGAATCAGAATAAAATGAACATTCAAATGTAATATTATCGCCTTCATATTGTGTCAAGTTCGTTGATTTGGATATAAATACTGGCCGATCAAGACTACGACCTTGTACAATTAATTGAAACGATCGACTTATATTGCCCAAACTGTTTTCAATAATACATGTATACATTCCGGCTTCATACATCGTTGCTTTTGAAATATTTAAATAGGCATCATTGATTGAAAACTAACATAATCATAAGCAAAAAAAGTCAATATGAATAAAAGTAAAAATAATATATCAATATTGATTTTACCAGTTCAGCTAATTCCGGTGCAAATATATGTCCATCTTTAAGCCACGTTATTTTAGCTTTTGGTTTTGCTCGATAAGGACATTTCAATTGTATAGATGCTGATGTTGGATAAACTAATGTTTGTTTTTGTTGTATAACAGGTTCAATCCAATGTGGTGAGCACTGTATTGAACAATCGATGGTTTGAAAATCTTCAACTGGTTGTAGTATTTGTTGATCACCATCATAATAGGCATCCTCATAATTGGACGGATTTACAGGTGAATCTTGAATATCAATTGCTGAAAATGATATCAGAGAAATTAATTCAAATATATTAATTAACTAAAATTTACTAACATTTTTCATTTGTACTAACAATATTAATATTGATTAATACAACGAAAGTGGTTAAGAATATTTTGAGCTGATGAAAAATAATCATCGTCTAAATAAATACAAAAAGTAAAAGTCATATTAAAAGAAATTTACTATTAATATCAATATTCTTCATTGAAAATACTTATAGAAAATTAACTCGGTATTTGAATGGACTACTAATACATTAAATAAAACCGACAAGAGCGATGATGCCTTATTAAGTGGTTGTATACGCGCATATCTGATTTCTTCTTGTTCTGTTTATACTTTTCCACAAACTTCGATCGATTTGTCCTTGCGAGGCATCGATCAAATCGCATCGTACTTTCTTTATCTTTTCTATTCCGCATAGTATAAGCAAACAATCATTCTCGTTTTTCTTTTTCCGTCCTTCCTTTTCTTCATCTAAATATTTTGTACATTACACAGATCTACATTTGTTCATCACTTTTTAGGTTTATCTTCTTAAACAAATCAGTAGTATAACTAATGATAGAAACGAAGAAGACGAAGGTGAACTTTAAAAAAAAGCAAACAGACATTTTTTGTGTCCTTTTCTAACCTATTTCGAAGAACATAAAATATAAATCATAGTAATGGTTATTTTTTCCTACTGTTACCCATCAATCGATCAAACAGAAGGTGGGCGAATGAGTTCTGTCCGTCTATCTTTGTTATCAAAATGTCATCCATGTCGCGTTTTCTCTCTATGTCTCTAGATTTGACAACAGGATGAAATTAGCTTTCTTTCAATCTACTGCTGATCAATGCAATTCGATATATTCTTAACTAGTTAGTCGACTAGCATTTGTCGTTTTCTTAACTTTTATCTATTGACATTTCAAGGATAGCAAAAGATCTATTTCTTATGTTCTCAGTTTTATACCAAAAGCTACTGCATAATATTCAAAAAAAAGAAAAAAAGGCAAAAGGAACATTATCTATTTGTCGATAGCACATCAAAATTCGTAGATGATTGGTAATTATGTGTATAGAATAATTATTCATACGATGAATTAATACATGTATCTTGAGTAAATGGAATAATTGTAGACGTCTAACCTTCGTAGATACTTGGACGAGTTACAACAAATGAAAGCTTTCATTTTTTTTCTTCTTCATTGCTTTTCTAATCATATAAACGAACAAAATTACGATGTCAAGACGAAGAAAAACACATCGAAAAATTAATGGTATAAAAAAAAATAGAAATTTGCAGAACGAAAGAGAAGCATATTCACATCTATTACTATTTATTTGATATCAGAATATTTTAAGAAAAACATAAACAGTCACTAAATATGTTATATATATATATATATCCATATAGGAAGAATAGTAACTACTATTTGAAAGTCGATATTGTTCTCGATTACAAAAATAATCGATTTTTGTCACTGTCAATAATCAAAAATGCCTCGAGAAGCTCTAACTTCTCTCACTCTCACTCTCACTCTCACTCTCGATCTGATTCTTTTTTCCTTGATTACTCCATACGTAAGCATATTAAGAAAAGAAAGAATGTAAAGTAGAATACTTGAGTAAATAAATGTTTGCTGTTAAACCACTTGTCACGAGACTTCTAACACAAACATATGCACACATTCAAGGTTTATATACTCTTGACAATATATGAATGAAAACCCATGAATCGTTTCAATATATCAAATAAACAAGGCAGAAATTGAAATGATTTGATACTAAACATTAATATTTTATAGACATATGATAGCATATATAGCTAGCTAGAGAATATAACCATCGACAAAGAAAAACAAAAAAAAGCATCTCATCGGTTTCTAATCAGTATTTTCTCAATTTTCATCGTTTCTTTTCTAGTTAATCGATACTTTTGATCTGCCGACAATCTAGCCTATGCACTACTGGCACATGACGACAACGACAACAACAACAACAACAACAAAAGCACGAACAAGAACTGAGGCGATCAACTACAGCTGTAGTCAATCGCCTCTTTTGTTACGATTGTTTATTGATGATAGGTCTTGGTCACATATGTTCTTTAAGTGTGTACCATAGAGGAAAGTAACAAACAACGTGAATACACAATCACTTAGATGAACATATAAACGAATCTAATGTACAAATTATTTGATTGAAGATATGTATACAATCAAATAAATACATTTTTCCATTCACATTTTGTTACTTCTTTATGACAACCGCATGTGTTTTAATCATTATCATCGCCATCATCATCATTGTAATGTTGTATCGTTGTCGTCGTGTTGTTTTCAAGGGCACACGAGAGCGCAATTATTCTTTCTCTTTTTTTTACAACAAGGCACCCTACATAAAAAAATAACGATGACGTTTTTCGTATTTCATATACGATGCGTATACACATCTGTATCTATATAAATAGATATAGATATGCTCACTTAAATTAAAAAAAAGAATACTAATAACTTCCTGTTCTATTCAAATTGAGTAAAAATAAAACTTGAACAAAAGAAAGACAACATAACTTTTAAAACGCCTAAGTATTATAAAATAAAATGAGGATTAGCAAAAATAAAGTGAAACGTAATCAATAGAGACTCGTCAAGACAAGTCATCCTTATATGTATTCTAGACTACTCTTAAATCTGTTGATTACATCCAGAAAGATAACAGCAAGTCGTCATTATTATTGCACATTTTTCCTGTGACAAGCAAATGTCAACGATCATCAATCTTTTACTGGTATATTAGCATAGGCAAAATAAGATTGTGCAACAACCGGATGTGCACATGCAGCAAAGGTTTCTTTTCACCCTCACTTTCTTTCTGTATTTTCTTGATGAAATGTGTCAACAAAACAAACGATCTATACTACATGCATATGCATATCTATGGATATGTACATTTAGATAGACATGAATATATATATATATATATTTCATATTCAATGATGCCTTATCAGAAAATGATGGAATAAATTCGAGTTGTTCATTTGCCTAGACACATGACTTTCTCTCTCTCTAATTAAGTTTCTCGCCTGTTGAGTATGCTATTAAGCAAACTTAAAATAGGTTATTTTTTTTAGTCCTTATCTTTCTGTCTTTGCACAGGCGGATTTCTACATGAATGGATCAAATGATTATAATGACAATGATTATCGCTTTATAATTACACATTGGAAAAGTGTTGACATTAACGCGCATCGTTTTCTGTAAGCCTTTGTATACCGCATAGCTTTTGCACAGAAACAAAAGAAAAGATACTTAACTATTGTTTAAAAAGCCAACGTTGTGAACCGAAACATTGTCATAGATGTAGGTAAAGAAAAATATACACTAGTTATGTAGAATGGTGGTGTGATGATGGCGAAGAACAGAACAAACAATGACAACAAACGAAGAAGATAGAGAAAAAAAGAAAAAAGACGGCAGATATCCCACACGTACATATATTAATGCCCAAAAAGGTGATGGCGTGCATTGCTATTTCTCTATCTCCTTCTCTCGCCTGTCTATTCTTCGTCGTCGCTATTTTCTTCTCTCTTTCTCTTTCTCTTTCTCTTCACCACCATCACCGCCTCACGATATCACTTCCCTATCAAACCATCACTGATACACATGGGGAGTATAACAAAAAAAAGAATTTACCATTAAAAAAGCAAACCACCAGCAAGCTCTCTATTGATAGATGACATGAGCTGACACATAAGATAAATATCTTTACAAACTATATTAAAATGCTCAATTAAATTTTAGTTTCATGCTTTTTAATGAATGTGAAACATTGAAAAATCTCGTACTAAAACGCGGAAATTCATATCGGATGCAGGACCTTACAAAGACAAATAAAAACTATTGGATAATCAATCTATTGTTCGCAAGCTTCTTCTTTTTCATATCTTACGAGTAGTATGTTTAATCATAAAAATAATGAACATAAAAAGTTGCGGTTTCTTTTTTTTTGTCTAGCATATCTATCTTGCATAATACCATAATAATAAAATAAAACTTAATGAAGTTATTTTATTGATGATATTAAAATATCTAATCATAGTCGATTTTCTATTTGTAAATTATTTTCATTGAACCATAAAATCAATCTAGTAAAGGGCATCGAACCATATTATGTTGAACACACACATATATATATATATAGAGAGAGAGAGAGAGAGGATAGACATTGTAATGAGCTTGTTCTGATTGCATAAATATAACTAACAACAACAGTGAGATCTAAGAATACACGACAAATGAGATAAACAAATGATTTGTTCGAATAACAATTACAAATAGCACTGATTTAGATTAATTCTGCTGGTGAATGTTAAACAAAGTCTTGTTCTCATTAAATAAAGCATACGAATAACATTGCTCTCTGAGGAACATAACATATAGACCTCCGTAGTGCCCATTATGTTCATACATATGTATGGAATAATAGATTGAAACAGATGATCACTATTATGTTATCTTTCATTTATATTGATACTTTATTTTTTGAAAAAACCAAATTAACATTAAGGGAAAACTTCATCTCTAAAGAGTTCAATGGAATCAATCAATTTCTAAGTCGCGCATTTTTATCTCGTTTTATCTTCACTTATTTTCCTTGTTGAATTGTAACCATGTCAGATTCTAGTGAAGAAATTATTACAACATCAACTGAATCATCATTATCTTTAGATCGTAGTGATCAAAAAGAATCTCTATCGTCTCCCAATAAACATAACCTTTTCAACGTAGACAATGACCATATAAATGTACTAAAAAATTTACAAATATCTTATAATCAATTAGAAAGTCGTTATTTAAAATCTCTTAATGAACTCGAATATAAATTTCATCAACAATGTTCATATTTATTTGAAAAACGTTCAAATATAATCAATGGTAAATATGAACCAACTGGTGATGAATGTCAATTAAAAACTGATTCTATTGAAATTATCGAAAGACAATCATTTTCTGACGACACATTAGGTATCCCATCATTTTGGTTACATACACTTAAACAAGTATGATAAGAAATAAATTGAATATGTCTCGATCTATGATTTACTTAAGGTTCCTATGATTGCTGATATGATTGAAGATTGGGATGAACCAATACTTAAATGTCTTTCAGATATTAAACTTCAATTACATATGCAACCTACCACTGGTTTTACACTTGAATTTCATTTTAATGAAGAATCAAAACAATTTTTTCATAATAAAATTTTAACAAAATTCTATGAATTACAGATAGACCCTGACGATGATTTACTTTTCTACGAAGGTGCAGCTATCATACGTTCGATAGGATGTCAAATCGATTGGATCGATACATTAATAAATGTAACAAAAAGTAGTCAAACGGGTGAATCCCAATCGTCGTTTTTTGATTTTTTTACAACACCAACAAATACAGATGATTGGAAATTGGCTGCTGATTTTCAAATAGGTCATTATATACGTGAAAATATTATACCAAAAGCAATACTCTATAATACAGGTGATATATTCAACGATGAATATGAATTGAGTGATAATGATTATGATTATGATGATAGTGATGAACAAGAATATTCATTTAAAGAAGAAACTGGAGACGGAGAACATTTGTAAAGATCAAAAAGACAAGAAAGAAAACAAAGAATATTCATACCTATTTGTGTCATTCTAATAGATTTGTTGCTCATTGAAGACATATAATAATGTTTCATATCTGGAATAAACAAATTCATTTAGAATACATTTTTGAATCGATTTTTATTGAGACTTATTAGTCCCAAGTAGCATCTGTATCAGTTGTAGGCCATTCATTATTGACTGTTTCTGTTTTTATTTCATTTTCAAAATGATTATCACTCGTAGATACTATTTGGTTATTTGAGATCTCTGTTTGTGCTATGATGTTCGACGATGTTGATGGTGACGGTAGACCAAATGAAAAATTGAAATAACCTAATGTGAAATCATTTGCAATAATAGCCATCAGCACACTAAAGAATAGCGAACAGAAATATATATATATATATATATATATAAAGATTCATGAATGTTTTGTTTCTCTCTATCAGATATTTTAGTTCTAGGTGAAATTTAAATTTAACACACAAAAACTGCTTAATCGGAAGTGAATATAAATATTTCTTATATTGATTCAAGAAGCTAATCGTTATCAAATGAGATTATATAAGAACATGAGTATGCATCAGTGTTTCATAGCAAAATCTCTAGGCTTATATTTATGATCTACACTTTAAAAGTTAAACGTAAGGTTGCAAGCATTAACAAAAACAAGAGAACTGCTGATTTTCTCGTAACTTCGTTGAACCGACTCATATCGAATTTTTTTTTCAAGCATTTTATCTTTTAATTCAGTATCAAAATATGATATGTATATATCGTTCTTTTATAAATGAAAATAACATTTATATTTAACAGAGAGTTTAGTCATAATTTTGTTTAAATATTGTTTTCTTAAGATAAACATTTCAGTTGTTTAGTAAGAGTATCTACCGGTCGTATATATTACCAATTGCAAATTATGAGTCGATCTCTTTGATTTTCAGCTTCAAAAAAACAGGAAACTTGTTTTGAAGAAAATGTGTAATTGAAAAACTCAAGCCCAGTTTAAATATTTCTATACATGATTATCACGGAAGATCTAAGTTTTTTTTTGAAGGAAACATTTTACTCGATAGTAAAGTTTTCTTAATAGTGACAGAAAAAAAGTTGAATCAACATCATTATCGTACTATTATCATGGATGAGACGTATTGATTATTGATTCATATTTTTTTATCTTTGATTATTTTATTGAACTATGCCCTAAAAGATAATGTCTACTACACAGATTGATCATAAACATGTAGAAGTCTTGTAAAGTCATAAAGAAAATCTGAAAACTTTTTCAACCTTGAAATATTTTCATTAATATTTGATGGTAATGACGACGATAATTTTGTTCTTAGATTAAATAAATCATCAACACTCAATTCTTCATCACTTGATATAGGTAAAACAAATGTCCATGATTCATTATCAGATGGTTTACCAACAAAAAATATCCATTTATTAATTTCATCAAAATAAGTATTAAGTTTTGACCATTTACGACCTGCAGCAAAAATTAGAGAAAACGATTGATTTTCTTTACTTCAGACTATCATAAGGACATCTAAATCAATACTCACAAATTTTGAGATCAAAATAAACACGTTGTGCAAAAGATTTTTGTTTTGCATCACATAGATTCATCTGAAAAAACAAACAAGTGAGAAAACTAAAGGGAAAACAGCCGAAAAACAAAAAACAAAAAACAGGAAATGAGAATAGATCAATAGTCTATTGTTGGGATCGTTGATCAATTGGTAAATATGGCCGATCGATTATTTCTGGTAGTGCTAAACCAACAATATTTGCTGCTTGTTGAACAGATCTTTCACCTTTTGAATAGATTGATTGAATTATTTTTCGTTTACGTGCACTTTCCAAATACGACAAATAAGTACTTGCAACAAATAAGATTTCATCATTAGGCTTGCAATGTTTTGCTGTTATTGGACGATGGCGACGATACTCATCTTTTATTTTTAAATATACTGGTAATGATCGATATGAAAATTTGGAATTATTTATAGATAATTCACGTAATAATCCTTTATAAACTGAAAGAGCTGATTTCGTTGCCATATCTATAATAATATGCAAAATATTTATAAATGGTATTCAAAAATTTTTTAAATTAGATTTTGTTTTTATTTTGTTATTAAGAAGAAATAGTTGATAGATAAGAAGAACTCGAGTGTCTACATTAAACCGGTAAGATTAAAACTACAGTTTATTGTTGGTGGTCAGGTTTCACTTATCAGAATAGTGTAAAGATGTTATTCATAAGTTCTTAAAGGTTAAAATGATGCGAAATACGACGTATGCCGTAACGCATTGTTAGCTGACTATTACGATTGATGAATTGCAAGTAGACACTGTTCAAAACCGTAGTATCATTCCATGAATAATGTTCGATCATCATAATTTAAAAAAAAATTAATGCTGACTACAGAATCAAGACAATAGATCTCTAGGTATACATTAGACGTCTGTTTGATTAATCATTGTCTTTCGTGAACTTGCCAATATCATCTGTTAGCTATTGTGATAAATAGAACTTAGTCATCGAAAACACAATTCAGTGTAAAACGGGCCCTGATGTAATATTAAAATTTTATCTTATCTATTTGCACCATTTATTCATAGTCTTGAAATACAATTCACAAAATACCTAACTAAAATGCAACTCACAAATGATTAATTAAATAAACAATTGCGATACAGTAATGATTATAATCTAAAACAACAAGATACATGAGAAAAAGTTGATGAAGTTGTCTACCTGTATTCTACATAAAATCAAGTTGATGAATTCGATAAACTCACAATGAGAAATAATAGAGCTTACTTCCTAAAGCTAGAATGTTTTAGAAAACATAGACATCAAACGGATAAGCGTGAGAAAGTATTCATCAAAGTGCATCGTATGAATTTAATTTCTCTATTGATAAATTGTGGACAACCGATTCGCTCGCCTTACTATCTTTTATATTTCATAAAATTTTATTCAACTAGATAAAAACATAGTTTTCTTTTCGTTTCTTGTATCTTTCATTTAAAATAGAAAATTACAAAAAAGAAAATATAAACTTAAAATAATTGAGATATTTCTATCCTCGCTTATGGTATATTTGTTAACATAATTGAGTCCCTGGAAGAATTCACATATCTTGCTCGACACCGTCTAATAAAAAACAAGAAAGAAAACGAATGATTTTCTATCAGAGCAATATATTTTCATACTTCGCTTCTGCACATTCACTATCATATTGAAACTGAATAATATTTGGTATTGATGAATAATCACGAATAAGAAAATATTTTGCTAATGGTTGATCAATTATAAATGAAACATATTTTATAAATTGATAATTAATAAAATAATACCAAAGACCACCTAATATTGTACCAATAAAACTACCGACAACAACTTGTGCAATTGTATGATAATAAAGATAAACTCTAAAGATATTTTATTTTTTAAACATGATTTCTACATCGATTTAAATAATTTATTGATACCGGCTATAAGCAACTAGAATAGCAGCAATAGGTTGCACTAGAAGAAAACAACGATTACGTATTGAGCGTATATAAGTTGTACTAGAGCCTTGCGATCTAATTGAAAATAAAAGAAACAAGAGAATTGATACATTGAAAAGAAATAAATCATGATATAGCTACTTAAGAAAAAGAAAAATGGATAAATATGTCATAAAATAGAAAAAACTTTGAGCATGACCACTTGGCATACCATATACATCGTAAAAATCCATTCGATGACGAGCTAAAATAAAAAACATTTCAATAAAAATAAGGAAACTTTCCTCTGACATTATAATAATCATATCTTATATTTTTCATAAATCAAATCGAGTTTTTTTAAATATATATATCATTAAAGTTTCATTTGATAGAATATTTCAAAAATATCATGAATCATATTTAAATGCTTACTTCTTTCTGGTCGCTGTTGTTTAAAAGTTATTTTAAGATAATGATTAATTATACCAGATATAACAAAACCACCGAAATACATTATCTATTTTTATGCAGAAGTTAATATAGAAAAACAAAAGTATAAAGAAAAAGATTTCTACCGTTTGTATATCACGTCGAAATATAATTAATGTACATAAGGCAACAATATAAATAAATGGTAACATTGAAAACCATGCCAAAATGAAGCCAAGTTTATCACCTAATTTATCAGAAGATAAATTATTTTATAATTTATAATTTAATTATATTTACCATCAAGATATTCAATAAATGTTACTAAAAATTAGAAATTAAAAAAATAAATGAATTACTTCATGATTAAAATAAAAACGTACGTGATAATGGTCGATAATTTGGCTCAGCAAGAACATCGGGTCTTGAAAAATGAATTAAATGCTGAATAAGAATAATTGACTATTTAAATTTAATATAAAACAATGGAACTGATTCCAAACCTTATAATTTGGTGTTATATCACTTAAAACATCTGAGCTACTATTTAACACTGGCGGTTGTATCGGTGGCATAATCAATCAAAATCAATAAAACAAAAATTTACCATCAAACCTCCTAAAAAAAACTGATTAGCCATCCTTTGCTCTCATCTATCTTAAAGAAGTTTCCTATTGGTTCTCAATCAGCTGTCATCTAATGCATTAATATGCTAAGTAAATTTTTACCTTTTCTATATGATGAATATCGTTGCTAAGCAGTCGACATTACCAATGTAACTACAAAAGATTAAACAGTATTTTTTTTATGGTCTTATACTGATTTGTTACAGATAAATGGATTATTTATGTCCTAATTCAGGTCAATATATTTCTGCTGGTCATCCCAATCAACATGTATTGGCAAGTGAAGGTGCAGATAGTTATTTAATGAATTTTTATGTAACACAAAATTCAAGTACTTATCGGCCACCGCGTGTAAAACCAAAAGCGAATATACTTGGCGATAAATCATTAACAACAGAAAGTCTTTCTACACAAAAACTTACAGATGAAAATAAAAAAACTGGTTTCGTTGATAATGAAAGATATTATTTGCCCTACACACGTTCGATTGATGAACTCGACAATCCAACATTAGGGTACTTTTAAAGATTATGCAAAATGGTTTATAGTTTGGAAGATAGATGATCTTATTCATTTCTCAACTCATACTACAGTATCGAGAGAAAAAATGATTTTCATTGCTGTATCGAATAATAAAAAGCCAGCCAGATGAATATTTTCTGAAACGATGCACATTCGAAAATATGATTCTATAAATCGTGAAATATTAAAAGATTATTTCAATATTTTTATTTTGAGGCTGATTTCAAATTATTGAGTTTTACTCTCAGTCGCAAATATTTAAAAACAACTTGTTGAGAGAAATTTATAGTATCAAAATATCAATTTGAAAATTTTCTTAATTCGTATTTTAGCCGTATGTGTACAAAAAATTATCAAACATCTCATCAAGCACATTATCAACCCTACGAATTACCAGACGGTACAGAATCGATGCCACCCAATACAAGCAATCAAACATCAGGTTTTTTTCGTGAACATATTGTACACAATCCTAATTCATCCGTTCCTCCAGTAAAATAAAATTTTTGAATTAATTATTTTGTTCATAAATTTAAAAACAAATTTATATGCTTAGATCGGCGGAAAAGAAGCAACAACGTATGGCAGTAATTTTGCTAAGCCAGCTCAATTAGAGCCAGTTACTGTGGGACAAGTGGGCCCAAAAGAAACTTCTGGATTTGTTGCCAATACTGAAATTGAACCTTTAACAGCAACAACAGGTGAACGATGGCATTATCATACGAGACCAACTGGTTCTAGTGAATATAAAGATAGATTTCCACAATATGATTATCCAAAAGTAAAATCTATATATTATCTTCGATTTCCACACAGATTTTGCTTCACAGGGTGATGATCCATTACTTACTGTCATTGATACAAATACAAAAATATCATCTGATCGTGTGATTAATAATTTTGTATTACCCACAGGTGACGGTCCTTATGCTGGCGGTTCATTCGGTCCTGATTCGACGTAAGAATCTGTTTTTATATAATTCTTTAGAAACTTCTATTTTTTTCCATCGATATCAATTCATCCTATAAGAACGTTACATTCATTTTTCTAGTACTATTTCATGTAGAAAGCTGATGTTTATGCCTACCATACGATTGATGTTTGACAGTTCAGGAAAATTTTAGAGCACTTTACAGAGTTTTATTTATTAGAGAGTTCTATTTATTTTATGAAACTGTATCCTTAAGAGAAAAAAAACAACTTCACTATCGAAAAGTCTTTTAAAGTAAAATTTTCTGTTCAGTTCTATTTGCATTATTATGAGCGGTTACTACAACTGAAAAAATTAACTCTATCAGATAATTTTGGAGTTCATGATTGATATGTTTCAAGATTTGATTTGATAATCTTTAGTGAATATCGACAACGTTATGTTGGCAATCAATTTTTACCAGAGAAAATGGGTCAATTAAATATTGGACCGAAAGAAACTACAGGTACAACACGAAATGATAATGGCTTTAATCAGCAATTCGATGATCCGCGTCGCTTTATTACAACCTATCAAATGAAGTAGAAAATCAAAAGACCCTTATTTTATGTTATTCTTTTTTTTTCTTTTTTCAGTCATTTTGATATGAATGCTAAAGGACGTGATCGTGAAGGTTATGTGGTTGGTGGTGTACAAAAACCACGAGCCACTGGTTTCTCTCAAGATACAAAAACAGCGAATCCACTAGACAATTTTCGTGATGAACGTGTTACACGTTATCATCTTGATTCGTATCAAGTCAGGTATGTTTATTCATTGGTTAGATTTACTGTTAAGAAAATCGATTTTTCTATTCTTAGGAGTTTGCGAGCACGTGATCCATTTTTTGCTGATGCAACACATGATAATAAAGGTCGTTTGCAAAAACAATCAGAACTTTTTTAACAGCAAAAGCGTTTTATTTAATTTTAATAAATATAAAAAATTAATTTTCTATGGCCATGAATGCATACGTATACCTAATTGTCTTAGTTTAGTAAAAAGTATATAAGTATCTTTTAATTCACCCGGTGGTGTACCCCAAAAACGTCTCATTTCATTAATTGTAACATGCATTTCAAAAAACATCTCATCAATGAGTGAAGATATTGATGAATCATTAAGAATTTGTTGTACAAGTGCATTTTCCAATGGTGCAGTATCAATATCGAGTTTAATAATTACATAATCATTGGGTTTTGCTATTGATTTTAATATACCCCATGGATTAGTTTTACCAGTAACTTCAACACCAATATTAATAAATGTTAATATACCAATAATATCATCTGGTATTTGTTGCCAATATTTTTTTGGAGGATACGGAATTGCTTCAAATGCAACTATCCGATCAAAACTTAATGAATTCAAACCAAAATATTCATAAAACCAGCGAATACCTATGGTTGAGCTAACTTTTACCGGATTATCTACACCGTTGAAAAGTGAACAACCAATATCAAAGAGAACTTTTTTTGAACCTGGTTGATGAAGCCATGGAGCGATTGATGGTGTTGATGTTTGAAAATTTTCATAGGGTGCTGATGGACCAAGAAGAAAAAAACGTTTCGATTGCACTGCATTATATCCAGCGACTGCAACTGATGCAGGAATATTGCTATAAGAACATATTGATAAGGGATCCCGAAGAAGTCCAATCAATGGTTCAATATATTGTGAAACAAGACGATCAGATTTTTGTGAATTTGAACATTTTGATCGGTAGTACATTTTAGAAAAAAGTTCATCATATTTATTTGATAAAAGAGGTCCACTGAAAATTCTTTTTTGCAAATCTTTAATATATTCTAATGATCGAATGCTTTTATTCAGTTGATCGTATTCATTTAATTTTGAGCAGACTTTATTTTGTAAATAAGTGATATTATTATACCAAAAGTGTTCCCATGCACTAGGAGAATAATGATCGAATTCCCATGAACAATTATCAAATAAATTTGTTGCTAAAGAATATCAAGATAATGTTTTAAAGTAAAAAATAAGAAAAAAAGAATTTCTTTGTCTACTGTTCATTAGGCCAGAATACGTATTGATTATGATTGGAAATATTCCTGAATAAGAACCATGATTAACCTTACTAGTGATTGATATACAAAATATCATAACAATACCAATGCATAGTAGAAGATAGGCTAAAGATATATTAAAATATGTATGAATGTTTAAAATGTTAGTTTTAAGTTTACCTCGATTAATTCTGGAGTTTGAGAATTGCATGATAAGTTTTAGCAAATATAACTGATGCAAAATGCTTTTAGTTGAATGTGAGGCGTTCGTTTTCTTTCTTTCTTTTTCAAATATTTAATGATCTGAAATGTACTGTATTAGCAAAATGTTATCTGTATGATTGTGTTATCAACAAATATAATTGAGACGGAAGGTTATTTAAGATTAAAAATAAAGTAAAAGAATCTATATTTTTCACCATTTACGCTATGTTAAGACTCAAAGATTTTATTAAGACAGTTTCTCGTAAAAAGCGAAATTTCTTCGTTACTGATCATGTTGAAAAGTGATTCACTGAGACATGACTAATCCGATAAAATCAGTTACAGATATAGACTTTTTGGAAATCTTATGATCGTATAATTCTAATGTAAGTGATGTTTGAAAGCGCTGGTGCGAAGATCTTACATGGAATATAATATCATAATAATTCACTAGTCAATTTTTTGAGTCAAATTTTCGTTGTAAAATCAACTGCAGAGTTTCTAAAAGTACAAAAAAAACGAATATCGTAGATCGCAGTATTGGCACGACGGAAATAATAGACGTTGTTAAGTAAAGAAGTCGACAACTTGTGAAAATGGAGTGTTTATTATCTCAAGAGTCAGTAACGCTTTTAAAAGTCGATTACTATGCAGAATTAGACCGTCGGACTTTGTTTATTGTGTGAAAAGTTTACTCAAATCTTGATATTGTCAATCTTTTTCAAATTCAAGGTACGTAACCTTCTTCCTTCTTCATCAATAGAATGGTGTAAAACAGTGCGGAAGAATATGAGAATTTTTCTTTCGATGACGATGATATTTCATACTAAAACAACTAGGATATACATATCCAAGTCTAGTGAATGCGGCACGCTACTCTGCATTGTATACGCTTTGATGTCATTTTCGAATTTCACACAAACGCACAGCTTAAACTGAAAAAATTGTCCAAATTCGATTAAAAAAGTCTCCTTGAGTACTATTAGTTAACTGTATTGACTGTTATTTGAAGAATTTATGTCAGAAATGATAGGGCTATTACCAGAACAGAATTATATATTCCGGAATCGGCCTAAGAAAATGAGATGACCTATAAACTTAACAGAATCCTTGAAAAATATCTGTTGGCATCGAAAAACTCAGCTCTAGCTCTTGTTCTCGGAGCTACGTAAAAGAAGCGTAGTAAAAACTTCTGCTGATAATAAATGGCGCTTGGTCCCTTAAATTTACTTCGATTTCTTTAAAATCTTGAAGTGGCTTTTCAGAGGCAAATTTATTATTTAACTGACTTGATTTTCACTAGTCACTCGGAGGAGTAGCAGGACTAATGCTTTGGATGGAAATAGATATTTTCGGAGATTTTCATCCAGTATTGACATTGTTGTGCTTTGGTATACGTCCACAAGTGATGTGGATAAACTTCAGTAAAGCAAACAACAGTTTTGAGATTCACATGAATTTTCCATCGTATTAAAGTGTCACATCTATAATTTAAGCTATGTGATAGAATCGATCTAGAGAAAAGTCATTGAAAGATATACAAGGCGTGGTAGATTGCTGCTTTCAAAAAAAAATGAATAGTACTATAATTCAGTCAGGGTCAAAAACATTGTGATTAAACAACTGAACAGCATTGCTACAGGAAAAAAAAATAGTTGTATTCTCTAAAGTTGATAAGCAATTAAGACTAATTAGAGTGAAAGTGAAATAAAAACATTGAAATAAATTGCATGGATGAATCTAAAGAGGATCGATCGCAACGAGTTTTTTAATCAGCTACTTCTAGAAAAAATGAAGATAGCCGAATCATTATCGATTCTTAAAATCTCAATTGGCTATTGGGATAATAAAAGAAAAGGGATGCTAAGAGGCTGCAGATTTTGTTCCCTTAACTGTCCTTGTTCTTTTGATAGAACGAATCAACATAGAAACTTACACTGGCTTGATATAAGTGACATAGTATTGAAGTGTCGACGAAAGAAATCGATGTTATATTGCACTACTTACGCCTCTTAAGTATTTAAGCCTTTCAAAATAGTGTTGATTACAATTTGAGTATTTTATCGTCATTTTGCACTCTGATGTGGTAGTTTGCTTTCTACTAAATTCATCGCAATCATGAATCATAATAATCATTTCTTACTTCTTTTTACTTTTGGCAACAAGTTACTCGCAAGTTCCATCTATGCGTAGCTGTCATTTTCTCATTTATCATTCGAATCGAAGCTGTCTAATAAGTAAAATAGAAATCTATCGTTCGTATAACATCACTGCACGAATTTCTTTTTTTCATGAATCGAGCGCGTTTCAAAAAGCCTTAATATACCTATATATATTTTCTAAAACTTTTAAAAAATAATGCAAATCATTCGCTTCGATCTATTGATTAACTTTATTATTTAAATTATCGGTTAGAATGGCGCTTTTCAATAAGTAAGAGAAAGTATCATTAAGATCATAGTAAATCATTAGAAAATTCAGAAAGACTAACGATAATCACTGGTTCTTCGAGTTATCTTACATGCAAACATTACTTAATTCTGAATTCTGAAACAAATGAGGTATATTGTCGTAAAATATATTCCTATTGTTATGGATACTATACTGTTTTGATGAAGACTCGTTTCATAAAACATATTCAAAAAAGGTGTTCAACTCAAGTACATCAACGAAGATGAATCTTCGTTTTTTTCGCTTTTAGTTACTTTTCCCATGATTAGATGCTATCCATGACTACTACACTTTAATTGAAGGTTTCACAATAGACCTATTGAGTTCAAATTTAACTGATGTGCTTCTAGATTCTTCTCTTTTTCTCTACACTAATAATAGAAAAGTGAACAGCACTCATTGACTTAGGAAAGAGAACAAGTTGTTACATTAGATTGAGTATTAAAACAATCGATCGCTTTCAAAAGTAGGTCTAACCATATCAATCAACTCCTCTAAGAATATGTTGGCTTTAAGCAAATTATATCTGATTCTTGTTGATGAAACTTCTTTCTGATTGCCTAACAATGCCATTGATATATAAATATGAGTCTTATCTAATGTTTTTGTACAATACTACCATTTAAATATGAGAGTACCTACTGGATTCAATCTACCGAATCGTCATCTTATCTTATTTAGTCTATTGATGCCTCATACAGTGGAAACTCGTTTATAATAGGCATTATTCAATCTAAGAAAAAATGTTCTCTAGAATAATATTAATTAAAAAAAGAACGTTATCGATGATAATGAATAATGAAACGAAAACAGAGGAAAAGTAGTGTGTTTATGCTAAACGTTTCTTTAATTGGATATAGTTAAATTCTCACAATAAACTTTTCAAATATTGTACACAAAAGCAGACGAACGCTTTCGTGCATACGCTGGTACAGAAAAGTAATCGCTGAATAATGCTTACAGTCTTTTTCTGTCTCATTGAAAAATAAGTACTCACTTATATCAAACATCTATGCAATATGGAAGCAATAGAATCGTTCAACTTCTAATTGGACAAACCTGTGCTTGTGTTTGATTAATTATATCATACGATAATTGGAACCAGCCAATGCAAATTAAAACGGTAAAACCGGGTATTGTTTCTAAAATATTTTGTTGAAACACATTCATAGATTCTCTTCGATGTCTTCTCAACTTAATTTTAAGCAACTGATAGATAGTCAACAGTGCGCTATTGTACTCTATAATTTATTTTGATCAAAATCTATTAGCACTTCCATAATATTAATGGTTCTGAAATGATTTCTAATCGTTCTATCTACTCCTCGACTAGATGATTAAAACTAATGTGCGAGGCACCTTCGAAAAAAAATAAACTGTTTTGACACAGAGAATGTGTTTAATCACAATTTAAAGTAGATATATTGAATGTACTAGAAACAATCCGAAATCTATCTGAATATTAAAGCTGACTGAAAGAATCAAGTGATGCGATTAAGTTTATGATTCTATACAATTTCTATGCCGAAACAAGATTTCTCTGTATTAAATTACAAGCTGGTGCCAATACTTGAATAGGAACAAGTATTTTTTTTTATTTCGCTTTCTTTACTGTTACACTTGGAAGTGCTTACAAATAATAGTTTATGTATTCACAGCTGTTCGATTGCACAACCATGCACGATATAAGCATACAAGAAACATGATTAAATTATAATAAGCCACGTTTTGTAGATAAAATGTAACAACATCCTAGGTCGAACATTACGATGACCTGATACGATCGTAAATGGCCGCATACGGCAACGTATACTACCGTTTTATAACGTTTCCGACCATAAATCGCCGTAATTTGACGTTTTAGTATGCATCGTATTACGGCCGTATTTCGCCGTGTCGTAAACGGTTACAAACGGCCGTAATGTACTCCGATATTTCAGTATACGACCGTATACGATCGTTTATGATACGATGCAAAACGACCGTAATACGGTGCATACCAAACGACCGTGTACGACACAAGTTGATCGACCTGGGCATAGGAAAAAAATGAAAAATGAAAAAGATGGACAACGAAAGGAAAGAAAAGCTAGTAATAATACGAAAAGGAGAAAGAAAAAGAGAAAAAAAAGAGGAGTAACGATTTAAAGAATGATGTGAGTAGCATATAAATTAATCACATGGCAGAACTTCACACACATAACAATTCCAGCCATTAAAGAAGCAGCGATTGATGTCTTTCACGCGTAACTCTAGCTCGTTTCATTCGAAAAAACTGTCCCTTATGATCATTTTTATTTTTATGAAATGTATCCCAATAGAATACATCGTTGTAAAAGGGTGACAGACCTAAATTTGATTTTTCAATTCGTTCTAATCGTTTCTTTAGATATCTTTTCACGCATCCTTCTAATGGATCTTCATTTGTTATTTGAAGAAGATCTGTTGCTCGAGCAAAGGGACAGCGATGAATCAGTCTTAATCCATTTCTAAATTTCCTTAGAAGTAATTTTTTTCAGTTAGGGACAGCAAGGAGTAGAAAGGAAATATCCAGGCAAAATATGAGAAACTGAAAGCAAAGAAACAGCTTCGCAAGACATCTTTTGAGAGGGTTTTACCACGTTTCATCCATCTTAATTTACTAAATGTTCCTTGAATGTTTTCAAGTGTTTTGTCTATCGTTGGTTTCAAAGACATCTTATTTGTCCAAGCAAGACCAAGATATTTAAATTCTTTAACTACTTCTAGTTTTTTACCTTCCATATAGATATCAACTACTGAACTTTGCACTTGAGAGTGAAAAACCTGAACTACTGTTTTTGAGAAATTAACTGATTGTTTCCATTTCTTGGAGTCATACGCTATTTTATTACATATTTTTGTTCCTTCTTCTTCTAGAAACTTAATTATCGACTTAACTCCTCGACATATAGGTGGGGATATTAGTACGTTGAGATAATCAGCAAAAATATGGTTTGAAAACCCACCTAAACATGTAACAAGATCACTATGATAGACAATGAAAAGATAGGGACTTAAACTACTGCCTTGAGGCAAACCAATGTGAGTGGAAAATATTTTCGATTTATTCTCTCCAAATATAACATACTCTTGGCTATCATTCAACCACGAAATAATTAATTTCAATAGTCCTAAAGGTATACCCATTCTATTGAGTTTAACAACAAGACCTTTATGCCATACTTTATCGTATACCTTTTGATAGTCAACATAGACTGCTAGTGTTGGAATATTTGCAGTCATATTGTTTTGAATCTCTTGATATATAGATAGAAGTCTCGTCTGAAGTAAACAACCTGGACGAAATTCCAACTGCTCAGCTGATACTAGTCTATTAGTTTCTGGCCAGTATCTCAGTCTTTCTACACTGAAAAAAAAATAAGTACTCTACGAAACTTAAAAATGTTCCGAGATTTGCAACGAATTCGAAACCCTTTTGCGATGTCGTACGGAACCTTCAAGGGTTTCGTAAAGTCTCACAAAACCCTTAAAGATATCGGAGACTTCGACACAGGTTTCGTGAGACTATACAGAACTTTGAAGGTTCCTTACGGCATCGCAAAAGGGTTTCGAATTCGTTGCAAATCTCGGAACCTTTTTAAGTTTCGTAGAGTACTTTTTTTTCAGTGTAGCATAATTTTTTCAAATAATTTTGAATGTGTTGCTAAAATTGAAATTGACCGAGTCTGGTCACAACGTGGTATTCCTGCTTTTAATTTATTCAGTGTAACTACTTTACTAATTTCCACATATCGGGATATTTGTGTTCGTTTAGCCAAGTATTACCCAGGTCGAACATTCCGGCCACCAAATCCCGTAGGATACTCCATGGAATATGCGGGACAGTCACCATATCCTGCAGGAAACCGCAAGAAATCGCTGGAACATGGAAGCAGTATTCCGGTCAAAAATACGGCCGGACTTTCCCGGCGAATTTTTGCCAAGTTTCGGTACTTTCCGGCAGGAACTGATCAGAAATCACCGGAAAAAATTCGAAAATTTTCCAACCGGAATACTGCTTCCACAAAATGAACGAAATTACCCGTAACTGATTGTTTCCAGGCCGGACTGTTCGACCTGGGTAAGACAATTTACTAAAAAACTCATATAACCAGGTGGAATTCTTTTGATTATAAAGTTAGACACTGCATCGAAACCAGATGATTTTTTCGGTTTCAAGTTTAAAATGTGCTTTTTTCATTTCTGTAAAATTCGTCATTTCAATCTTTTCATTTAGTATCGGAAGTTTATTCATCAATTCTAGATACGCTGTTTCAATTTGATTTTCATGAGGATCTGATATATCCGCATTTTGTGCTTTAAACTGCCCCGAATAATACCGATAAAGTTTATCACTAATTTCGTTTTCTTTTGTCAATATTGTTTTACCGGTATCTGATTTCGACTAGGGTAGTGATTTATGTTTATATATCCGGGAGAAATATAACCAAAAACCTATATCTGTGTTGTCATGTGTTTCTTGAATTTCAGGCAGAAATGCCTGCCATTTACTCGATTTATATTTTGCAATTTATATCTTTACTTCACATGACAACACACGTAATAATACTCTTGTCTCTTCATTTGTATTAAATATTGTTTTCTCACGATAATATTTATTTCTTATTCTTTTTACTTCTTTCAGTTTCTGAATAAGATAAGGCAGTAGTGATGAACGGACTTTTTCTTTTTCTTTCCATTGTGTAAGTCTGACTTTTAGAGCAGCAAGAAAACGTACATAATTCATATACCACTCATCAACTGGCATGCCTCTATTTTGCTCATTTGTCCAAAACTCCTGTAACAGCGTAAGAATGACTTCATACGCCTTCCAATTCACATGTGGGAACATTTTATTCTTTTCAAAACCCACATTCTTAAATGTTATCAACAGTGGCCAGTGATCACTGGTATCAATGTTCAGCGCCTCTTCTCTTACCTCATCTATATTTGTAAATGATAGATCAATGTTTCTATTCGAACATTTTTAAGCATGCAGTGTCGGTGGAATATAACCAAGATTATTCTTTTCCACCCACACTCTTCAAGTGTCTACCTCTTTTATGGATGCATTGAAATCACTAGTGATAATTGTGTTTTCAATGATATATGATTCTAAATCATCTAACATCATGATCTGACCTGCTTTCCAGTAAAAAGCGATTACTCTTATTGTTCCGAAAAAAAATTAACATCAATAATAACAGCATTTTCAACATTAACTTCTATTCTCGTACCTTTTAAATGTTTTCCTACACTGTTATTTGTACCATGTTGATGAAAAATATTGAAACGAGACACTCAAGATGTATTCCACAGACTTCAGTAAAAACGCAAATGGAGGCCTCTACTGTATAAACAATGTCAATTACCTCAAGGCGTCTGGACCCCATCCTTGCACGTTACACCAGAGGATATTTAATGGAGTTCGTTCTATTTGAATTTCTTTAGGTGAAATATTTTCCCATTATAAGAGAATATTTTTTAGAGTACCTGATGTAAACCATTCTACAAGGATTTTTTCCACTAGTTTTTGACCTTTTCCTGGAATCCCCATTGACAAAAGTCTTTCATCGCAGTCTCTCTAGGATTAAGTGTTTGAAAGGGAGAAAACGAATTCGCTTCTACTCTTAAATCTGAAAGTCTGATACTCATCCATTTTGCTCATGTTTTGATCAAGTCCATTGTTCGTAGTGATATTAGACGATTTTGAAGGTTGCTGAGATGGCGAGAGCTGTGGTGGTGGAGATGTACTGCGTTTACGTCGAGCTGAATAGTTCGATTTTAGATCACGCAATAATAAATCCACACTACTTAATAGCTTTTGCAATTGTGAATGCTTATCACCTAGTCCAACAACATTGTAAGTCATCACGGGCCAAATAAAGTCACAAACGATTGATACACATATAGGTAATAATTTCTCCAGTGTTAATTGATGAAGTTCCGTATCCAGAGCAGATGGATTGACCTTATTGTTAATACGATCTAATTTTTCATCATTACGATGTGTATTCTCCTTCATATCTAAGATATTTTGGTTTATCGATACCAACATTTTTGTTACATCTTCACTTCCATTCATATTAGTTGCTGTTGCTTGTTGTACTGAAGCCAGTTTTCATGGTGTAGCACCAGGCATATACTGTGGTAATAATGGAAATTCATTTTACTTCGTTTGAAACTCCATCGATTGGGTGCGGTCTTGAGGTATTAATCGGTGTAATTTTCCTGACGATATTGCATTGTTGACTTGAGCTTTTAATTCTGATCGATATTTTACCACTTTATCGCATTCACTAGATAATGATTGATGATCATCATTGCATTGGGCACAGCGAGTCCTATTCAAACAGATGTGCGTTTGACCATTGATAAGATTTCCTAGTTCACATTTATCTCTCATGTGACCTAAACACCAGCAACGAGTACAAAATGTCATACGATTCCCGGCCAGGAATTGAGTAATGGTACAGAGAGTATTTCCAATCGACATTCGACCTAATTTTATCGTACAATTATATTCGCGTAAATCTTTAACAACAAATTGGAAATCATTTGTTCTTCGTCGAAAGTGATATTGAATGCGTTTAACATTTTCAGCTGATTGAAGATTTCGTTCAATTTCTTCTTTGACATATTCTTCATTGTACTGGAGAGGTACGTAATGTACTACAAGAGCGAATGCATTAGGAATAAATTTTGGTTTTATGACAGTGATGTTGATATTATTGATTTGTGACGGTCATTTATCCGTAGATATTAATGCTGCATACGATTCTTTGTTGTTGACCCCTAATTTTAATTTAATACCTGAATGATCTACGAGAGAGAAAATGATTGAGATTCCTTGTTGTTTGAAATGATCTTCAAAAATACTTGCTGCTGATATATCGGGTGAATGGTTCTTCGAGTTCACATCTAGATCATATTTAATTAAAAAACACGGATGGTTGTTTGAAACAGCTCGTTTCAGCTCCTCAAATGGGAGACGACCTTGTTGATGTTCTGATGTGTGCGGTTGGTGTTGATCTAGCACAGGATTATTATTCAATGGAAGTAACGCCTTTGAAGCTATTGATACATTCATTAGACCATATTCTTGTTGTTTTCTGTTCGATAGAATGCGATTTTGTTTTGATATTTGTGCATCATTGCTATCACTTGAATCAAGATTTCGTTCAAGTGTTTGTGGTGTTGAAACTTCGATTGGAGAATTGAGTTGTTGCAGATGTGGAACTTCGGTAAGATGATAATGAGTACCTAGTGCTATATTGGGATTTTGTCAGGTGTATGCGATCATTTCTTCCAAATTGTAAGTAGCTGCTGTGTTAATACTTTTCACATTCGTTTGATTCTTAGTTTGTTCCATTGCGTTGATAACTGAAGTATTTAGTTGCAGAATTGATGATTGACCTTTTTTTTTATTAGAGCGGTAGTTACTGTTGATTCCTCTCATCATTCTAGCACGAAGAGGAGGATGACGTTAAAAAAATGGGGATGTAGACACGCGCTTGTGCACCTGCTCTCGAGAGAGAATAGGAACAAATTATTTCATAGTGTTTGCTATTCTATGACGGCGATAATGTTTCTTTGAAAAATGAGACAAAATAACCACGTATCAAGGTCCATTCCCAAGTGAAAACTAAGTTGTAGCTGAAGTGAATGTTAGTAAGGAAAAATAAAAATTGCTTGTAACAGATAAATATTCTTGGTCAGATTTCGGATTTGACGGTGTTAAAAGATCGAAAAAAATACTAAAGAATCTAATTCGATCTCCATGTTATATTGAAGAAGTCCATCTCAACTCCCGTTTCTTTTTTGCAGAAACTGAAAGTTTTAAGTAGAATAAGAAAAAAAAGACATCTTTCCTTTTTTATTTTTTTCTGATTGAAAAGTAGCGTGGCGATAAATAGAAGCACCTTTTATTTTTTTATCTCTGGCAGCAGTAATGAGTCATAATCTTCAATCATTTTCTACTTTTAGTCGACGGTCGTTGCAATGTGACTGTTAGTGATCGATCAAGAATAGTAATCGGAGGAATTTTGTAATTCTCGATACATCTTCAGTTTTAAAATTTGATAGACAGTCATTTTATTCTTCAGTAATTTCTATCAGAATGTTGTTTTGCTCATTTGCCGTAACTTTAAGCTAAAATTAAATAACGATGACAATAGCGATCGGTTAAGTGCATGAATGTTAAAAAGGCTTTTATATAACTATACATTAATATTTATCAACACGATGATGTAGCATTTTAACTAGAGTAAACTCCGTTGTACTCAAGCCTATCTTTGTATAAATGCAGATTTCGATAGTAATCATGCTTAGCCATGAACTAAAATCAAAACTGGTTTTGAAGTTTTGGTTTTAGTTTGAAAATATAATATTTTTCGACGAATTTCAAAATGAAAACGAAAACGAAAGCTTCAAAACCAAAAATATTAGATTCGTTGCATGTCTGACTACTCTTCATTGACAGTACCTACTATATAACTATAAATTCAGTTGTGTTTTGGAAAGGGTGTGCAATGAAGCTCGTTTTCGACATTTCATGAGTTCACTCATACCTCCATGAAACGCGTTTTATCTACTTCGTCGATTTAACTGTGTTTATTGGATAGCAAATGAATTGCGTTTCAATTGTGGTACAAGCTCTAACGCAAGAAGAGACACAGACTGCGTTCACACGCGTTTTAAAATAGGCACTTAAACGCGTTTGTATACGTTTGCTCTGATTAACGCTAATAAACTGGTCGAAATTCTTTAAACGCGTTTAAAAAGATAATTACAAACGCCTTTATCTGCGTTTTCATCATAACTCGATACCGAAACGCATCAGGATGCCAACATTTGCAACATAAACGTATCTAACTGCGTCTAAAATGTGTTTCGAGATTACATGGGGCTATAAAGCGACTGAAATATGATTTTGGTTCGTATGATATCGATGTAACTAGGCTTTGATTGCAGAAGAAACTCGAGTTACAGAAGAAACTTGAATTACAGAAGAAACTTGAATTACAGAAGAAACTCGAATTACATGAGAAACTCGAATTACAGGAGAAACTCGAATTACAGGAGAAACTCGAATTACAGAAGAAACTTTCTTTCATTTATCAATGTCATTGAGTTGAAGGATGTTGAATTCATAGCCATAAAAATTCAATAAATCAGAAAATAAAACGCAAACATTTTTAAGTTTAATTCTTCTCAATTCATATTTGATGCATTCAATTTTTCTAAAATATTAAATCCAATTTAGATCCGATTAAATTTGTTTTAATGGGGTGTCCCTAATCCACTCTCCCGCGACGATTCCCCGCAAAATAACGAAATCCCTGGCGAGCCCCAGTCGTGAGTACCCGGGGATTTGTCAGGGGACTCCCTGTGGATTCTTCGAAGGAGAGTTGACTAGAGTGTACTCAAATTTTAATTTCAAAGAAGGTAAAAATAAAGTAAATCAAGAGGAATATGACAACAATAATTGGATTTAAGTACCAAGGAAGTGATAATTTTTAATTTATCGATATGAGACACCGAAAATCTATTTCAATAACAAGTTTATGCGAGAGTCGGAATAACGAGACAATAAATAGAGATATCATTTGACTATTTTAGTTGAACGGTTTGTGTGCATGTCTTTTAGAATTTTGTTCTCGTGTTCGAATCCATCTCTTAACTTTATCGAAGTTTATGTAAATTATAGTTCTAGAGTTCTATGAATCAATGCAAACGAGTGTATGGATCGTATATACAACTCAACTTCTATGAAGTACTTGATGGGTTTCAATTTTTTTTCATCCAAAATATACGATACCACAGTTTCGGAAACAGTACAAAACGCTGTCAAGAAATGATCGTTTCGCAACGTTTGCTTTGGCAGATGTGAAATGCGTTAAACGGGCCAGCATTAACGCGTTTCGCGGCTATGGGAAAACGCGTTCTCAGAACGCGTTTTTTTCGAAGAAATTTACGTCATGGCTATTCTACGGTCTCGAGAAAAGGGTTTATTACTTTCTTGAAAGGGTATTTTATTCTACAGCGAGGGATTTATTGTTCTACTCCATCATCAAAAGGATTTTTATTCTTCGTTCAAAGGATTACACTTTTCCAGCTGATATATATGTATATATATCATGAAAATTTCTCACAAGGCACTTCAAACAATTTAATATAACAAGGTAACGCGACGTTAGCGTCGCCAACCCTCTACTGAAAGGATTTAGTCATGTAGAACATAGTTATCCAAAACTATCTAGCTGAGAGACTTCACATTTTATAGCTTTGAAATGATTTTCATGGAAAACACGATTGATAGCCGAGCATAAATAGAAAACTTGCTTGGCAGTATCGCGAAGAAAACGGCATTTAATTATTACTTACTAATACATTATGGCGATAGTGAATTTAAGTACATCAGATCTGCTACAGCTCAAGCTATGTTCCCAAAAACATTCGATCAGCCTGATAGCAGAGTGAAGCAAAAGATCCATTCAGGAGAGCTATAATCGACATACTCCATTTTAGTAAAGTTATAACTCAAATTGGTCTATGAACTAGATATTTAACATGAATCTGCACGAGTAAATCATCGATCAAATCAAACTGACTTTTTCTAACTCTATTTCGGTTAGCTTTATCCTCATTTTTGCTCAAATCCATCTGGGGTCATTTTGCTTCGGCGCGTTTTCTGTCTAGAATGCATATATTCATTCCTGGGTGCACGTTCACAGATAGATAAATCTAAGATTTACATCTTTTGATTCAAATCCACTCGCAATCAGGAAAAACTAAACTGATTAAGATGAATATGACAAATATAAATTTCAAATATTTCACACGACTTGAACAATTATTTCACGACCTGTCTGCGGAAGAACTGCAAGATATCTCCTATTTCGAAAATTGTTTCAACTTTTCTGATGGAGACAACGTGTATCTATTCAATAATTCTGCAAGGTCTGCAGTCTTATAATCATAACAGATTTTTAACTGAGCGGCTAGTCACTTGTTGGCGCCCCTCTGAGGCGCAACTCACGACCAGCCGTCTGCACTAGTTTTGTTGTATATATGCGGTGAGCGTGATCCTTTTAAACACTGCATGATTGATTGACAGCTTCGCCTCATTATATAATTATTAGATGAAAACAAAGAGAATTTTCAGGAAACCCGAAAACAACTGTTATGGGACTAATTTAATTCAGTTTCATCTACATATGAAAAAAATTACTCACATTTTTGAGAAGAATACGACAAGATTCCTGAGTATTTAGGCAGTTTGCGAACGTTCGTAGCTGCGCTAATCTAGAATTATACGTGTTAAGTTTGAATAAATTCTTCGTGCTATAATAAAAGTTGACTTATCAAGTATAAACTGAAGACTTCGAAAAAAGCCTTCAACGACTTAGTGTTTATACACAAAATACAGATATGTAGTTATGTTCAACTGTTTGTTGAAAAGGACCTTAGTGCGGCATTCTCCAAAACCATGTTTGTTTAAATAATAAAATTTTCGTACACAATGAAACAAGGATATATCCAGGTAAGCAGATAGTCGCTCGTCAGGCGCCCCTCTCGGACACCAATCACGAATAGCCGTTGGCAACTTAAGAATCAATTCCACCACAAGATGCATATAGCCTATTCGTAATAAAATCCAATATAAGCATACGATATATACGTATATACCACTATCAACATCATCGAATGGTACCCTTTAAAAGTTTGCCGACAAAGAATTCCTATCACGAAAATACGATGATCTAAACAGCTCCTAATACATTTAAACTGGCTTGAACTATGAAAGATTATTAAGCATTTAATATTCGATTCAGCGACAGCCGCTACCCTATTTGAATCAACTTTATTTATTTGTTTAGGATCATACCCACTAATAACGTCGTTGTGGTACTCCTAAACGCTTTCGAAATACCACTCACTCGTCAGTTGCTGGTCACTTGTTTTTACTTTTTCAAAACGTTCATGTGTTCATTCTGTGCAATAGACCTCTGTGCAACCCTCTTTGTTTATCAAAACGATGACAAAATGTTTTTGAAAAACTACACTTAAAATCGAATGACTCCGCCTCAAAAAATTTGTGTCAAACTTAAAACGAAGTCATTTTTTTCCTAAAAAGCTCTCGTTTTCTCCCTAAAAAAGGTAGAAAGCGAAACTTCAAAAATCTCACCTCCGATTCGACTCTCTCGAGCGTGGTAGCATCTGATCAAACTTTACAAGGAAAATTATTTTTCGAAAAAATACTTTTTTTAATTAAAAAGTTGAGGATAATAAATTCTGAAAATCGGACTCTTAGCGTTAGTGGTGGATCACACTAACGCTAAACGAAGATTAATACGTTCTTCTAGTCGA